GGGGAGCCAGAGCCAGACCCCCAACCAGAGACCCCAGCTATAACCCGGGGAGCCAGAGCCAGACCCCCAACCAGAGACCCCAGCTATAACCAGGGGAGCCAGAGCCAGACCCCCAACCAGAGACCCCAGCTATAACCGGGGGCCACAGCCAGAGCCCCTGCCAGAGACCCCAGCTATAACCAGGGGCTCCGGGGAGCCAGAGCCAGACCCCCAACCAGAGACCCCAGCTATAACCAGGGGAGCCAGAGCCAGACCCCCAACCAGAGACCCCAGCTATAACCAGGGGAGCCAGAGCCAGACCCCCAACCAGAAACCCCAGCTATAACCGGGGGCCACATCCAGAGCCCCTGCCATAGACCCCAGCTATAACCAGGGGCTCCGGGGAGCCAGAGACCCCAGCTATAACCAGGGGAGCCAGAGCCCCTGCCTGGAGCCCAAACCAGGGGTTACAACTATGAGGCCACAGCCAATTGCTTGTTAATGCATTAATTAGTTTCTCATAATTTATTATTTATATAGCGCCATCAGATTCTGTAGCGCTGTACATGAATTGCTCCCTCTAATTAATATATTGTGATTATTAATCTAAAGAATGTTAAACTCCGCGCTGTATAATGGGCAAGGTTGGGACAATATTATATTTAGAATTTGATTTAATAAATATTTTCTGATTATCAGGTAATGGTATACGACGCCGTGCTGCGCGTTTCACACGTTGGCGCAATGCTGGTAATTTTATTCACCCTCGTTCTTTCTACCACAGTAATAATAATAAATCCTCTGTTTTGTGTTGCAGCACTATACTTTGAAAAGCAGACGCTAAAGAACACCCTTTACAAAGGTAATACTTCTCCCTTTATCAATAATATTCATTTATTAGCTTGCTGTAATTCCCTGGATCGTGCCTCATATTCATTAGCGGTTAGGCTTGATAGGCTATAGACACCATAACAACGACATGAAGCTGTAAATGTTTTGGTGACTATATAGTGTGCCTTTAAGGTTTCATGGATGAAGAGAAAGAGAAATGTTTTTTTAGATTTTAGGAGCCAATGTGGACTTTCCAGGCATTAGTGAGAGGTCCAGCCCCAGGACTCTGTATAAAACACAACCACTAAACCGGCTACACGTTGCTAGCAGTAGTAGTGGATACAGTAAGCGTTGCAATGAGGTTACCTGTGTCTTGGTACATTCTTATTAATAATTTTACTAAACTTATTCTGCTCCGTTTGACACCCCTTCTTTGTGAAATGAGCCATGTCTTGGAGAGCGACACAGCCTGGTACTATGTGACATCAGTTTCTTCAGTCACAAGCAGAAATTTTTAATTCAGGATTATATTCCCTCCAAGATAAGTTTTATTTAGTTTTAAGAAAGGTATGTTGCCAGGGTGCCAATACACAAGATGTTGTTTTCCCGGTTTGCTGCAGTGTATTGGCATCACCGTGATGGGACCATGTACCATTCTGTTACCTGGCTCAGGTTTTTTTTTTTTTTTTGCACCATATTAGTCTATACATAGATTAGCTGGCTGCCGCCCGAGGCCTTCTGGATATATTTGAACTGCACGTTTATCTCATCTCAATTTGATATTTTAGGTATTCACTCCATCCTGCTAAACCTGTATTCAGGAAAAGTGTATTATTACTTTAATTATGGTAGAATCAAATATGTCGCACCAATTGGTGAAGCATTTTCTGAGCCGGTGACTCCCAGTCCTGAAGGTGCTGGTGGTCCTTCGTCAGTATCGCCAGTGGATCAGAATGTGGAACTGTCTAAATACTGGACTGGAATCACAATGTAAACTTGAGAGGTTATTTGCGAAAAAGATTTTCAGCTTGCTTAATGTGGTACAAGATTAGCAAATCCCTTGTCTGTTTCACCGCAGATCCCTGTTAATGACCACCATTTAATTACTTGGGAGGCGCCGTTCTGTATGCTGACAGATTTATCTTTTATTAACGATAATCCATGTGAATCTAAGGGCCTCCATCGTAGTTTGTTTTATTCTTGCTCTATTTGTATTTCATCTAACTTTTTATTATTATTATTCCCCCTCCCCGTAGAATGTCTTCTGGAGCGCTATTCCCCAGCCTTGTACCAGGCTCCAGGGGGTCTACCAGCAAGTACTTGGTGGAATTCCGAGCTGGTAAGATGTCCTTAAAGGGTAGCACTGTGACACCGGACAAACGGAAGGGCCTTGTCTACATTCAGCAAACGGATGACTCCCTTATTCACTTCTGCTGGAAAGACAGAACTTCTGGAAATGTGGATGATGTAAGTCACGTACTTCTAGAATTGTTCTATTGGGCAAGGGACTCCAGCTTGAGACTTGCAGTCAAAAGTCACCTTCTGTCATAAAAAAAAAAAAAGGCTTTAAATGTCTTTCAACCCGACCAATTAAACTGCTGTTATGCTTGTTTCTGAGTCTTGAGCTGTAAATGGAGAAAGGTGTTTTTAAAAGCTTCTTACTGTGCACAGCCTGTGAGCTCACATTTTATTATACTTGTCCTCATTCTGTGCAGCCAATATCTGTTCTCTGTTTCACTTAGCAAGCTTCCGTATCGACATTTTATAAAGCTTTGCCGCTTTCTCTTGCAGGACCTGATCATATTCCCAGATGACTGCGAGTTTAAGAAAGTGACACAGTGCACCACTGGACGCGTGTTTGTGTTGAAATTCAAGGCTGGATCCAAGAGACTGTTTTTCTGGATGCAGGTCAGTTAGATGGAATTATTTTATGATTCCTGTTTAGTGAGAGGTCATTTCTCAGAAGGTTTAATTGCAAGAGGTTAAATCTGTTTGCCACAGTTTAGTCAAATTCTCTGTTGACGTTAATTAACTTAATGAGTGGGGTTTGCCAGTTGGTTGCCATGTCCGGTACTGACTTTTATTTTTTATTTTTTTTCTTGCACATGCATTAAACATTAAAACCACAAGTATAAAATGCCAGGCTTTGTTTTAGTGGCACTAATATTGGTCTGTTAGTGTGCAGCATCAGTTCTAGAACTGAGACGTGGGTTAGGGGGTACTTGCCTCAAAGAATCTGAACTCCCATCACTTCTATCCCTAGTGTCCATGTTTAAGGAAGAAGTTAAAATGGTTTCCCCTTGTTTTATGTACACAGGAACCAAAGACCGATAAGGATGAGGAGAATTGCCGCAAGGTAAATGAGTACCTGAATAACCCTCCGATGCCCGGTGCTCTAGGGGGAAGTGGCAGTGGAGGTCATGAGCTTTCTGCTCTCGGAGGTGAGTGCCTGACATTTGTCAGCAGATATTATCACCAATTGTCTATCTCAGAGGTGCCCAATAGGGTAGTTCCCCAGATGTATTTAAACTACAGCCTCCATGATGCTTTGTCATTCTAAAGGCATGCAAAGCTTTATGGGAGTTGTACTTCTCATAACATCTGGGGATCTACCTCAGGGGCACAATGCCACTTTGTATACCTGGTGTTATGGTGTGGGCACTGCCATGCTCTGTTTATGCTTAGCTTATTTTCTATCTGTATTTTGTGGTCTGTAGGAGAAGGTGGATTGCAGAGCCTCCTGGGAAACATGAGCCACAACCAACTGATGCAGCTGATTGGACCCACAGGCCTTGGGGGACTAGGTAAAGTATCTTATGCCCTTGGCTGAAACAGCTTATACGATCCATCATCCTGTACTGGGATTGCTGCCTTAAATAACATTTTCTATAAACTAGTGTCATTCAATTAAGGTGTTCTCTGTATATAAACCTTGTGTGTTTATGTAAACAAGTAGCTCTGTAGTTACAACTCCCATGACCCTCAGCCTTTCTGTGTCAAGACAGACTGGTTTTGAGTAGTATGAGACTTCCAGTTTGGAAGCTGTGGATAATCTGTGTCTTGTGTCTCACAGGAGGCCTGGGAGCCCTGACTGGACCTGGATTGGCCAGTTTATTGGGGAGTGGGGGCCCCACAACAAGCAGCTCATCCTCTAGGTGAGTGCTGTCTGATGAAACTGTGTCAGTTTGTCATTCAAATTATTTGTTCCATTTATGTTGTTAAACTCTTTTTCTGTAAAACATAAAACATGGTTTGATATAAGGCCTCACTGTTGATGAGAGCAGCATCCACTCTTAAGTAAGGATAACCTGTATGTTTTGTAAAGATTTGTGAGAAGGCCAATGACCACAGCAGTCCAATATGGGGGGAAAAAGGGAGCAGCAACCACTCTTAAATAAACATGCCCTACTGTCGCATCTCCTAGAAAATGCAGGTGGCCTGGCTGCAGACCTGCCCATATGATAGTGAAGCCACCGGTTTGCGCAGTGAGATAGCTGGTCCGGTCCCACAGCACACCCTGGGACTGTTACATTTAACCTGGGAAATAAAAGGATGATAAATTATGTAGTCTGATCAAAGGAAACAACAAAGGACGAAGGGGTAAACACATTGGCAAGGTGGCAACAACAGATGGTGATTGAAGCAGGACGACGTGCACTCTGCAGTGTATGAAAACATTCTGGCGGGGCAGTGAGAGACCTGTGATGGAGGAGAGATTTATAGGGAATGAAAATCTATTGTGGAGTTTCTGATATAACGAGAGGTACAGCAGGGTGGGGTATGCGGTTATGTAGGTAAATGCAGTAATTCTCATTCTTGTTTTGTTACATATACATGATATACAGTGTGACTGACAGTCGTTTTACCCATTATAAAAGCATTTCATTGTAGTTGCTGCTGTTTGGCAAATCCCAAGCATATTTTGCAGCTTTACATCAGGACACTGCATCCAGATATACACATTTTCCCACTGCAGCCAACCCCCAGTTCTATATGATGTGTTATAAATAGATATTGGTTATTGATCAGACTATTACTAGTTTGAACCTCAGTTAATGATTGAGCACTGCCATCTTGTGGTTGAAAAGAAGTATGTGTTTAGAATTACCATTCCATCTTTGTTTCATGGATTAGCATGCACATACACACAGGTGTGGACATCAAAATGTTGGGTTTGTGCACTAAACCAAGAAGTATTAAAGGTAAATGCAAAAATGCCAAATTAAACCATTTCTGCCAAGCAGCTTTCCAGTTTGGCTGTTTTGTCTTTAGATTTGGAATTCCCTTGTCTGTAGTGAATAAACTCCTTTTTATGTGTAAAATGTGAAGGGATGAGGACACTGAAAGCACATGTATACACCTCTATCCAAGAGCACTTGCTGGCCTTTTAGTTATAGAGCGATTGGGAGCTCTCCAAGTCTTCCTTTCAACATCTTAAAGTAACTTCATATAAGTCTTTAAGGTTTTCTGCAAAGATTTAGGATAATAGCCAAATATTTCCATTTGTTGACACTGCACCATGCCAACTGGAAAGGAGGAGAATATCACATTTATTGGTAAAGTATAAATTCTTTCTGTCCAATCTTATCTGATTATTTTGTGGTAGACTGTATATTTCTTTCTGTGAATTGATATAGTTCTATTTTAATAAAGTGTTTTATTCACCAAACCCCTGAATTGCAGAAATCAGGCTAAAGCTAAGCAGTGACTGTAGCTGAGGTTTATTGGAATGAGTGGGTTTACATATTACAATAAAGGGGTTACATTGGTTCAAGTTATTAGTGTACAGATGATTATGGTCTCACTTCTCGTGGATAAATGGAACTGGTCATAGGAAATTTATGTCCCAAAGGAGAGGAGTTCCTGGGAAGACGCCTGTGCTTTTTTTTTGAGGGGGGGATGATTAGATTTTGACAGGAGCCCTAAAAGGTGTCTCATTTGGATGAAGGGCTTGTGCATTGCTGTATTTGTAATATAAGCAATAATAAATGTATTTGTCCATATTAAAGGGTTTTCCGATTCTGCTGTGTCCTCTCATCCCGACTTGAAATTCCATATTGTTTTGTTTACTCCAAGCAGGCCTTTCATTGCACCAGATAATCCTATGTTTTTGTTTTTCCCTTTATATCCAGCAGCTCTCGCAGCCAGTCAGCAGCGGTTACTCCGTCCAGCACCACCTCTTCCACACGGACCGCCACAGCAGCACCAGTCACTCCGGCTGCCGTTCCTGCTGCTACCCCTAGCCCAGCAGTGAGCTCTGGCAACGGGGCCAGTGCAGCAGCAAGCCCCACGCAACCCATTCAGCTGAGTGACCTTCAAAATATCTTGGCTACAATGAATGTGCCGGCCACCGGGGAAGATGGGCAGAGAGGTACGTGTATAACCTGTGCAGGGGACTGATCTGTAGGTCATTTTTTTTTTTTCCTCTCCACGATAACTAACCAGTACAATGCTTTGTAACGCTCCCAAACTGAGCTCCTCCTTACATAGAAACATAGAATGTGGGGGGTGGGGCTCCTGAGGAATTCAGCAAATTTTGGGCAAATACCCACTTAATTCAGCCTGAAACACACTGGAAACTCGTGGAACAAGAGCTCGGAGTGTCCTGGTGCAGCTAGAGCACCTGAAATCGGGTGACTCTGGGTCCCAGTGAGATGCTCTGGGGCATGGGGACTGAGGCCTACCGGGGGGGAGGGGAGTGGAGCGGACGGCCGCTGCCTCACTTTCCACCCCGACTAAAGAGACCCACAACGCGGCTGGGGCCCTACCGGCCCCGTTCTCCCCCCCCCCCCTTGCAACGGTGGGGGTTATCCCTGTCCCCACCAGGCAAGCAAACACCTTCAAGGCGCTCCTGGGCGGGTCGCCTTCCGACAGCCACCTTGCGGCCCTAAAAAAATGGCCGAAAGCAATGTAACTACCTTGCAGACAGCTGGGGGTGAGTCGCACGGGCCGCGTTGAGGCAGGCCTCACACACCACGCAGCCGAATCCATGCACATCCCTCGAAAGCACAGGTGGTAAAGAGGGGACGACGGCAATCCACAAACCTACCGCCCATTCACGCGACAAGCCCAATATATGCCCCACTTGAGAACGCCTTACCTCAGCCTCCTACCACCAAGTCCGCAGACCCTCACTGGGGTAAGGCCCGGAAAAGCGATCCACTCATGAAAGCACAACAATACCGCTACCCACACCCAGATATTGAAGTCTGCGCAGCACAACACTCGTACCCACCATACGACCGAGTAATATGACCACACCGACCCCCGGCCACTATGCCCTGTAGCGGGCCGTTGGGACCCAGCGGACCCTGGGTGACCTGCCGGGTATATCCCCATGTCCAAGAAGAGCATGCCCAGTAACAGCATCCACGACACGACCTGTCGGCAGCTCCAACTCCTCACGACGGAATACATGAAGGGCACAAGCCGCGGAACTCACTGCAGACACCTCCACCAACAGACACTCTGGCGGCACTCACCGCTACACGGACATCTAAGTCAGTAAGGTCACACTCAAACTGGCAATACATAACAGCCGTCACCACCCTGACTTTTGCAAACGGTGATCCAACGTGCCGAAATCTGCCTGGTGGTACTCTACTCTACTTAACTTTCATTTAATCTACTCTACTTTACCTTATTTGACAGACCACCCTAGCTAAGCTATTTGTTTTCTAAAAACGTCTGTGCACATGTCTGTTATAAATATAAGCTCACTAACTACACACTCAGCTTCTGACCCTAAGTAACCTCCTAGTAAAGAGCTCCAGACTATGCGATGGTCCCCCTTAATATAAACAACAGGATTCAACAAGTTTAAAATGTACAAAAGGTTAAACGTTAATGTTAAGCATGGATAGCGAGCATAAGTGCACAAAGACTAGTATGTGTTTCCATGTATAATGTCTAGAATGCGCAGGAAGCGTAAATGCACATTGCTTAGCAAGCGCTGGAGGTCACCTTGACAAAGATTAACTCTATGTACTCATGTTTTATTATTACTTACTCTCACTTGTACTTACAAAAAGTGCAAGTGACACTGTATACCCCACTGTTACAAATGTTATTGGTATAAGCGAGTGGAATGCCTTTGGGGTACCACGAGCATGTCTGTTAAACCTATATGCACAAAAAAACAAACATATAATGTGATGGCAGATAAGAACCATTCGGCCCATCTAGTCTGCCCAATTTTCTAAATACTTTCATTAGTCCCTGGCCTTATCTTATAGTTAGGATTGCCATCATTAGTAAATCAGTTATGGCAACACATACAACAAACACATATTTAAGATTAATGGTGTGATATTGTCCCTTTGTACAGCAGCTGCAAATAATCCAGGAAATTAGAAACAGTTATTCACTTAAAATTAGCTTGGCAATTCTCATTTAGTAAATAACCCTGAAAAAAATGCTCCCTTTGCAGGGGGTTCCGCGAGGGCAGGTGCCTGTATAAATATTAAAGGAATTTATTTTGTTTTCCTTTCATCCCTTCGTTTCACTTCAAGAAAAAGGCTCTCATGGTTAGTCACTAGAATTAGAATTGTTTTTAATATTTCACATTTAAAGCTAAGATATCTAAGCTGGTAGCAGTGAGAAATTGTCCTGACTTGGACAATCCTCACCTTTAGTGAATGCCCCTGTCTGTAAGCAGCACGGTTTGGAAGCCGTGTGTGACCCTCTCTCTCTTTATTCCTAGTGGATTTGGCCACTGTGCTCACTCCTGAAATCATGGCTCCTATTCTGGCCAACGCTGAGGTTCAGGAGAGATTAATGCCATACCTGCCATCTGGGGAGTCTCTGCCACAGACTGCAGAAGAGATTCAGAACACACTCACATCCCCTCAGTTCCAGCAGGTAAGTGGTCTTGGAGTGCATGGTATCACGTATGTAGCTAAAGCAGGGCTCTGGCAGTGTATTTTGGGGGATTTAGATTACTACATCTTCCAATCACAGGTTAGAGATACTGACTGATCGTAGAACTCAGGGGTACAGAGCACATTTGGGACTATTTCAGCCTCTGGGAGATAAACCTAAAATGTATCAGAAGACTTGCCTATTACCAAGAAAACAGCCTAAGCTGGTACTGTTTGTGCGCTGCTTGATGGCAACTAAGATGTACAACTGAAGCCGATGGGGAGGAGGGGATAGTATTGGATACCAACCATATGAACATGTCAGCAATTCAACACACAGGCTGAAATAGGAAAGTCTGGTTTTCAATTCAGCAATTTTTATCCTAAATTGTAAAACTTGCTTTGAATTCATGTTGCGTTTCTGCTTGAGTAACTGTCAATTTACGATGGTCAGTTATCCTCACATGGCAGAGGGAATGCAGTTTGTGGCTGTTATTTAATGAAGGAATTAGGGGGAAGATGTTATAGCTGAGGGACTTTGTGTGATCTGTGTGAGGTCACAGCTCTGCTCCTGTCTGCATGGATAGTCAATGTGTTTAATGAATCCTGATGTCCCCTATAAAGTGAAACATGGCATTTCCTGTAAACCTTTCAATATGCCATTGCTCAGTCAGCCAATGGAGAGCTACTACAGAGGAATAATATATCAATGCCTGATCCCTCTCTCCCCACCGCACACAGGCCCTGAGTATGTTCAGCGCTGCGCTAGCTTCTGGCCAGCTGGGACCATTGATGAGCCAGTTTGGGCTGCCAGCGGAGGCAGTCGATGCAGCCAATAAAGGAGGTATGTTTACCTGTTAATAAGGAATCTGCCGTGGCTCATTTCTGTGAGCGTGGCTTATTTTGTCTTATCACCATAAAGCCAAATGTATTTCCAGTAAAATGCTAATACTAGTTTTGGGTGCAGATAATCTGTCGTAGATTTCTGCCGTTTATTTAATGCTTTGAGCTGATATCTCGTTATTAAACCCGTACATTTAGTTTATGATTTATCTTTATTTGAATGTGTGGTGGTTTCATGTTAGAATTTGTAGAGGTCACATTATTTCTGTTGGCCGTTTGATTTAAGGCTAATTTTAAATCGTTGTAGTAATAGATTATCGTTAAAATTTTTTTAAATTCCTCTCACATCAAACGGCAGCACGGATATGTGAGTGTAAAAGCATTGCTGACAGATTAGGAGACACCCAGCAAGGCACTGCCTGATATCTATCTATACAATAAGGGGATGTTCGATTAGAGCTGATATTTCATATATTGTGATATTTACCAACAGACTTTAGATCCAGTTTGTGTTTTGTTTTCCTCTCACTATAAAGTCCTGTTCTGTTCATTTCAGATATTGAAGCTTTTGCAAAAGCCATGCAGAGCAGTTCTTCCCAGAAAGAGCGAGACTCGAAGGAAAAGAAAGAGGAGGAAGAAGACATGAGCTTAGATTAAATCCCACCTTGTCCCGTATTGCCAAGCCTCTGTCATGGTTTCTTGTTTTATTTTTGCAATGTTAATAAATGTATTTCAGCGGCAGATTCTCACATTCTCTCTTCCCTCTGGCCCTGGCATAAGGTGTTATTTCCTAAAGGGACAGACTTTAGGCCAGAGTTGGCAAACTGGAAGTATAGCTGACTTCAGAGAATCTTTCTGGTTCAAATATTTTGATCTTCCATTTGAAGTACCCTCTGAGTGAATTCCGAGATTCCCTTTTATTAGCCGTGTAGCAAACCATTCATTCTCCTTGTCCGGAGTAACAAAACACCGCTCTCAGTAGCTGCAGCAGGACTTGTGTTCCATTAAATATCTATTTACAGGAAGTACTGACACAGCATGACAAAAAAAAAAGGTTTTTATTTTAGAGACATCTGTACCATTCATTTACTATCTCCCTCTGGACACTAGGTTTGAGAGAAGCATATTTAGGGTTTTAATTTACAAACAAAAGAATTGAATTGATACAGATTTACCCGAACATGGTATCAAGTAAAAAATCTAATTATTGCCTCTAAAACATTTCCGAGGGCTGATACCTATATATAAATATCTCGACACATGCATATAAACACACATTAAATGTGTCAGTGCACAGGGGAAGACAGTGACTGGAATAGATTTAAATACATTCTTTAAAACAAATAATTAAGATTTATTGGCGCTGGTGTGGCGATACAATACATTTCCTGGCTAAAAATGGCTGCGTCACTTATGGGTAGCTCCTCCCCAGCTTAAGAAACCGGAATGATCAAACCATTAACCGCTAATATAAGCCCCCTCCTCTATGAGCTGCCCAGTCTTTTTATTTATCAAATCTGTTAGGGGAGTCTGGGAAGCCATTCTTGGTTCTGAGCAGTTCCTTAGATCGTGATTTTCTGAGATTCTGGAGGCAGTCTTTGAACTTTTTCTAATTCCAGGCCCATTTGTTTTGGTTTTCCCTGATGGCTAAAAATAAGCCGTAGGATTATATTTCTGCAGGAGCCCTAAAAGGGAATGTTTCCAGATGTCCTGTTTGGATAAAGGGCTCGTGCATTGCAGTATTTGTAATATAAGCATATTTAGATTTGACTTTTTTTTTTTTTTTTTTTTCATCGGGGAATCCTCCGTTATCATTGATATTGCAGCATTCTTCCCTCCGTTTTTTTACGGATTGCAGCAATTCCCAAGATGGGTGCTGCAACTATGTAGAAGGCCCCAGAGCTTTCGCGCATGCACGGTGAGCCACCATTTCCTGGGCTTTTAGGGTGGAGGTGTCTGAGGAATTATGGATGGCAGCCATTTGGTCCTCACATTTATCAAACTATATAAACAAGATCTCACTTCTCAAATAACGCCAGGTTTGGGAGAAAGGTTCTGGCCTCGGTGGCTTCGCGTGAATATTAAAGTTTATGTTCTTTTGCATTATATAAGGTGCCTGTTTCTTTTCCTCCCTTCTTTGGCGCTTGGGTAGTACCCATAACTGATGCTGCCATGTTTAGCCAGAAAAATAACCCATTGGTGACATACTTATCGTAATCTTTTCCTGGCTCTGTTACCTGTCAGTGTCACACTCCCTCCCTTCCTTTTGGGTTTATTTAGATACAGACTGGGGAGCTCAGAGAGAGGAGGGGTTTATATCACCTGTTAATTGTTTAATACATTTCCTGTTTCTCAAGCTAGGGAGGAGATATCCATACGAGATGCTGCCATTTTCTGTTCTGTTCACAGGTACATTGTCCAGAAAGTGTTTTCACCCTCTATTTGGGTCCCCGTTCTAACAGGAGTCTGTAAATATTCTATATAGCATGAGGCACTTCTTATGAAGGAAGACCAGTAGCACCAAGTGAGCCTCTGCTTCCTGCGATGTGGGATTTAAAGATCCAGGTAACAGGACTGTCCACTCACTGTTTAGTGTAGAACACCATGTGATTGGCTATTGCATTTAAACTTGCTGAATAGGTTAAAACTGTGGCAAAGCCTTCTGTAACTGTTTGAATGCTGTGATGAGGTGCCCCTTTATGGGGCAGAGAAGATTTGTGTTGTGACTATTTTGGCAGACTTCGTTTATGCATCCGGTCTGAATCCAATCAACTGCCTTTTGTAGAGGAAAAAAAAAAAACCACTACATTGCATTGTCTTGGAACTAGGAATGCCCTAGGGCAGGCATAGGCAACCTTCGACACTCCAGGTGTTTTGGACTACACCTCCCATGATCCTTTGCCAGCATGAGTGTAAGAGCATTATGAGGGATGTAGTTCACAGCATCTGGAGTGCCGAAGGTTGCCTATCTCTGCCCTAAGATCTGCTGGATGACACAGAACCTCCTTCACTGTTTCAGTCAAAGCACTGGAAGCTGTCTCTTAGCTAAGGCGAGTGCGCAGGGCTGAGAGCAGATAGATTGCTGATGTTTAGTCACTGAGCTAGCACTGCACGGCTTGGCTAAGGCGAGTGTGCAGGGCTGAGAGTGGATGGATTGCTGATTGGTCACTGAGCTAGCAATGCACTGTATGGCTTAGCTAAGGCAATTGCTGATGTTCCGTCACTGAGCTAGCAATGCACTGTATGGCTTAGCTAAGGTGATTGCTGATGTTCCGTCACTGAGCTAGCAATGCACTGTATGGCTTAGCTAAGGCAATTGCTGATGTTCCGTCACTGAGCTAGCAATGCACTGTATGGCTTAGCTAAGGTGATTGCTGATGTTCCGTCACTGAGCTAGCAATGCACTGTATGGCTTAGCTAAGGTGATTGCTGATGTTCCGTCACTGAGCTAGCAATGCACTGTATGGCTTAGCTAAGGTGATTGCTGATGTTCCGTCACTGAGCTAGCAATGCACTGTATGGCTTAGCTAAGGTGATTGCTGATGTTCCGTCACTGAGCTAGCAATGCACTGTATGGCTTAGCTAAGGTGATTGCTGATGTTCCGTCACTGAGCTAGCAATGCACTGTATGGCTTAGCTAAGGTGATTGCTGATGTTCCGTCACTGAGCTAGCAATGCACTGTATGGCTTAGCTAAGGTGATTGCTGATGTTCCGTCACTGAGCTAGCAATGCACTGTATGGCTTAGCTAAGGTAATTGCTGATGTTCCGTCACTGAGCTAGCAATGCACTGTATGGCTTAGCTAAGGCAATTGCTGATGTTCCGTCACTGAGCTAGCAATGCACTGTATGGCTTAGCTAAGGCAATTGCTGATGTTCCGTCACTGAGCTAGCAATGCACTGTATGGCTTAGCTAAGGTGATTGCTGATGTTCCGTCACTGAGCTAGCAATGCACTGTATGGCTTAGATAAGGAGAACTAAAGTAATTTCCGTCTCTCCGTCAGAAGAAACGGAACCACTCTGAAAACAGTTTAAAGTCTTAAGGCTGCCAGGACACAACAGCAAATTTTAGTGGTTATGGTGTGTGGAGTGTTCAGTGAAATACTATTTTAGGTGCCAAAACTGTGCCCCCTTGTGGCAGAGTAGATAAATATCACCAATGATTCTCTTCCACAAGCTGGGGAATAGTAGACTGGCACCCCTTCCTTTCACAGGCTGTGTGTTTACTGTAAGACACAATATATAAATTAAATACAAATGCCAAATCTGTTCCTGTTAGCAGTATGCACCTGGCACGTCAAACTAATTCAATGGAACATGAGTCAAATGTAAAGACAAATCTTTAAATTGGTACAAAATGGCAACTTACCAGTGTAAAACCTACTGTGTTAAACCCTGCAAAACACAGCTAGAGAAACTGCATTGGTTAATAAACCCCCACTGAGCTAACAGATCACTGTGTCATGTGTAACGTTTGTGAAGAGACAGAGAAATATATATATCTAACTGTAACCTAACCTACACAGTGCATCTAACGTGTGTGGGAGCCTGGACTGTCCCTTTAATAATATAAACCCACCCAGAATAACTAACTGTAACCTGACCTACACAGTGCATCTAACGTGTGTGGGAGCCTGGACTGTCCCTTTAATAATATAAACCCACCCAGAATAACTAACTGTAACCTGACCTACACAGTGCATCTAACGTGTGTGGGAGCCTGGACTGTCCCTTTAATAATATAAACCCACCCAGAATAACTAACTGTAACCTGACCTACACAGTGCATCTAACGTGTGGGAGCCTGGAGTGTCCCTTTAATAATATAAACCCACCCAGTATAACTAACTGTAACCTAACCTACACAGTGCACCTAAACGTGTGTGGGAGCCTGGAGTGTCCCTTTAATAATATAAACCCACCCAGTATAACTAACTGTAACCTAACCTACACAGTGCATCTAACGTGTGTGGGAGCCTGGAGTGTCCCTTTAATAATATAAACCCACCCAGTATAACTAACTGTAACCTAACCTACACAGTGCATCTAACGTGTGTGGGAGCCTGGAGTGTCCCTTTAATAATATAAACCCACCCAGTATAACTAACTGTAACCTAACCTACACAGTGCATCTAACGTGTGTGGGAGCCTGGAGTGTCCCTTTAATAATATAAACCCACCCAGTATAACTAACTGTAACCTAACCTACACAGTGCATCTAACGTGTGTGGGAGCCTGGAGTGTCCCTTTAATAATATAAACCCACCCAGTATAACTAACTGTAACCTAACCTACACAGTGCATCTAACGTGTGTGGGAGCCTGGAGTGTCCCTTTAATAATATAAACCCACCCAGTATAACTAACTGTAACCTGACCTACACAGTGCATCTAACGTGTGTGGGAGCCTGGAGTGTCCCTTTAATAATATAAACCCACCCAGTATAACTAACTGTAACCTAACCTACACAGTGCACCTAATGTGTGGGAGCCTGGAGTGTCCCTTTAATAATATAAATTATATATATATTTTACACACACCGCTCAAGTAGCTTTATAGAATTGAGACTTTAAAGATTTAATATTTTAAAAAATTGCTGTGTTTCACTGAAACAGTTTAAATTTGCTTTGGGGCGAGGACTATACTATATCAGCTATGACAGACTGACAGCATTAAATGAAGGCAGGCATAAGGACAGTTCAATTAGCGGTTTATATAATAATTCCATTTATGTTATGCCCCCCAGCTGGCAAAGCCCATGGCACAAAATATATTACAAGACTAGAAGGGTTAATTAACTTATTCATTACCTCCAACACAGGTTATCCCAGGCTGCTACAGTAAACCAGAAAGCAGCAGTTAACCATTTCATAGCCAGAGCTACAAGGGTCTCTGGCTAACATATGCAGTTAAAGCACCATTAAAGAGTTTTCAGTAATATTGCAATATACATTCCTCCAGTGGCTGTGCCCTTATAAATTCAGTAGTGTATTTGTTATAAAACCAGACTTCAGGGGAATCAAATTACTTGGTGTTTACAGTCGTGAGGCCAAGCGTGCAGCGTGAAAGGGTTACATTAAATGACCCATAATTCTGGAGAAGCAGAAGGGGTCAGGATGTTCCCCCAATTCCTCACCCGATGCTGGTAGTTCATTTTCTTGCCAAGTTCCCTCAGAGAACTGGGCAGACATTGGTTCCCGCGGAACCTATGAATATTCCAGAGTCCGAGGCATCAATGGCAGTTCTGTTAATGACAATATTCCTCACGCAGCCATGGTAATGTTCACGCGAAGACGCCACAGACTGGGCCAGACGCAGATTATCTGTAGTTAGAGGAACAAAAAGGGGTCAGGTCCAATTCAGCAGCCTCCATTCCTAGCCCTGCTCACTGTCCACAAGAAATACTAGGCAGTTATTTATGCAGAGGGTGTGCGGTCAGAAAGGTTTGTCCATTAACTGCTTGACAGATATAAAAATCTTTTAAGAAGATCAGTACTAATAGAGACAAGGTTATATTTACTAACCTGGGAAACGACCGGGCAATGTCAAACCTGGCAGGCTGAGCTCTAACGTAACATAACACCCCACGACCTGTCATAACCTCCTGTGACCCACCGTAACATAACACCCCACGACCTGTCATAACCTCCCGGGAACCACCATAATACTCCATGCCACACCAGAACAGCCCGTCACCCTCTGTAAAGCTTGCCCTCCCTTTTACCCCAGGGGGAGACATTGCAGCTCTCGCCCAGTCTGCAAACTAACCTGGCATGGCGCCCACATAAAGCGTTGCTTTATTTTTATTCTGATGAAAGGAACTCGCTCCCACAGTGTGATTCCCGTCAGTATCCACGTCCAGCTGGATAACGTTGCTTCCTTTAGTAACTGGAGAGAAATGAAACGTATTAAGCTGCAAATCCAAAAACACAACAAAACTGACTGGATCTGCGAACCCACAAATATATTAGAACCGAACTGATCTCAGCCTGCAATCAAATGCAAAATGGTTAATTCACTAAAAATGAACCGAAACGGCCAGGGTTATTTACTAAAGGGAGAATTGTAGACATTTAAGACATTTAGGCCAATCTATCCAAACCAAACATTCTTGGCTATATCCTCAGTTTTCTTATTTTGTCCTAAGGTTTCAAATTCACTTTGAATTCCCAACAATTCTCACTTTCATGAATAACTCTGACTGTAGCAGAGCACGAGAATTATCTCCACATCAGCTATTTTGTTGTAAATGTTGCCGTTTGGTTTTCTCTTCACGGTGTTTAGCGTATCAGCGAAGAATGGATTTATTTATAAAGGATGTTTTACTGTCCAAGTACTTACCTGCTATGGTATGCCAGTGCCCATCACACAGGCTCTGCTCTACGCCCACCGACGTGGAGTATTCCCCTGCGCCAACATTCACAGCTACAGTAACCTTGAGACAGAGGAACGAAGAGACAATAAGAGACCCGAAGGCAAACTGCATTGTGTGACCATCACAGGGACAAAGAACTGCCAATACCTTTCCATGAGACATAGCTAGTGTCAGATAGTGACCGTCTAGGGTCTGGATGTGGAATATAAGTCCAGACGGACGCATTGGCCGAATCTCCAACTTTACCTCCAGATCCTGCCCCAAATTGACGAGATTCTCTGAAAAGTGGGAGAAAAAACAACAACAAACCATCAGATAACTAGGAGGATCTGTGCGAATGGCTTAATATTCTCCATGTTCTAAAACAACAAACGTTATCTTACCTAATGTTACGAATCCCCCATCAGAGAGGAACAATCCTTTCTCTGTGGCGCCCTCGTAGCAAGGTGTAACACCCACAACATTGTCCGGAGAGTTCAAAGGTTGTCCGTCCATCTTTAGATTCCTCAGGCATCCACTGAAGCTTTTCAACGAGGCTTCCTGAATAACCGAGAGAGAAACTGGTTGGTTGTCACGGCTGATGCAATGTACGAAGCATCGTTTTACCACGGAAGAGAATATAAAGTAATTCAACAACATTTTCTCCAGGCCGGCTACCTTGTCATTTTACAGGTAAATAGATTTTGAAACATTAAGATTCCAGAGACACATTTTACTGTGGCCCCTCTATTTTGCAGAGGTCATAAATCCCACCCCTTGCTCATCTTCTACTTGATCAGATCCCATAGTGCTCTATGGACGCAGCAAGGGTTTGTGGAAGTTGTAGGTCAGAAGATCACTTTGTACAGCAGAAAGCGGACAATTTAAGTATAACACTCAGAGTTGTGAGGGTAGGATGGGTGGGCATATAAAGCAGCAATAATATTGATTTCTATATTTTTAATTAAAAAAAATATATCACATAAAATGTTCAAGAGCCTGGAGTGTCCCTTTAATAATATAAACCCACCCAGTATAACTGTAACCTAACCTACACAGTGCATCTAATGTGTGTGGGAGCCTGGAGTGTCCCTTTAATAATATAAACCCACCCGGTATAACTGTAACCTAACCTACACAGTGCACCTAACTTGTGTGAGAGCCTGAAGTGTCTCTTTAATAATATAAACCCACCCAGTATAACCAACTGTAACCTAACCTACACAGCGCACCCAACGTGTGTGGGAGCCTGGAGTGTCCCTTTAATAATATAAACCCACCCAGTATAACTAACTATAACCTAACCTACACAGTGCACCTAACGTGTGTGGGAGCCTGGAGTGTCCCTTTTTTTAATATAAAACCCCCCTGTATAACTAACTGTAACCTAACCTACACAGCACACCCAACGTGTGTGGGAGCCTGGAGTGTCCCTTTAATAATATAAACCCACCCAGTATAACTAACTATAACCTAACCTACACAGTGCACCTAACGTGTGTGGGAGCCTGGAGTGTCCCTTTTTTTAATATAAAACCCCCCTGTATAACTAACTGTAACCTAAACTACACAGTGCACCTAACTTGTGTGGGAGCCTGAAGTGTCTTTAATAATATAAACCCACCCAGTATAACTAACTGTAACCTGACCTACACAGTGCATCTAACGTGTGTGGGAGCCTAGAGTGTCCCTTTAATAATATAAACCCACCCAGTATAACTGTAACCTAACCTACACAGTGCAACTAACGTGTGTGAGAGCCTGGAGTGTCCCTTTAATAATATAAACCCACCCAGTATAACTGTAACCTAACCTACACAGTGCAACTAACGTGTGTGAGAGCCTGGAGTGTCCCTTTAATAATATAAACCCACCCAGTATAACTAACTGTAACCTAACCTACACAGTGCATCTAACGTGTGTGGGGGAGCATAGAGTGTCCCTTTAATAATATAAACCCACCCAGTATAACTGTAACCTAACCTACACAGTGCAACTAACGTGTGTGCGAGCCTTGAGTGTCCCTTTAATAATATAAACCCACCCGGTATAACTAACTGTAACCTAACCTACACAGTGCACCTAACTTGTGTGGGAGCCTGAAGTGTCCCTTTAATAATATAAACCCACCCAGTATAACTAACTGTAACCTGACCTACACAGTGCATCTAACGTGTGTGGGAGCCTGGAGTGTCCCTTTAATAATATAAACCCACCCAGTATAACTAACTGTAACCCAACCTACACAGTGCATCTAACGTGTGTGGGAGCCTGGAGTGTCCCTTTAATAATATAAACCCACCCAGTATAACTAACTGTAACCTAACCTACACAGTGCATCTAACGTGTGTGGGAGGCTGGAGTGTCCCTTTAATAATATAAACCCACCCAGTATAACTAACTGTAACCTAACCTACACAGTGCACATGTGTGTGGGAGTCTGGAGTGTTCCTTTAATAATCTTCCATTAGTTCACTCACCGCGTTGTGTCGGACTTTGTGCACAGGCACTCCTCCGATGTAGACTGGAAGAGTCAGCGTCAGTGCGGTTCTGGGGGGCAGTGTTCTGCTCTTACTTTTGAGTCCACCCACAACTAGACGCAGCTTGTTCTTCTCTCTCCCAAAGAAAACCTGAGAAACAGAATGTGGTTATTGTAGGAGCCAGCCCCTAGTGTACACTCTGCATGCACAGCACCGTAACAAGTTATATTAAATGTGAAAAGTGACTGTGAGGTCACGGGAAAAGCTCAGATCATACTGCGGGGGAGGTGAGTACCAGATATCACTTACCGTGTGCCACATCCCGTCGTGGTATTTGTCTTTACTGGTCACGTGGAGCTTTTTACCTCCGATGTCCACCTGGAGTACAAAGCGGCCGTTGGAGACGCCAAGTGTCACGGATGAACGGTCTTGTTTGCTGCTAGCATGAAATATTACGCCGTGGGAAGCGTTCAGTCGGACCTCAAGTGAGAAGTGAAACCTAAAGGTGGTAATGGCTAGATAAGATAACTGCGATTTCCTTCAGTTTAATGTGTATTTTGATTTTAATATACGTGTTTCTGTGGCTACTTTGTACGTGGTTGTGAAGGGCCATTTTTGCCGTTTACTGACACCATTATACTGAAATTAAAGGCTGCGTCCTTTTTATTTTTGTAAAATATAAATAATAATGTCTGTCCTTTGATTGGAACCATTTTTTTTTAATAGTCTACATTCATATAATGGTTTCCTAGTTTGAGATACAAATAATATCATCGTATAGCCAGAATGTGCTCCAGACGCTATGTACTGTATGGGAACTGTGGTTCCTGTATAGAAATGGCAGCTTCCATGGTGAAGATAAGGACCGGGTGTTGGGACTGAAGAAAGCTCACTCACCGTTCCTGTACAAAAGCAGGAAGATCTCGGAATTCTAAGTGGCTAAAGGGGGATCCCCCAAATCTTAATGCTCCCATAACACTTTTGGGCTGAACGCAGGATAAATCAGAGTGTCTCTGATCGGGCATCGCCAACTTTCTCTGCCGAGCCTGAAAATGCAGGAGATCAGGGCATTAGCCAAACTACCAGCTCTCATGAGATGCTTTTCCTATCACAAATCAATTAAAATCAAATTTCTTTCTTTTTAAAAAATTTTTATTAACCATCTCTGTGCTGTCCGGTTTAATTTTACAAGATTGTTTTATTGATACATTTTAACATGAATCTGTTCTCTATAAAAACACAGTCTATCTCTCCCATCGCCCTTAATCTGGGCTGATATATAGGAGGAATACGCATATTAAAGCAGTTTATATCTGGATTTCAGTTACTTAAAGCACCTTGTTTAAGGAATTCATATACATAATGTGCATAAAAAAGGGTATTCTCAGTCTGTTAGATTAAAACTTTCTTGATTATTGCATTTTCTTAATTAGTCATTTTTGATAACACATTAAACAAGTTAAACATGTTAATCTGACCAAGTTTCCCCCTTTTCAGTCTAATTATGGTTTAAGGGTTAACCCTCTCTCTCAGCCCGGTACATAGTCTGTCGCTCTATGTTAATTATAACGCAATCTGTCAGGAAGGATTCCCACACACAAAGCCCAGTAACACGTAATCCCTCCGTTTGCCAGGTCCGTTCACGCATCACCAGCTTACCTTCAGCTTATCTTTCTTCAGTAAAGCCCGAATCTCCAGGGGCCGATCCTCGAACTGGTCCTGACAGCTCATGGTGACATTCACACTCTGCTGGTTCTGTAACAGATCAAGCACCGTCTGCGGCCCCGATTTCCTTAGATATACAGAGAGGAGATGGTGAGAGGGTAAACATGGAGCCATGAAAAGAGGCAATGCTATGGAGGGGGGTGGGAGAACAGTGATGCTATGGAGAGATGGGGGTGAATGCAGAGGGCAGGGATAGTACAAAGAGATGGGAGTGAATGGGGAGGGCATGGATGGTACAGAGAGATAGGGGTGAATGGGGAGGGCAGGGATGGTACAGAGAGATGGGGGTGAATGAGGAGGGCAGGGATGATACAGAGAGATGGGGGTGAATGGGGAGGGCAGGGATGGTACAAAGAGATGGGGGTGAATGGGGAGGGCAGGGATGGTACAAAGAGATGGGGGTGAATGAGAAGGGCAGGGATGGTACAAAGACATGGGGGGTGAATGGGGAGGGCAGGGATGGTACAGAGAGATGGGGGTGAATGCAGAGGGCAGGGATGGTACAGAGAGATGGGGGTGAATGAGGAGGGCAGGGATGATACAGAGAGATGGGGGTGAAGAGGGCAGGGATGGTACAAGAGAGATGGGGGTGAATGAGGGCAGGGCAGAGAGATGGGTGAATGGGGAGGGCAGGGATGGTACGGAGAGATGGGGGTGAATGAGGAGGGCAGGGGTGGTACAGAGAGATGGGGAGTTAATAGGGTGGGCAGGAATGGTACAGAGAGATGGGGGTGAATGCAGAGGGCAGGGATGGTATAGAGAGATGGGGGTGAATGCGGAGGGCAGGGATGGTACAGAGAGATGGGTGAATGGGGAGGGCAGGGATGGTACGGAGAGATGGGGGTGAATGAGGAGGGCAGGGGTGGTACAGAGAGATGGGGAGTTAATAGGGAGGGCAGGAATGGTACAGAGAGATGGGGGGTGAATAGGGAGGGTAGGGATGGGACCGAGATATGGGGGTGAATACAGAGGGCAGGGGTGGTACAGAATGATGGGGGGTGAATAGGGAGGGCAGTAAAGGTACAGAGATGACTAAAGGTCACCCTACATGTCTCTCACCTCTTTACAAAGATATTTCTCATGCAGCCACTTAGGTTTGCTTGCTGACTCATCTCCGGTGATCCTCCTAACAGTACTGTGCTAGAGGCTGCCTCCTGTTGAGCTGTACTGCTGGCAGAGGACAATCTACGTGTCTCCTGCAGCTGGTCATCCATGTAAAATCGCACCCTGGAGAATAACAATACGGTTTATAGAAAGGCTGGCACGGACAATTCCTGCAGTGTCTGATTAACACGAATAAGATATATTCTGCAAGTCACAGCCTCCCACTGACACTCACTCATCCTTGTTGCTGTAGAGGGTGAGATAATGGCCTACTCCATCAGCATATGCAGCTTTGGACGCCAGCTCTGCACTTAGCATTTTGACATTCACAAGGCCATCCTGGAGGGATATTTGGCAGGATCCACCCTGCAGACACAAAGCCAAAATACCAAACACAGTCGTTAGCATGGTCATATATTACCGCCAACCCGCCCCCAAACTGGGGAGCACCGAGGACACCTGTGATACGATGTAACCCCTACCGGGATTAACATGAGAGCAAATTGAGAACATCACAAACATCACAGAGCAAACACACTCGCTAAGCTCACGAGATGACATTACAGAGCAGTAACTGGTCAGTACCTCAGTGGCGTGGCTGTACATTAAGCCATTAATCTGACTGGTCTGGAAGCCAAACCCTACAGAGAAGTCATCCTGAAGGGTGGGCACGTTCTTCAAAGACATACTGAGGAATCCGTGTCCAAAGAACTGAACGGACCTTGCAATCTGTGAGAGAAAAAGAAATAGAACCGGTGAACCCTTGGATGGGCTACACCATGTCTGGGAAGGTTGGACCTTGAGATGTTACTTACCAGCAGGTCCGAGGTGCAGCCATAGCTTACACCTGTAGTATTCATTCGTTTCAGATCCATGTATTTCCCCAAAGCTTTGAGACCTTTCATGCAGCCCCTTATGGAGCCTCCTCCAGGAAAGATGTCCTTAAGGCTGGAAAAGAGCATATTATGTGAATATGTGAAGACATTTGGAAAAACTCCTGTGTACAGAAAGCAGTGACAGTGAGTTTCTGGCAGGCGTTCCTCTTACCTCTCCGGAAACTTGCTTGGTAACAGTCCGCCGAGGTAAAAGTATTGAGCCGTCTCCAGTTTTCCGCTTTCATATTCCACTATAAACACATTGATCCTTTCTAGACGCACAAAAATCCTTTTCTTATTGCCAGTCATCACCAGAATGACATGGACCTGCATAGACACCAGGAGGGTAACATTAGCCACATCACGCAAGTCTCTGTGACTGTCAGAATGAGGGAATAAAGCTGCCTTACCGATTTAGGGGTGGACGTGCTGATTGGAGCGTTGGAGGGATCTACCGACTCGGGCTTCTGGAGCCCCTCTCCAACATCGTAATATAGGATTAGTTTTCCTTCTTCAACAGCTAGACACAGGAACTGATCCTAGAAATCAGACAGAGACCACCGTTTCCACAAGAGCTCACAACCTTCTGGGGTGCTGGATCCAAAATCTTAACTTCAATTCCATCCGCACCCCATTTTTACATCATGTTTTCATTGCTGGGTTACATCCACCTCTAGAGACTAGGTGCGCTTCCTCTTACAGAACCGAGTGGTATCAAACACTCCTGATTAATTCACATATTGATAGCAAACTGGGGTGAACAGAAGGGAACCTATAGTCCCAAAGAAATTACTGTTAATTCCAGGACAATGGGCTCCCTTTAAAGTTGTTTCCTAGCACTATAGTGACCTACAATGCCCCCCTCGTCTTCGTGAGGACATCCAGTGTCAGATAGGCAACCAAGAGCCGCCTAACCACCCGAAAGTGCCTCTAATGGCCGAGTTAACCCTGCAAGGTAATAATTGAAGTTTCTCAATAACTGCAATAATTACAATGACATGGTTAAGGGACTGGGACACTGCACGGCCACTTCGATGAGATGAAGTGGTCATGGTGCCTATAGTGTTCCTTTAAGATTCCTGAATGTTATACAAGTAAAAATTAATAATCCACAAGAAACAGACAGGAAGCCACAACAAGATGGGAAGGGTGTGAAATCAATTCATATTCAGAAAAATCAGTCCTTTAAAAACTCCATCAGTGATTAGTTCTCAGAGCTGTTGGGACCATGTAAAACAAGGCAATTTAATGTTCCTAAAACAGTCATGATTTCAGTGAAAGAGCATGAAATGAGGAACATTTCCAATGTTTAAAGCAATCATTCTGTTTGTGTAACCTGCAGTTACACGGATCAGCGTGTACTGACTCCGTACCTCTGCATCGAGGAAGAATAGAATCCCGTTGTAGGAGACGAGGCGGACGTCCATCTCAAACCTTTTGGTAGAGCCGGGCAGCTGGTCCAGTTTAATCTCTGCATAACCCGTACCATCAAAGTAAGAACCATCAGTGAGCCATGGATCATTTGTGGATTTAGATCTGGGAAGAAACGTCAGGTAAACAATGTGAGGAAATGTAGCAAGTATCCAAATCCACCACCTTTAGCATGCACACCATGTTCTAGTCCTGTACAGAGCTCTGTAGTTGGTGGAGCAAGAAACCTTGGTCAATCCAGGGTTTTTTATTCACTGGACCCAGAGCAACTAAAAGCTCACTACAGAGTTACAAAATATTGATTAAAATGCAGAATATAATCATTAATATCAACATATTAATACTCTTGGACATGGCAATCGTTTAGCTTTAAGACTATCGCGAATGCCAAGAAGGCCATAGAACATGGGGAGGCAACCTTCGGCACTCCAGATGTTGTGGAGTACATCTCCCATGATGCTTTGCCGGCCTAGCCCTGGATATAAAATAAGGATCTTACCTGCCACATGGTTTGTCCTGGAGAGTGTCCAGATAGAAGGTTCTCTCAAAATCATACAGACTGATGGGTTTCTCGTTGAGGCTGTCCATCTCTATGCAGCCGCGATACTTCGGATAATTCAGGGAGTCTGGGGGCTGGAAAAGGAAAGATAATTAGCTTATAAAAGTGATCCAAAATCAATCAATAAATAAATAAATATGCACAAAATAAAACAGATCATTAAACAGACACTGAATGACTGCCACCAACAACCTAGGCAATACATGCCTTATCATACCTACCTCTGTTTTCTATAATACTTTGCAGCCAAGGATTCTGGGAAATAACCTGCGGAAATAACCCGCCTTACTTCATAATCACACAGTATACAGAGCTCCCCCTGCAGCCAGGGATTCTGGGTAATAACCCGCCTTACCCAATAATCACAGAGTATACAGAGCTCCCCCCGCAGCCAGGGATTCTGGGTAATAACCCGCCTTACCCCATAATCACACAGTATACAGAGCGCCCCCTGCAGCCAGGGATTCTGGGTAATAACCGCCTTACCCCATAATCACACAGTATACAGTGCGCTCCCTGCAGCCAGGGATTTTGGGTAATAACCCGCCTTACCCCATAATCACACAGTATGCAGAGCTCCCCATGCAGCCAGGAATTCTGGGTAATATACGGTTTTCATCGTTCTCTCCATGAACAAAGTTCTGTAATTCTACACTGTGCAATTTGCATTGAGCACATTTTATCTTTTTTTTATATATAAACTGCGGGCTGTGTTTTTGCGTAACTGTTAAGACTCGATAATAAAAACTAAATGACCAATCTGTTATATTAATTAGTAAGTGAGGGCAGTGGATATAATGTTGGTAAAATTAATTTCCAGTGGAAGTTACTGCATGAAATATAAAGCAGCCAAACTGCGCTGGGTTTTCTTTGATCACGTACCACAAATCCATCAGGATACCCGCCCACGTAGAACACCACGCGGCTGGGGTCCAGGTTGAGCAGACCCTGGTCTCCACTTGCAGTACTTTCTCCTTTCTTCTCATGCAGGGACTGGCTGGAGAAAACGACGGTGGACATCTGACCGTACTGCAGCATCCTGGGGGACAGAGATCAAAAGACACCATGAGAAGCTGAAACCGTATTAGCATAACAAAGAGAGCTGGCGAACACAACATCGCAAAGAATATCTCCGATGCTCTGCGTCACCTCACGTCTAACACTCTACTAGGAGATCAAAGTCACCGTCACGTCTACACAAACACCGTCTGCACAGAGTTACTAATGTTTACACGTGATACAATATCAGTTCATTCGTTTAATGAAGCAGTTTGTCTGTTTCCCTGGTATTTTGATAACGCATTGCGTTTTAATGAACACAGAGTTTGTTTTATTACTCCACCTGCCATGACAACACGTGGATTTTTGTCAATCTGTTTTTAGGTTCCAACTGATATTGATGAATGAAACCCGGTGGGACGGGACGTTACCTCTCTATAGTGACCGTGACAAACTGCTCCGTGATGTCCTCACTGGTGGTCAGGTAGGTGGGTTGCTCCTCTGCCAGTTTGTAAACAAAGTTCAGTCTGTTCCCTTTCAGCACCATTCCGAGATAATCCCCCAAACCCTGAGGAGCAATAACCACAGGAAAGGTTAGGGGAAACCAGGTCCGGATTCTGACTGCATGGAGCGTAATATTCTATATTGGGGTAACTGTTTAACTGTTTGCTGTAGTTTTCCTTCTTTTGGGGTAATACGCTATATCAGGGTTAGACAGCCTTTGGCACTCCAGATATTGCAGTAATAATGCTGGCAAAGCATCAATCAGGAGAGATGTAGTCCACAGGATCTGGAGTTCCAAACGTTGCCTAGCTCGGAGTATTTAGTATTCCTTACTTTGGATTAATACTCTATATACTCGGGGTATTTAGGGGTAATACAGGAGGCATTCAGTTTCCCCTAGTTTATGATAATACTCTATATACTCGGGGTATTTAGGGGTAATACCGGAGGCATTCAGTTTCCCCGAGTTTATGATAATACTCTATATACTCGGGGTATTTAGGGGTAATACAGGAGGCATTCAGTTTCCCTGAGTTTATGATAATACTCTATATACTCGGGATATTTAGGGGTAATACAGGAGGCATTCAGTTTCCCCGAGTTTATGATAATACTCTATATACTCTGGGTATTTAGGGGTAATACAGGAGGCATTCAGTTTCCCTGAGTTTATGATAATACTCTATATACTCGGAGTATTTAGGGGTAATACAGGAGGCATTCAGTTTCCCTGAGTTTATGATAATACTCTATATACTCGGGGTATTTAGGGGTAATACAGGAGGTATTCAGTTTCCCCACGTTTATGATAATACTCTATATACTCGGGGTATTAGCTTTCCTTATTTTATGGTAATACCTTATACAGTGGATATTTGGGGGTAATTATTTTTCCCTTAGTTTGGGTAATACTATATAGAGGGGGTGTTTTAGGATAATGTCCTATACAGGAGGTTTTTGTGGGTAATTCCCTTTTCAGGGGTATTGTTTGCTAATACTCTATACAGGGGGTATTTTGGAATAATACTCTATACAGGGGGCACTTGGAGATGATACTCTATACAGGCGGTATTTGGAGGTTATACTCTATACAGGGGGTATTTGGGGTAATACTCTATACAGGCGGTATTTGGGGTAATACTCTATACAGGGGGCATTTGGGGGTTATACTCTATACAGGGGGTATTTGGGGGTTATACTCTATACAGGGGGTATTTGGGGGTTATACTCTATACAGGGGGTATTTGGGGGTTATACTCTATACAGGGGGTATTTGGGGGTGATACTCTATACAGGGGGCATTTGGGGGTGATACTCTATACAGGGGGTATTTGGGGGTGATACCTATACAGGGGGTATTTGGGGAGGGGTACTCTATACAGTGTATTTGGGGTGATATTCTAGGGGGTATTTGGGGGTGATACTCTATACAGGGGGTATTTGGGGGTTATACTCTATACAGGGGGGATTTGGGGGTTATACTCTATACAGGGGGTATTTGGGGGTGATACTCGATACAGGGGGTATTTGGGGGTGATACTCGATACAGGGGGTATTTGGGGTATTTTTATATACTTACATCCTCGTGCCCGAGGTATAGAACAAAGCGTCCCTGATCCGTGTTGACCTGTCGTTTCTTTTTGCTTTGTGGCTCGGCGTTCTGGATGTGTAATTTTAGAGAGGTGTATGCAGAGAGATCCGCCATGTTGGATGGGGGCCGAAGCTGCACCCCAGAGTTCCCATTAAACTTCACCGGGACCTTCACCTGGTATCGGAAAAAAGAATGGCTGCTGTGAAATACTGAGAATGTCTACATAGTAACAAGGTAACGTACCTAAAAATAAGGCTCTCGGCAAGTAGACGGGGAATTTAGACTCATTTTGAAATTAACAAAATTAAATCTATAATAACAGAGGTAATTTAATCTCGATCTGTGGATATAGTCCTCTCTGCTCACCTTGCTTGCAGCGTCTCTGGCCTGAGAGATTAACTGTCGGATACGTTGGATACTGTCCGATACGCTGCCATTCTGCCCCTGACGGTTTTCCAGATTATTCAGTTTATCCAGAAGAAGAGGAATCGTATTCTCCAAATTAGAGACTTTAAGAAAATGAAGACGTGCAGTGATCAGTTTCTACCAATGTCATGTCAATGTAATAAAATTAATATCAACGTTTCGGGAAGAATTCGATAAAACGTGTAAAATGTCGGAGTGAGAACAAATTCACAGAAGGAAATCCAGCTGGAGTTTGGCTGAGGGGAATCAGACAGGGTCACATGATATGAAAGCCCATTAGAACAAAGGAGAAGCCACACAGAAATCGGAAAGGCCCTACGGTGCCATTAAACTCATCTGAAGGCATTTTTTCACTAAACCGAGAATTAGAGCGAATCGAAAATAGCCGAGCTGTCACTATCGTGGATAATACTAATAATGTAGTACCTGCCCTATGATTCATCTCCCGCCCTATGATTCAGTACCCGTTTTCTCTACGATTCAATACCCGCTCTACGATTCAGAACCCTCTCAACATGATTCAGTACCTGCTCCCTATGACTCAGTACCTGCTCCCTATGACTCAGTACCCGCTCTCTATGACTCAGTAACCGCTCCCTATGACTCAGTACCCGCTCTTTATGACTCAGTACCCGCTCTCTATGACTCAGTACCCGCTCCCTTTGACTAAGTACCTGCTCCCTATGACTCAGTACCCGCTCCCTTTGACTAAGTACCTGCTCCCTATGACTCAGTACCGGCTCTCTATGATTCAGTACCGGCTCTCTATGATTCAGTACCCGCTCCCTATGACTCAGTACCCGCTCCCTATGACTCAGTACCCTCTCCCTATGACTCAGTTCCCGCTCCCTATGACTCAGTACCCGCTCCCTATGACTCAGTACCTTCTGCCTATGACTCAGTACCGGCTCTCTATGATTCAGTACCTTCTCCCTATGACTCAGTACCTGCTCTCTATGATTCAGTACCCGCTCCCTATGATTCAGTACCCGCTCCCTATGATTCAGTACCCACTCCCTATGACTCAGTACTCGCTCCCTATGACTCAGTACTCGCTCCCTATGACTCAGTACTCGCTCCCTATGACTCAGTACTCGCTCCCTATGATTCAGTACTCGCTCCCTATGACTCAGTACCCGCTCCCTATGACTCAGTACCCGCTCCCTATGACTCAGTACTTGCTCTCTATGATTCAGTACCCACTCCCTATGATTCAGTACCCGCTTCCTATGATTCAGTACCCGCTCCCTATGACTCGGTACCGGCTCTCTATGATTCAGTATCAGCTCTCATCCTCTGGTACCCTCCACGTAACCCACCTGATGTTTTTGCTTCCTCCACAGCTTTGTTGACGTCTTCATTCTGCAAGTTGCCGTATTTATTCTTCCATTGCTCCAGGTCCTTCTTTATATCAGTCAATGTGGCCTCTACCCGTGCCGCAGTGCTGTTTGCCTCTGCAGCCTTTAACTTGGCACTTGTGAGGTCTTCTGTGACATTATCTGCATCAAAGGAGAAGAATCAGAAATGAAATCTACAGGACGGGCACTGCATATTGCGTGTGTGTGATACAAGGCACAGCATGTTAAATTCAATAATGGCAGAAGCGGGAGCCAAGCTTCACCTGCCAGGACGGACACTTACCTGGGGTCATGCGAAGTTTGTCCAGGACAGATTTGAGCTCAGACTGAAGGCTTTCTTTCTTTCTCCGTCTGTCCTGTAAATTCCTCCTGGCCTCCTGCAGTTTACGCTCAATATCTGAAAAAAAAATCTGGATGAGGGTTCAGTCGATGAAAACCATAATATTCTATTCTTAGAGCGGCTGCTGGATATGGGTATCAGGAGTGAAACCGGCTTAAAATCACCGTTCACACTCAGCTTGAACCATTACCCCCTGAGGCCACACACGTACAGATAGTGTGTGGGTATAAACCATTGTCTGATTTGCTAGGAATTCCACGAAGATTGCCGATCATTGCCAATCATTCTCCAACAACGTGAAGATTGAACCCTCCCGCCTCATGGAGCCATCTCTCACCTCCTTTTAATTCGCTTTCTGCTGATTTAGCAGATTCCTCCAGCTGGACGCTCTTTTTCAGTAAATCTTTGCCCTTTTTCCCCAGATCCTCGGAGACAACGCTCTGCAAAGGAATCAGTATAATGCATTCATAATGGGCTGGACGAGGCGAGTTTGCCCCCAACTGTAAATGAATCGCCCCATGCCAAGTACTGATGGGAATATTCACAGCCTTACAGGGCGTTACAGGGCAGAGGGCACAACATGTTTACGACCACAGATAGCCGCTAATCTACCAGTTATACAATATAGCCTCTGTTTTGGCAGCATGCGACTGGCAAGGACAGGGCAAATAAATGGCACTAAATAAAAGAGAGGCTGGCACCTTCACTGCATCCCCCGCTGCCCGGTTGGCATCCTTTGCCGCCTTCTCAGCTTCCCGCACGGATTCAATAATGTTAGAATAAGCATTTGAGGCATTTATAGCTTTCTGGATGTAGACTTCCTGATCAGAGTCTCCAATGGCACTAAAATAAAAAATGTCAGCAATAAACATTAATATTCACGTTTCCCTTTACATGCATGCATTGTGTCCCTCTCTGTAATGGATGGAGGGGAATGGGTGTAAAATAAGTCATTGTGATTTCACTAATTAGCCGGATTGTGACTGCTAAGAACTGGAGTCTCCCTATAGTGTACTGCGCTATGGAACATGTGGTCTCTGCACCTGAACAGGTTCTTTGAAAGCTGCCATAGTTGCTTTGCGTGCATCTCTGCCTTCTCCACGATTGGGATTTTTCCGCTGGCTGGAGAGAACTTCTTCACCTTGTCCATGAGCGGACCTCGTGCTCCATCCAGTCCTGCCGCAAGCTTCTCGTACTCCTAGCGGACAGAAAGCAGTCTGAGATATGCACACGCCCCCCCCAATGCACCCATCCAGGCTGAATAGAATATCCAGACATACCTCTTTCAGGCTTTCAATCGTCTGCAGGAGGTCAGAGACCTGAACAAGAGCGTCCTCGGCCATTTTCAGAGCCGCAACCATCTCCTCGTGCTGACTCCGCAGGTCATTTACTTTTATCTGTGCAAAATAAACGGACGATGGTAGAGAAATTTAGGAAGGAGCTTTATCTTAACTGGGGTCACTTAGTGACTGTGCACACATTTATAGCATCTTATATCATTATACAGGCTAATCGCCATATGATAGTTTAATGACTGCTCATGAATATATTGCGTATTTAATATTATACATGATCTCATTAAAACACCCTCTACCCAAATAAAAAATATCACTATTTAAGAGTAACTAAAATACTGCTTACAAGATCTCTTGTCTGCAGCCTTTGCAAGCCCTCCCCTTCTTACCCCGCCCAGACTTTCTGTGGCTGTCCAATCACAGATTTCCCCATACAGCTCAATGAGAAGTCTTTGCAAGGCAAGTGCTCTGGGCAATTGCTGCCTCTTGAGTTTAGCTCCAGTGAGCAACATAACCAGGAAGTAACAGGACTGGGTGTCTGATTGACAGCTAGGGGGTGTAACAAGGTTCTTTCACAAAAGTGTCAATTTCTTTTGAAATTTGCACTTTTTGTCAAATGAGTAAAAGAGGACACATTCTTCACACATAGCATTTCAGCAAGTTAACCTGCTTTAGGGGTCCAGAGTGTCCCATCAGTATCCAGTAGTTTAATATTTGGCAAATTTAATATTCTACAGTCTCATTAATCAGCACTATTTACTTACATTGTTCTCCTCCACATTATTCTGGTTAAGGCTATTGAGATCTTCTGCCTGACGCGTTTTATTTACAGCCTCATTCATTGCATCCCTTAGATCCATCACCTCCGAGTTGTACGAGTCCAGCCGTCTCCTGGTTTCACTCAACAAGTTCTGGAACCCGGTGACCATCTCTGCCTTGACCCGATCCAGCACTGACCAGTGACAGGTGACAAAAGCACGTTAGTATGGGGGCGGCCACTCGTAATGATTATCTAAAGCACGTTTCTCAGTAATGGACTTCAGGGTAGGATTATTCACTAATTGGCAAATTGTGGAGAGTTGAGAGGGGACTTTGGCCAAAATTGCTGAACTAGAAAATATCAACTAAAATACCCAGCTATTCTTTTCATATAATTTGCCATTTTCCTATCTATTCTTCACAAGTCTTGGTTTAGTGAGTAAATCCTCACACGTATGACATTTTACACATTTTAAAACGCCCAGTAATAGCACAAGACGGGCAAATTGTTCTTCTAAAGTGATTCATAGGTTAACCCGTCAACAAATCAGATTTCAGGATGTGAGTAACCCAGACCTGGGATCGAGGCATAGCAAACCCTAATTTTACATCGTCTTGGGTAATCCAAATGTCACTATTATTCAGTGTGGGATTTAAAAACAAAATTTTGTTTACTATCACTGAACAAAAAGATATTTTTAATTGATCAAATTAATGTCTATTTGGATCATATTATATGAATGATGTTAGCTCTGTTGATACAACTTCACTCTCTAATGGAGGATCAATGAAGCCAGCGTCAACACGCCGGGCTCTGCTCTGGTATAAATACATATTTACGTAGAATGGAGATATCTCCAGCAATACCCACATTTTTTGGCCTCTTCCAGCTCCTGTGTTGCCAGGTCTGCAGGGGGTTTAAAATCTCTGATCCTCATCGCTTTTAGCATCCGATCGATATCCGTCGTAATTTGTCTGAACTCGTCCGTCGATGTGACGTTGGTGCTGTTCGACTGTCCAATTCGCCTGAGCTGATCAATCAGACCTGAGTGTGGGTCGATGGCAGTGGTTAGTAAGACGGGCAAATGTGCAGCGAGATTCTGAGCATTATATGGGAGCACCTGACAGAAGCCACCATTAAATCCAACATTCGCTATTGTCTCTGTGACCCATTCAGCCCCAACCAACCCAAATATTACATAATAAATTCTAACTCAGAGTGTGGTTAATCAGCTTTCATGGTTCATTTCTGCCTTTTACTAAATGTAAATATTGACATCGAAATCAAACCTGTGATCAGCTTCATAAAAACAAATCTAACAAACTTTAGCGGAATAATGAAACGGCGAGGATTCTTACCAAGAGACGTATTGTACAGAGACTGCACTCTGCTGGACAGTTCTTTGGCTCTCTGGCTCGTAGCTTTAGTTGTCTTTTGTATGCCAAAAGCAGTTTTTTTGGTCTGATTCATCTATAAACAGAAGATAATATCACAGAAATAAGATGTGTCCGAGCAACATGCATCGCCACCTACAATGGAAATGGGAAAAAGCAGCACTCGCCTTTTCTTGCAGAGCATCGAGATCCTGAGCCAGACTTATGCTGTCATCTTCCAAGTCATCGGCTTTGTCTTTAATTCCATTTACCGAGCCCTGATACTGAAGCCATATCTCCTGCAAACAAACACAGGGAAAACGCCATTAAATGCACGCTCCTTTAATGTTTAATGACAAGCTATGCGTGTAAACTCCAACCCTCCGTGTGATAAATACCGAAAGATCTGTTAGAAATGAGCTGTACTTTATTTACACATTATAGAGTCAGAGAAAGACCTTTGAATGAGGTTGAAATGTCGTTATCACGGTACGTGCCAGAATAAAGGCTTGCTGATTAAATCAATTTATTGCTATATTTATTACCAGAGATCCTTTATTAATACCCTGTGAGTGGACGATCAGAAACTCAAGACTGTTTCTATGAATATCGTGCCTGGGCAACATTTTACATCTCGGCCGAGTTCAAATCACAGCATTCACAAATGCCTGTACAATGCGTGATGCACAGCGGAGTGATTCTCACACATACCGTGAGGTTGGCGATGGAGCTGTTGATGCCGCTAAGGCGAGTCCAGGCGATGGAGCTTGCAGTCAGATTGGTGAGCTGATCTCGGATGCTGGGAAGGAAATCCGCCATTCTCTGTAAATCCTCCAACAAAGTGACAACACAACTGTCACATGCTGCGGAGACAGTTAATCGTCTGTTAATGAGGAATCTCGATAACAGGTCACAAGCAAAGAGCTTGCAAATTACACTGAAACAGACAGGATTCATTGCAATCTGGTGGGATTTATTAAAGAATTATCTAACAGCTCTGTGCTGGGGGTCTCCCGGGAGAGGTTACTCACGCTCGCATTTCAATGTTTCTGTTCCATAGGTAACGGGAATCTCATAAGGTCGACTGCAAGTGTCGCATTGTTTCCCCATCAGATCATCGCTGCACTGACACTCTCCGGTCCGGGGGTCACAGGAGCCCCCTTTACAGCTGCACTCTGCAGAATGAACATTACAGGTATCATGTCATTGGCTTGCTGTGATGATGTACTTAACCCCTTCTATACAGGGCATGGAGCACAATGCACCCCTCTTAGATATGGGCAGGTTTAAATGTAAACGGAGCTGCTGAGAGGACCAAAAGCTGTGTTGGGTGGACAGACGTGACACTAGGGATAATAATCCTGTGGGTCTTACACAGACCCCACGGTGTGTCTCTGAAGAATGATGAAATATATTATTTACTTACTGGTGCATCCTGTAGGACCAAAGTTCCAATACCCAGGGGTGCACTGTTGGCATCGCGGGCCGGTAACACCAGGGAGACACCGACATTGCCCACTGTGGGGGTCGCAGCCGGTACCTGCTGATCCGGAGCCACAGCTACATTGCTGGCAACCACTGCACCCGTTAAAGCCAGAGAAACCGTCCTGTGTAAACAGATATACAGACATGTCACTCTCCCTCTAGATTGTAAGCTCTCAGGAACAGGGTGCTACATTATAACACAATCTATCATTATGGAACACAACTGCAAAGCACTCTAGAAATTATTGGAAGATTTATAGATATAAAAGAATCAGGTTTTTAATGACATTACCTTGCACCGGTCACAACGTGAACCCGTCACTCCGGCTTTACACAAACATCTTCCTGTCCTTTGGTCACATGACTCCGTCCCACATACAGAGCAATCACACCCTGAAAATAAACAACGCAATTATAGAACAATTGCTGCACAAAACAACAGAGAGTATTATTGTAATAGTACTCTTATTGAACATGTGCTTATACCACACACTGCAGCCAGCCCAGGCGGCCATTAATGGTTTTTGTACTAATAGAAAGGATCAGGAAAGTTTATAGCGTCTTACTGGTGCAGTTTTTGGCGCTGACTGCGTCTCCATAGAAGCCAGGAGCGCAGATCTCACAGTGCGGCCCCGCGGTATTGAACATACAGCCCGAGCACATGCCCGACAGAGGGTCACAGTCGCTGAACAACATGTTGGAATCGGTGTTCCCGTTACAATTACATGGGCGGCAGAAACTTCCGATTACCATAGGATTTCCATAGTACCCAGGCGCACATCTATCAACAAAGAAAAACAAGATAGTTAGTGGAATTAAATCCTTTCCGAGGCCGGGATGTAAAGATTCAGGACCAAATAACAAGCTGAACTCACTAAACTAGAGAACGTTATATGAAAGCGAAAGAGGTCTGCAAATGGCCACCACAAGGGTGTCTCGACTAGGACTAACAGAAAACAAAGAAAAAAATATCCATCAAAAACAGAAATTCTAATAAAATGCTCCAGTGACACTCACCGCTCGCAGTTGGCTCCAGCGTAACCCGGTTTGCACAGACACTGAGTGGAGGGACCCCGCTGAACGCAACCGATGGCGAAACTGCAAGAGATATAGAATGTTTTACCCACAATCCCCGGAATCTGCCCAATACTTTATTACAGAGACTTATAGCATATTCACTAAGCTGGAAACTACAAGAGATAAACACTGCTCAAAAAAATAAAGGGAACACTTAAACAACACAATGTAACTCCAAGTCAATCACACTTCTATGAAATCAAACTGTCCACTTAGGAAGCAACACTGAGTGCCAATCAATTTCACATGCTGCTGTGCAAATGATCTAGACAACAGGTGGAAATTATAGGCAATTAGCAAGACACCCCCATTAAAGGAGTGGTTCTGCAAGTGGTGACCACAGACCACTTCTCAGTTCCTATGCTTCCTGGCTGATGTTTTGGTCACTTTTGAATGTTGGCGGTGCTTTCACTCTAGTGGTAGCATAAGACGGAGTCTACAGCCCACACGAGTGGCTCAGGTAGTGCAGCTCATCCAGGATGGCACATCAATGCGAGCTGTGGCAAGCAGGTTTGCTGTGTCTGTCAGCATAGTGTCCAGAGCATGGAGGCGCTACCAGGAGACAGGCCAGTACATCAGGAGATGTGAAGGAGGCCGTAGGAGGGCAACAACCCGGCGGCAGGAACAGGAGGAGCACTGCCAGAGCCCTGCAAAATGACCTCCAGCAGGCCACAAATGTGCATGTGTCTGCTCAAACAGTCAGAAACAGACTCCATGAGGGTGGTATGAGGGCCTGACGTCCACAGGTGGGGGTTGTGCTTACAGCCCAACACCGTGCAGGACGTTTGGCATTTGCCAGAGAACACCAAGATTGGCAAATTCGCCACTGGCGCCCCGTGCTCTCCACAGATGAAAGCAGTTTCACACTGAGCACATGTGACAGAGTCTGGAGACACCGTGGAGAACATTCTACTGTCTGCAACATCCTCCAGCATGACCGGTTTGGCAGTGGGTCAGTAATGGTGTGGGGTGGCATTTCTTTGGGTGCCGCACAGCCCTCGATGTGCTCGCCAGAGGTAGCCTGACTGCCATTAGGTACTGAGATGAGATCCTCAGACCCCTTGTGAGACCATATGCTGGTGCGGTTGGCCCTGGTCAATGCTAGACCTCATGTGGCTGTGGTGTGTTAGCAGTTCCTGCAAGACGAAGGCATTGATGCTATGGACTGGCCCGCCCATTCCCCAGACCTGAATCCAATTGAGCACATCTGGGACATCATGTCTTGCTCCATCCACCAACTGTCCAGGAGTTGGTAGATGCTTTAGTCCAGGTCTGGGAGGAGATCCCTCAGGAGACCATCCGCCACCTCATCAGGAGCATGCACAGGTGTTGTAGGGAGGTCATACAGGCACATGGAGGTCACACACACTACTGAGCGTCATCTTGACTTGTTTTAAGGACATTACATCAAAGTTGGATCAGCCTGTAGTGTGTTTTTCCATTTTAATTTTGAGTGTGACTCCAAATCAAGACCTCCATGGGTTGAAAAATTTGATTTCCATTTTTGAATTTTTGTGTGATTTTGTTGTCAGCACATTCAACTATGTAAAGAACAAAGTATTTCAGAAGAATATTTAATTCATTCAGATCTAGGATGTGTTTTTTTAGTGTTCCCTTTATTTTTTTGAGCACTGTAGAATGTTTTACCCACAATCCCCGGAATCTGCCCAATACTTTATTACAGAGACTGTTAACACTATCATGTGAGCGAAAGAGCTCTGCAAATGGCCCCTCTAAGGGTGTCTCGAATAGGACTAATAAAAACAAAGAAAAGATTATTCACCAAGATGGAAACTACAGGGAATTGAGAAAGTGAAAATGTTTAGCCTAAAACAGACCAGCTGGATATTTTACAGTTTTGCTATTTTGTTGTACATTTGCCTCATCAATTCTCCACAATTCCCGATTTACTGAATAATTTCCACAATTAATGGTCTGTGGAAGGTTCGACGTAACCACACTTCAATCAAATATAGGGGAATAATTTAGCAACTGCCTGAAGACAGACATGGAAACGCATTCTTTGTTAGAACTTCATTTAGCAAATCTGTTATTGAGAGTAAACTTAGTGTTTTTCATTCTTCTAATATTTACTCACTTGTTGGAGGGCACACTGAGGGGACACGGGCAGGAGACGCACTGCAAGGAGCCGTCCAATGTCCTGTTAGCCACAAAGCCGTCCTTACAACGCTCGCAATATTTGCCCTCCGTATTGTGTTGGCATGTCTATGGAGAGTAAAGAAACATATTATGATTGGACTGCAACGTTACCAAACAACCAATCCTGACCAACCAACCATGACACCAACTCACCACGCAGGCGCCTGATCCTGCCAAACACTGGTCAGAATGGCCGCTGCAGTTACAGGGCACACATTTACCCAAAAAGAGACCCTTGGTGTCCCTGTAGAAGCCAGGAGCGCACTCCTTCAGGACAAAGAGGTGACAAGCAGATTGATAAATGATTAGAAGAGGAATCAACAGGTCAAACATCAAAGAAAACAGTAACAAGCTACATTACGATCAGACACATAGAATATACTGAAATGCACACAAAGGAAAACATCCCATCGGTTCAGTCACAATACAGTAAAGATAATTTTTTTTAACAGACGTGAAAGAGTTTTGCCTCTGTTTTTAGTTTGTCAAACACTTTATTACTCTATTTACATTATCTAATGATAATATCCTTGTCTAATCTTTTCCACAAATGAAATGCTATAAACAATAGCTTGCTTTGTCATGGGTAACCAAGGAGCCAATGCCTGAACATGGCATGGTTTGTGGCAGAAACGGTTATTGGGGAATCAGGGCATGCACGGCTGGCAGTACCTGGCAGGAGTCCCCACGGTAGTTGGCGGGGCACAGACACAGCTCTACGTTCCTGGCTTGGTTATCGCCTCTTGTCTCTTGTCCGATCTCCAGGATGACTCTACGCAGAGATACGGAAGACGATGATTGGGAGTTCAGAGCGCGGATCTGCAGCTGCTCCAGATTAGTCAGAACCATCATGAGATCCTCTCGAGAAACCGGGTTATGGGTCTGAGTGTGGATGAAGTTCCCCTGCAAGCAATCAGTCAGCAATGTGTTACAGAACCTGATCATCAAACCACACTCCACCTCCCCACATTCTGTCCACTCCCCCTCAGTACCCTCATGCCCCACTTACCTCAAGCAAATAAATTTGTCTCTGGTGGCTTTCACCCGGTGCGGGGTACCTGGTCTCCAGGTAGGCAATGCTCATCTGATTTCCCTGCAAAATAAGGCCAATATCTGAGTCGTACCTCGGCTTTCACTGTGAATCCCAATTATGAACACTATGCACACAATGCAAGTCTTGCCCAGCAGTGCCAAAACAGCGCCATACCTTCAAGATGACGTCTGCCCGTCGTTCCACTGGTATATAAAGAGGATCTCCTCTCAGGGCCTCCGAGTGGAGCTCATATCGCAGAGATCCACCATAAGAAGAAACCTGCACAGAGAATATCAATATTTACAGCTTTATAGTGTTTTACCCAATCCTGCAGCTTTTAGTACTGTGAACATCTCAATCAGGGCAACTACAAAGCCAAACAGAATCTCAGCCCACTCGAGATAAATGGCAGCTCAGCCCACTCGAGATAAATGGCAGCTCAGCCCACTCGAGATAAATGGCAGCTCAGCCCACTCCAGATAAATGGCAGCTCAGCCCACTCCAGATAAATGAAAGCTCAGCCCACTCCAGATAAATGAAAGCTCAGCCCACTCTAGATAAATGAAAGCTCAGCCCACTCCAGATAAATGAAAGCTCAGCCCACTCCAGATAAATGGAAGCTCAGCCCACTCCAGATAAATGGAAGCTCAGCCCACTCCAGATAAATGGCAGCTCAGCTCACGCCAGATAAATGGCAGCTCAGCCCACTCCAGATAAATGGAAGCTCAGCCCACTCCAGAGAAATGGAAGCTCAGCCCACTCCAGATAAATGGCAGCTCAGCCCACTCCAGATAAATGGCAGCTCAGCCCATTCCAGATAAATGGAAGCTCAGCCCACTCCAGATAAAGGGAAGCTCAGCCCACTCCAGATAAATGGAAGCTCAGCCCACCCCAGAGCCCACTCCAGATAAATGGAAGCTCATGGGGATACAGGTCCATCTGCTTGTCTGGGATTTGTAGTTTTGCACTACGTACCTTACAGCACTGGACGTGTACAGTGCCCGATTACTTAGGTTTTAATCACCCCAACTGCTACAGCATAACAGGTAGAAAATATTATCAGGATCCAAGTAGAAAAAAGTATGATCGATCCCACACTGTGTGGGCAAACACTAACCCGATCTCCGAGGTAGCTGCGTGGCGCAAGCCAATAGAATTCTTGGTAAACATCTGGAATATCTGACAGATCAGCTGTAACAAGCCCCTCATTTGGCTGTACGGAGGTCTCCACTTCCTGCCGATCTCCCCCTACCAGTACCCAGCCAGTCATGTCGCTGAACTGTGAAGGGTAAAGAGTTAAACTTGGACACTACACGCAGGTTTATATAGAGATAATGGTCACTTTCAGGATATCGTACCAACCTCTGCCCGATATTTGGACCCTGTGTGGCAACGATCAGTGGCTCCAAAACAGAAACATCTGGTGCAGCCCTTGGGATTGTCACCGTCCAGGTAGAAAGTGCCCAGGCGGCATCGCTCACAGCTCAGCCCCTCCACATTTTCCTGGAGGAAGACATGAAGTAAACAATCAGTTTGGACAGGTAGAGGTTAATGTGTGTCGTGGGTCTCTGACATCTCCCCACTTCCCAAAAACTGACCTAATAACCAATACTGCTCAAACTAGCTTAACTTAATGATCCAACTCACTTGCCTTCATTTCTATGGGTTCATCCACTAAACAGTGACCGTACAGAACAATGAACTGCAAAGCCCTATTGACCAGTCTGTGTTTTGTTTGATAGAGGAACTGATGTCGTATGATCTTCACCAAGATAAAAACCCCATAATGAAGCACCCATTCTTAATTTTAAAGTAAAGTTTTTATGATACGAAGCATGACATTTTTTACCACACATTTATTAAAGCAAGTTCCCTTCAATTAACATAAACTGAACTCTATTAACTGTCCAGTAATTACTAGAGAAAGCTCAGCGCGTGGGGGAGAGGAACAATGACAGAAAACACATGGCAGGACCGTAACTGGCAGAGGATGCCGTCCTTGCCACGTTTTGCTGGGGTTCTCAGGGGATACGTGACATGGCACTCACCTTGCAATGACACTGGCCAGACACTGGGTCACAGATGCTGGGCTCTGTACCTGCCCGGTTACATTCACACGGCCTGCAGTTGGGGTAACCAAAGTAGCCAGGGGCACATTTATCACACCTTCTGCCCATGATGTTTGGCTTACACCTACAGAAAAGAGCGTGACACGTTATAAACGAATTGATCATAATTAACATAATATTAATTAATAGTAAGTCTGTAGACATTCTATCAATTCTGCACAGAAACCGTTCCCCTTAATACATTCAGGAGAGACTTCACCAGCTCAGTAAACCAGAACTTTATAAATCCACTCACAGCTCTCCCTCTCTACACCGTCACTCATGGTTCTTCCTCTCTAAGCCATCACTCACGGCTCTCCTTCTTTAACCTGTCACTCATCATTCTCCATTTCTAAGCTGTCACTCACAGCTCTCCCTCTCTAAGCCATCACTCACGGCTCTCCCTCTCTAAGCCGTCACTCATTCCTCTCCCTCTCTAAGCCGTCACTCACGGCTCTCCCTCTCTAAGCCGTCACTCACGGCTCTCCTTCTCTAACCTGTCACTCACGGCTCTCCTTCTCTAACCTGTCATTCATGGCTCTCCTTCTCTAACCTGTCACTCATTGTTCTCCCCCTCTATGCCGTCACTCACAGTTCTCCCCCTCTATGCCGTCACTCACAGTTCTCCCCCTCTACGCCGTCACTCACAGTTCTCCCCCTCTACGCCGTCACTCACAGTTCTCCCTCTCTAGCCGTCGCTCACAGTTCTCCCTCTCTAGCCGTCGCTCACAGTTCTCCCTCTCTACGCCATCACAGTTCTCTCTCTCTAGCCGTCACTCACGTGCACTGTCCGGTGTGGATATCACATCCTAGCTCTGTCATGTTCTGCAGTCCGGTTCTGGAGCAGTCGCAATTCTCACAGCCAATAAGTGCATGACAACCGAATGTCTGTGGCTGGCAAACTGTGCATTCCGGCTTCACGGTGCGAGGGGGGCAGATACACTGACCGGTCACCTCATCACAAAGGCGAGAGCCGCATTCACAGGCTGGGAGAAGGGGAGGGAGGGGGGTGTTAGCACATATTCAACAATAAATCCACAGAATCTCAATAATGTGTTAACAAAAATGCAGAAAATAGCAGATTTTAACGGTAGAATGGAAAATACTTGACTTTTCTACACATCCCATTCAGCTGCACAGGAAATAACGGTTGGTTATTTAGCACACCTTATACCACAATACAACTACAAACAGGCACACTGCACCACCTTGTGGCAAATACAAGAACAAGCAGTGACACACAGAGTGTGTACACAAATAATAAAATAAATATGTAAAATGTGCATCACAAAGCCAGCTCTAATAATAATAAATTATAATAATTTAATAATAACACATTTGATTCATATTAACGGATTCCTTTTGCTCTCGGATTTTAATTTAAGATTATTTAATTCCCATTCCCAGTGTTCGTTTTGACACTCACGTCTGCAGTTTGGGAAAGCCCAGTATCCCACGGCACAGTGGGAACAATCTCTTCCAATTACATGTGGGCGGCAGGTGCACTGCCCTCCGTACGGCTCACAGGACGCACCCACAGCGCCAGCTTCGTGGCAGTTACACGGCTGGGCACCATTATTGTAAAAAAGCGACAGGGAGACAGCAGCGTCTCGGCAGAACTTGAATGGGGCCGGGCTGGGAAGAGAAGTCAGACATGTCAAAGAGCGCACAATCAGAAATGCAGGAGAAATGGCGAATCACCTACACAGGCAGCAGACAAGATACCTGCCGTAATGGCTGTATCGCAGTGTGCAGCGTAAACAAGGAGTGTCAGTCACGTGATCAAAAGGCGGCAACATGCTGACCGCAACTCCCGCAAACCTCAACCAGCCAAAAACAATGCAAATGAGGCAGGAAAAGGCTTATGGGACATGCAGTTTACCAGCCGGCACTGGCACAATAAAGATAGGACATATTATCTTTTAAATGAAATTACTGCCCAATGACTTCCTGTAAGTGTCCTTTATTTACGATTCTATTTGTACAAATTATTTGCAGTGGAATTGGTTACATCCTCAGTGATGTTAAACCCATTTCATGCCACGTTTATAAAGTCCTTACTTGCTCTGGAAGCTGTTGGCTCCGCACTGACTGATAAAATTATAGGATTTGTCCAACGGTTCTTCTACCAGATAGCTGGAGCTGTAACTGTCTTCGGGGATCACCAGAATGTATTCCTAGCCAAACAAACAGCAAGTTAAAGACTTAGCCAGATAAGGCCCATATTGTCAACATTGGTCACGGCACAAAATGCGTGGTTTTCACTTACCAGCCAGATTATCTTCCCGCCAGGAACACGCACGGTCACCGTCAGGTCGTTATCCGTCACATCTAGAACAACGTGGTTCTCAGAGACAACCAAGCTCCGGCAGCCGTAACCGTGAGGGCAGTACGTGGCATTTGCAGAACCTTAAATAAGGGAAATATGGACTTGTTATCCTCCTGGTGAGAACACAGTGATAATATCTTCCTGGTGAGAAATCAGCCAATACAACAAAATAAAAATCTACGCTGTGTCAGTCTCTGTTCTCACTGCCAAGGGCCAAATCGATACAAATAGCCGCGATTTGTGTTGTAGATTCAAAATCTATCACCTTCCTAAAGCAGTTTCTCATTACTTTCAATAAAAACCATGAATTTCTCACGCGCGGCACAGCTTTTACCGGGTGTAAAGACAAGATCGCCTGGTATAAGCATCATGGCGACTGCTATTTTACTTTCTGTATTGATCTGTAATGCAGTCTCATTTTTTATTCCACAATATGCAAAGACCAAAACTATGACCCAATGATCTCCCAGCACACGGAACCCTCAGACCCGCAAGCTACATGGTACGGAGTGATATATTTTCTAGCCACGGCATCTGTTAGGTGATCCTCTAATTACTGTATACAGATACAAGTGCTCTGACTGATCGAGCAATACGGTATTCTTACCTTGCCATACCCGGCCCCCATGAACAAGCACCTCGATGGTGAAGGTCGGCTGGGAAGGCTGGTAATAATGTACCACGAAAGCGTAACGTCCTGGGGATTGAACACGCCCGTTGTACCCCACAACGGTCTACCCAGAGCGACAGAAATAGAAAAAGAAACAACAGAGAACCGTAAGGATTAAATCTACAAATTATACAAAGAATAGGGCAAAATAGATTAATAAACAGGATTTTTATTTGTGTAACGTGTTATTTTTAGTTGCACACCTGTGGGCTATGTAGATGAATTAGCTTTGTGGCATCTATTGCAGTTGGTGGCAGGGGGTCTGGGTGGGTGGGAACTTGGTGACCATCTGTGTGTGGTGTCAGGAAACCGTGGGACAGAGGAATGTTGTCTGGGACCGATCCCACCTTTCCCTCTCTTAGAACCACAGACTGAGATGGCTTCTGGAAGCGTGAAGGAACGCAGGACCCACTGCAGATCAGCAAACACAGAATAAGGAAACGCAGGCGAAATGAGAGGCTTTAATCTCTAAAAATTCAAACACGCTACCTGCTGGGAGAAAATGATCCGTGGACGGCTATACAGTGAACACGTGGCTGAATATACTCCATGGTAAACTGCTCACTTGGGATCAAGTAGATCTTCGCCTGTTGGAAAACACAAAACGGGTACATTAGTAAGATGCGAAATCACAGCGCTAAAGCAGGCTGGTTCAGAAAAGTGCGCACTCACTAAATGGAACCGCGTCTGATCTGCCGTAAAGCGAATAATGGCTTCTGTGCTGATATCAAAGCTGGCCACTCTGTGCTGTGCATCGAGGACGACCCCACGGCACAGGAAACTGTGAAAAGGAATAAAGTTTTATTTACACCTATACATTCCACTAAAAGACAGGTCCTGCTAGCAGAGTTTAGCATTTAAAGAGCGCAGTTTGAACGCAGGGTTACTGACCTGAATTTACACGGATAGAACTTGATGGTTCCCTGCTGGGGGTGGTGCGGAGGTGAATGTAACGTGACACTGGTGGGCTGTACTTCCTCCTCGTTGGCATATTCCACCAAAACCACATACCGGCCCGGGTGAGGAACCAAGAGACGGAACTGGACATCAACCTGGATGTCGGGAGTCAAGCTAGCAGTTAGTGTCTCAGTATATCCCAAGGTAGCAGTTAGTGTCTCAGTATATCCCAAGCTAGCAGTTAGTGTCTCAGTATATCCCAAGCTAACAGTTAGTGTCTCAGTATATCCCAAGCTAGCAGTTAGTGTCTCAGTATATCCCGAGCTAGCAGTTAGTGTCTTAGTATATCCCGAGCTACCAGTTAGTGTCTCAGTATATCCCGAGCTAGCAGTTAGTGTCTCAGTATATCCCAAGCTAGCAGTTAGTGTCTCAGTATATCCCGAGCTAGCAGTTACTGTCTCAGTATATCCCAAGCTAGCAGTTACTGTCTCAGTATATCCCAAGCTAGCAGTTAGTGTCTCAGTATATCCCAAGCTAACAGTTAGTGTCTCAGTATATCCTATGCTAGCAGTTAGTGTCTCAGTATATCCCGAGCTAGCAGTCTAGCAGTTAGTGTCTCAGTATATCCCAAGCTGGCAGTTAGTGTCTCAGTATATACCAAGCTAGCAGTTAGTGTCTCAGTATATCCCAAGCTAGCAGTTAGTGTCTCAGTATATCCCAAGCTAGCAGTTAGTGTCTCAGTATATCCCAAGCTAGCAGTTAGTGTTTCAGTATATCCCAAGCTAGCAGTTAGTGTCTCACTATATCCCGAGCTGGCAGTTACTGTCTCACTATATCCCGAGCTGGCAGTTAGTGTCTTAGTATATCCCAAGCTAGCCGTTAGTGTCTCGTTATATCCCAAGCTGGCAGTTAGTGTCTCAGTATATCCAGAGCTAGCAGTTAGCGTCTCAGTATATCCAGAGCTGGCAGTTAGCGTCTCAGTATATCCCAAGCTGGCAGTTAGTGTCTCACTATATCCCGAGCTGGCAGTTAGTGTCTCAGTATATCCCGAGCTGGCAGTTAGTGTCTCACTATATCCCGAGTTGGCAGTTAGTGTCTCAGTATATCCCAAGCTAGCAGTTAATGCCTCAGTATATTTCAAGCTAGCAGTTAGTGTCTCAGTATATCCCGAGCTGGCAGTTAGTGTCTCACTATATCCCAAGCTAGCAGTTAATGCCTCAGTATATTTCAAGCTAGCAGTTAGTGTCTCAGTATATCCCAAGCTAGCAGTTAGTGTCTCAGTATATCCCGAGCTGGCAGTTAGTGTCTCACTATATCCCAAGCTAGCAGTTAATGCCTCAGTATATTTCAAGCTAGCAGTTAGTGTCTCAGTATATCCCAAGCTAGCAGTTAGTGTCTCAGTATATCCCGAGCTGGCAGTTAGTGTCTCACTATATCCCAAGCTAGCAGTTAATGCCTCAGTATATTTCAAGCTAGCAGTTAGTGTCTCAGTATATCCCAAGCTAGCAGTTAGCGTCTCAGTATATCCCAAGCTAGCAGTTAGTGTCTCAGTATATCCTGAGCTAGCAGTTAGCGTCTCAGTATATCCCAATCTAGCGGTTAGCGTCTCAGTAATCTCTGATGTTCATACTTACATCGTTTCCATAACACATCACCATGGGTGGGTGCCGGGGAGTAATGCGTTCAGCTTGGCACGGTCTGGGCAGATTATTATCGAGGCGGCATATCCCATCACTTCCTTGTGCAGATGTAAATCCATCCAGCGACAGGTATTTGTAGAGAAGGCAGCTGAAAAAGACAGAGCGACAGTGAGACAGTGAGCTGATCTCTGACCCCTTCTAACTACTCTGGGCAAAAGTAAGACATAATGAGGCACTATATAGTGTTCTAGCGTACGCGGAGTGTTGGGATCTCTTACTTGTTGGTGGTCTGGTCTGCAGACGGTAAGTAGCTGCACGGCTCTGTGACTTTCACCTGCAGGATTGGGGCTTCGTAATATGCGCTGGGCAAGAGAACCAGATAATCCTACAAGAGACTTGGCAGTGAGAACAGAGACTGACAGCAACACGGACACATTGTATAATCAAACAATAAGTAACCCACCAGCAGAACATCTTCCACCTCTATTTTCACTGACCACGTGTTGGGATTCAGGACAAACGGTGACCCAAAACTGCCCTGCGGGATGGTCACGAATGCGGGGTCGGTACTTGGTGGGAAGGTTATCTGCTTGGACTGTTCAGAGCCTGCAAAGGGAAAAAATAGGAAATATTAAGCAGAATCATAACATCCGGCCACAGCGATGAGGAATTCTCAGCGCCATGGAAGAGAACGTAAAAGGCACTCAGGGGGTTAACCCTTTCATGGCAAGAGAAAGATCATTACTTGATAAGGGACCTAGCACTTTATGAAGGGGTTAACATATATATATATATATATATATATATATATATATATATAAACATACAACTCTACAATTCACCGACGCATTTTATTTTATGGCTGGTGCGTAATTTTGAGCATTCGTTTACTAAGAGCTCTCTGGCCAAAAAAAGAGTTATAGATGATATAACTACGGGAAGAAATGAATACGGGGTCCTCGGGCAGAGATAGGGCCCCTGGAGCCTCACAGAACACTTTTTAGGTGTGAAATAGTGCAGGCTCGTTATTAAATTCTGGGAATAATGTTTCACAAGAAGCGATGAAAGAGACAAGTAAATTAGACAGCATTAAGCCTGCGTCTCCTTCTCCCCTCTCAGCGAGCTCTAATGAGACATTCCACAGCTTACTGAGTCTCCGTGCCCGCCTGCTGGAATGTACCACGGATAAAAGAGGGGACAGACACTATACTTACAGTTGGCACAAGCATTTGATCTGCTGTCCTCCCGGAATGTCACTGTCCCGCTCACGCTGTCCGGCCCACGATTCACATATCGGAAAACCACTCGGAAGAGGTCCGGAGAGGTGACATTGATGGTTAGCACAACCTTGGGCTGCGAAAGACAGACAGACTGTATGATCGTGGTATAAAGACATGCATGCCAGCACTCAAAGAGTTAACTTACACTGTTGTTTTAAAGAAACGGGAGATACACAGTAACGCTGGGGCCAATGCATATATTATTCTGTTCTTTACCAAACATATAGCCGGGTTTAACCCCTGAACGACCTGGGCCAATGCAAGCCACGAATCCCTTTATGTCATGAAATGCATGGGTTGGATTTAAAGGAAAACTGTCATCATTTTGCAATGGCAGCCTGACTAACTCCTTGATGGTACGTGTCTCTTTATCGACTGGTTATGAACTGACATTATATTGCATTTATCAGATTCCATGTGTTATCTGTGCACTTTGCTGTATACTCAAATAAAAAATCTAAATTGAAAAAAAAAAAACTATAATAATTTTTTTTTAGTATTGAAAATAAACAACTCTATGTATTGCAGCCTCTGTGTCTATTACGTTATAATGAATATAATGAATAATAATAAGTTCTTTTTGGTGCCTTTCCCAGACCCCAAAGAGGCAGCCATCTTGAATGTGGCGTAACAGGATGGGGGATAAAAATCAGCCCACGATAAATATTTTAGTATAGCCTTCTAACGCTCGGAATAATGCACAGCACGTGCGCCACCTTCTGTCCCGCTCAGAGGTGGATATGGTGGCAGAGCGCGTGGCGCAGGACATTGCTATATTTACTGCATTATAAATACTGTATGAGCGTGGGGGAAATTGCTGTGCGCTAATTGCCACACACGTAAGAAACAGCTTTTTCTGATCCATACCGCGACGCAGCGAACAGCCTGACAGAATTACTCTGTCAGCAAAATTAAAATCAGAATGGCGAAATTTACACCAATGAGCAGAACTCCACTCCAGACACAGCCTGGATAATTTTCGAAATGTTAAATTCTGTCCAATACGGAGTGTCTATTGATTAACCCTGCGTGGTTGCTGGATGTTACGCAGTACCTGGACGGGAGACATTTGTGCATAGCCTCGCCAGCTGAAATTCTCAAACTCCAAGGGGTTATAACCAAAGCGAACAGGTCTGCCATCCGCCGACACGCCATCCTCCACCTCGTACTTCAAGTGGTGAAGGTCGGGAAAGTAAAAGCCTTGAGATGGCCTGTTAGGGGGCAGGAAGCGATATAATAAAAAAAATATTAATAATATAAAGCACAAATTTAATTACATAAAAAAGGATTTGTTTTCTAAAATTAAATAATATTCCACGTAGTCCCTTTTTCCTGATTTGATGCTTTTTTCTGTCTTTTTAAATCTTCTAACACAGTTTATGACTGGTGCGGGACTCTGGAAACAGTCAGGGGTTTAGATTATCCCATAATGCACCCAGCACAGTGAGTGATTGAGCAGGTGAGTAGTAAACAAGCTTTTTTTGTTTTTTTCTGGTCTTGGAGACGTAGTTTTCAGTTTACAAAACAAAGAAACAAGCATAAGCATACAGTATGTTTGTAATTGGTAACACTGTAATATTGTAATTAAATAACCGTAAAAGAAAGGTTACTTATAACACAGTGTAATGATGTAACTGATGATGTCATACAGATGAATGTTTAAACAGATATTTTTTAACATAACGGATTGTAGTTTAATCACTATATAATATAGAATGCACACTATAACACTCACTGATATTAAAGAGAAACCTTTAATAAATATGCAAAAAAAGATTATTATTACATATTGTACAAATCGGAACAGAATAACAGTAAAGGCAAATTGCACACAAAAAAATATATGTAACCAAACTGTACACGCCTCAAGGCAGAGACACAAGTCACCAACTACCCCAACGTTTCGGCACCAACTGGCTGCCTTTATCAAAGGTACCCTTGATTCTCTGTGTCTCCGCCTTGAGGCTTGTACGGTTTGGTTACATATATTTTTTGTGTGCAATTTGCCTTGTATTGTTACTCTGTTCCGATTTGTACAATATGTAATAATATTCTTTTTTTGCATAGTTATTAAAGGTTTCTATTTAATATCAGTGTTATAGTGTGCATTCTATATTATATAGTGATTATAGTGTTTAAGCATTTGAAGGAGTGCTTGTATTGTTTGCACCTAGCTAATATTGATTGTTTAATAGTAGTTTTGTCTCTCCATGTGGATTTTGCTTATTGATTGTAGTTAAATGACACAACACAAGTCAGAATGTGTCATGGCTCAGCCTGGCGTAACATTCTGTATTGTCTGAGTGCTAGCTCTCTGGGCCACACGTTCACACTGCTCTTTTTGAGGTCAAAACACGACTCACCGGTTACACTGCGATCCTTCAACGTTTTCCCGGCACTGGCATTCGCCGCTCTCTTCGTGGCACGCCAAGCCGATGGATCCTCCGATGTCACACTGGCACCCTGCCGATGACAAACACCTGCTCAATAAAGTGTTACTCAGGAAGGCAGGACAGGATATTAATAGAGAGCTTAGCACTGCCAAGCAGAGGAACGAAACCGCGCTCCTAACAGGGAATTAAAGAGATTCTCCAGCTATCCAATTAGAAAGGAATGTACCCCACACTCTGCACAAAGCACTTCCCATCCTTCACCAGTATCAATACCACAGCACGAACTCAGAGGGACAGAGGGCCCCAACATCCAGCATAGAGAATCAGGGGACAGAGAGCCCCAACATCCAGCATAGGGAATCAGGGACACAGTGAGCCCCAACATCCAGTGTAGGGAATCAGAGGGACAGGGAGCCCTAACATCCAACGTAAGGAGTCAGGGGGACAGAGAGCCCCAACATCTAATATTGGGAATTAGGTGGACAGTGAGCCCCAACATCCAGCGTAGTGAGTCAGAGTGACAGAGAGCCCCAACATCCAACGTAGGGAATTGGGGGGACAGAGAGCCCCAACATCTAACATGGGGAATCAGGGGGACAGTGAGCGCCAACATACAACATAGGGAGTAAGGGGGACAGAGAGCCCCAACATCCAGCATAGGGAATCGGGGACACAGTGAGCTCCAACATCCAGTGTAGGAAATCAGATGGACAGAGAGCCCCAACATCCAATGTAGGGAATCAGGAGGACAGTGAGCCCCAACATCCAGAGTAGGGAATCAGAGGGACAGGGAGCCTCAACATACAACGTGGGGAATCCGGGGGACAGAGAGCCCCTACATCCAACGTGGGGAATTAGGGGGACAGAGAGCCCCAACATCCAGCATAGAGAATCAGGGGACAGAGAGCCCCAAAATCCAACATAGGGAGTAAGGGGGACAGTGAGCCCCAACATCCAGCAAAGGGAATCAGGGACACAGTGAGCCCCAACATCCAGTGTAGGGAATCAGAGGGACAGGGAGCCCCAACATCCAACATAGGGAGTCAGGGGGACAGACAGCCCCAACATCCAACGTAGGGAGTCAGGGGGACAGAGAGCCTCAACATCTAATATAGGGAATTAGGGGGACAGTGAGCCCCAACATCCAGTATAGTGAGTCAGAGTGACAGAGAGCCCCAACATCCAACGTAGGGAATTGGGGGGACAGAGAGTCCCAACATCTAACGTGGGGAATCAGGGGGACAGTGAGTGCCAACATCCAACATAGGGAGTAAGGGGGACAGAGAGCCCCAACATCCAGCATAAAGAATCGGGGACACAGTGAGCCCCAACATCCAGTGTAGGAAATCAGATGGACAGAGAGCCCCAACATCCAATGTAGGGAGTCAGGGGGACAGTGAGCTCCAACATCCAGAGTAGGGAATCAGAGGGACAGGAAGCCTCAACATACAACGTGGGGAATCCGGGGGACAGAGAGCCCCTACATCCAACGTGGGGAATCAGGGGGAAAGAGAGCCCCAACAATCAACGTAGGGAATCAGGGGGACAGTGAGCCCCAACATCCAGCGTAGTGAGTCAGGGGGATAGAGAACCCCAACATCCAACGTGGGGAATCAGGGGGACAGAGAGCCACAATATCCAGTGTAGGGAGTCAGGGGGACAGAGGGCTCTAACTGAGCCTGATACTGTTTTCACTTTCTGGATGCCAATACACCGCCATGAACTGGAGAGCGTCTTACTGGGAACCCAAAGAGCTGGCACTCACCCTGACACCCAAAGTAGCTGTTGGGTTCCAGGTTGTAGAATCCATCTTTGCAGCTGCTGCAGGACCGGCTGCATATGTTGGGCTTACAGAAGCACTGTCCGGAGGCCTGTGAAACAAACAGAGATCAGCATTACGCCAGTCCGAGGGCGGTTATATATTGCAAATAGCGCTCGTTTAGCGCCTATAACATCGAACTAACAGGATTAGTTAATGTCTCCCTCCCCCCTTCAGTTCTACATGATAATATAATCTCCATATCCCCAGATAACCTTCGCTACCATCCTCCTCAAGACTCTCTGACCCATCCGCTAGGGTTACAAACCATCGTATATTGATTACAGGGTCCTTTCCAGGATGTAATCTCAGTCAGACACAATATGGACGCAGCTTGCCATTAACGCTGCTCCTATTATTAGCCCTTATTATCTATTTACTGTTATAAAACGTGTAAACATCACCAAGCACAGAGCATGCAACTATAAAGCCACTCCGTGACGAACTGTGCCAGGCTGGCGATATCCGATAAACTACTGCAAACGCCACCGACTGGGGACATGAAGCAAAAGCTGTGCTGCCATCATCTAAGGATATTAAAATGTTATTATAGCTAAATATTACTGGTCGTGCTGCTGCCTGTCAGTGATGGGAGTCAGCCATGTTTCAGGTGCTAGATAATGGATTAAAACATGGCTTTCTGTGATTACAGTTTGATTGCTTTGGGCTGAACGCACACCGAGTGATCTGCTCAAAGTTTCATTACACTGAGTGAGAAGAACGCACTCAGCAGGTTTATCTGGATGTGGGCAGGTGAGCTTGCACTCTATGGGCAGAAAATAAAACTAAGAACCAATTTTGCTAAATATTTACATTTTCAATATGAGTATTAATTATTTAATGATATTATAGCCCACACAGCGATGGGAGTTTAATGCAGAATGGTTTATTTTCTTTATAATCAGGTTCACTAATTTGTGAATTTTAGGAAATTGAAAATAGCATTGTGAAATTTAGGATTAAATAGCCAATTCATTAACCCCTAAAAAAAGGTATTTTCCTCTTTTAACACTGAGTACCAGTATCTTCCAATTAGCTTTCATTTCAAACTTCATTCTAACTATACAATTATTCACTAATAAACATTAATTAGATAACGTCTTATAACATCCTTATTTTGTTTTTAAATCAGAACAATCAGTTTCCATTTTATATTAAAATCACAATTTCCTCCTAAATATCTGATTATTTCACTAGTGGCTACCAATCCGTCCTATACCAGGATAAGCTTACTTGTTGGCATTCGCCCACTCCACTTAGGGTGCCCTCGAAGCCGCAGTGGCATTCTGCAAGAGACAGAGAAGAGGTCTTGATGAATTAGAGTGGGCCCTTTTCTCGGGCACAGTTTGGCAGATAAGCAGTTGGCATTCCTTACTTGTGCACCCCTGTGGGTTTTCGGGGAGCAGGTTCCAGTATAGGGGTTTACACTTATCACAGGCTGTCCCTTCGACGTGTTCCCGGCACTCACAGGATCCCTGGGGAATGGCAGACAGCAGAATGACGATATGAAACACCAGCCATGATTCCAGCATAACTGCCCCAGGAGAGGGGACGAGCAGAAAAGCATTTCAATAGGATTTGTGGGGCGTCTGCCACCAAATCTTCCCAGACGGTTGCTCTCCTCCCACTGCCTGACCACGCTCTGCCCCATGTCCCTTTAAAGGACCAGATCGTGTAACTCCTTCACCGCCAGAATACATGATCTCGCCCCCTCTCTCTGATCTCAAGCGCTCAACGATGACACCTGTCACTTGATGCCACCGTGTAAGTGAATTCCTTCTGCTCGCTGCAGGGAAAGCAGCTGTGGAATCTGTGAGACCCTACACTGCTTGATCATTCTTCCCATGTCTTCACCCGACTGTCATTACTGCACTACTGCAACCACAGCACTATCTCCGGTTACCCCTCTCTCCTCACATTAACCCCTTATCTGCATTGCTGTGGAATGCTAGGCACCACGATTACTATTCCAGAAAGTAGTGGGGGCACAGAACATCATCCCAGCAGATACGGTAACTGAATAAATGTGTTACACTAGAAATGGAGTTTATTAGAGGATATAAAATTACACAAATATATACAGGGCCCGTGCTGGTCAGTAAAAGGATTTGCAGAATTGTTATTTTTTTTTCTTTTTACAATAAGAATAAAAAATGTATATGCTCCGTCTCGGGAGGTTGTGCTGTCATATTCTAAGACGAGGACAGTTTTACAAATGATGTGTATCGTATAATGAGGAATATGTTATTTTCTTTGGAGATTGATAATAAAGGAGAAATCAGATTTAATTCTTTTTTTTTTTTTCACCTTCTTTTGGATCGGCAGCAGTAACAATAAGGCTGGAAAGGATTTATTTTTTTACTTGAAATTACTAAGTTGTTCTACGGTCAATGCAGGCTGGTTGTGTGTTAATAATGTAAACTCACCTCTGGAGGGTTCACGCTAACCGAGGAAGACCCGGACGGGTTACATGGTCCCACTGCAATAAAGATCATTAGAAACTGAGATCAGCAACACTGGGGGCAATTTAGTAGCCGGCTAGCCGTCCCCCAGCTTTAATGAGAAGAGGGATTCTGTTACATGTTGTATATTGGGTACATTGTCTGTCACAGCTTTACCTTCACAGTTTGGGAAGCCGTACATTCCTGGGACGCACACATCACATCGCAGACCCCCAACTCCATGGCGGCACCTGCACTGCCCACTCTGGGGGTCACACATACTGTGCAGGGACCCCTCTGGGGAACACTGACAAGCTGCCAACAGAAAACAGAGTCACTCAAACCTAGACATTGTCAGCGAGAGATACATGAAACAGAGAATGAGAGGGGCAGGAGCGCTTTATGGCTGCGTTTAATAATGAACCACAGCAACAGGGACTAAACTTATCAAACCCCAGCGGCAAACTAGCTGTGTACAACGACTGCATCGATTAACCCCTTAAGGACCAAACTTCTGGAATAAAAGGGAATCATGACATGTCACACATGTCATGTGTCCTTAAGGGGTTAAAGAACCATTATAGGCACCCAGACCACTTTAGCTTAATGAAGTGGTCTGGGTGCCAGGTCCATCTAGGGTTAACCCTGCCTGCTGTAAACATAGCAGTTTCAGAGAAACTGCTATATTTATAAATGGGTTAATCCAGCCTCTAGTGGCTGTCTCATTGACAGCCGCTAGAGGGCTTCCGCGATTCTTACTGTGATTTTTACAGTGAGAAGACGCCAGCGTCCATAGGAAAGCATTGAGAATGCTTTCCTATGGACTGGCTGAATGCACGCTCTTGCCGCGCATGCACATTCAACCGATGACGTCGGAAGGAGGAGAAGAGTCCCCAGCACCGAGGGAGCCCGGCGCTGGAGAAAGGTGAGTGTTTAACCCCCTTCAGCCTGGCGGGAGTGGGACCCTGAGGGTGGGGGCACCCTCAGGGCACCATAGTGCCAGGAAAACAAATTTGTTTTCCTGGCACTATAGTGGTCCTTTAATGATCATGTAAGAGGGGGAAGTGAAAAACAAATAATTTAAGAGATCTCGCTTTCCACGTTAAAAAACTCAAATTTAATCATCACAAATGACTAGAAGAAAAAAATTAAGTTCCACAGAAGATCAAAATGTTTTCACATTGTAGATTGTTTTGTTTGAACACAGACTTGTTTTTTTCTAGCAGACCTCACTGCGATGGGACTATGGATGACATTATGAGTAAAACGATGTATGACTCAGGAGGGAACAGGATAGATCACGCTAAGGGAACGGCAGTTACTAGTAATGTGTGATAACTCACCAGCGCAGTCTGGAAAGCCGTAAAATCCGGGTGCACATTGGTTGCACATCTGTCCCGAATAGTTGGGGCGACACTGACAATGACCTGTCTGGGTGCAGATATTGTCCTCGGAGCCACGCGGGTCACAGGAACAAGCTGTAGGAAAAATACATATTAACAAAAGATCAAATAATGTTAGAAAGACAGATATACAGAAAATCAACAACATTACCATTCGTTTACATCAAAACAGACGGAACCAAAATGCAGAGAAATTCACCCACGGCCTCCGTTACATTAATTAGGTAACCGTGGAGAACATGCAAAGGGTTAAACTAAAATACCCCCTCGTCCTTCTAAATCTGTTTCAGAGATAGCTTCCCTCTAGAACCAGATAGAAATATACAGAATATCTCTATTCACGCAGGCACGGCTATTTTATAATTACTGGAAAAATTCACCAACTCAGCTTGTTTTACTAATTAAACAATGAATTATAGCGAGAGGAAATCTGAACTGAAACATTTAGGCCAAAGTAGCTCCGCTGAAACCATGGGACGATTTGACCAAACATTAGCGATTTTCTGGTAAAGCCAGACATTTCACGGTTTAGAGAAGGACCCTGCAATGTTTATTCAGTAAATATTCACAGGCTACTAACTAAAGTGAGAATTTAAAGAGAATTCAAATTTAAGGCCAGAGTAGCCAAACTAAGCAGAGCAGATTGAGATATAGCCAGTTCGAATATAAACTTGAAATTCACTTTGTTACTAACTTTACTGAATGACGATGCACAACTAAGAGGGAGCATTCTTCCAAATCAGCTATATTTGCCAAAACTATTTAAAAAAAAAAAAAGCTATTCACTAAACTCCAAAATGAAGTTAACTAAACTCCCAAATGCAAGATTCAGGCAAAAATAGCCGAACTGTGATTAGAATGGAGTTGGGTAATTTTTTTAAACCAGTTATTTGGGGCTAAATTCGACCATCTTGCTATTCTCCTTCGCTTGCACTAGGTGGAGCCAGCGTACCATGGCAATGAGGGTACGAGTGATATCCTAACTCGCACTTGTCACATCGGGGTCCTCCATATTCAGGTTTACACAAACAGCGTCCATAGTCATCACAGCCGTTGGGTTGAGTGCCCACGGAGCTGCACGGACACACTGCGGAAACAGAGACACACACTGTGAGATTCACAAAACGTACAGATAGACTGGAGGACAATGCCCTAAAACCTGCTCATTGCACACAAGGAAAGGCACTTGTCCCAAACACCGGCTTCCCCAAGTTAGACAGAGACCTCTCATCGAGACCAAAGAGATAGTGTCAATTCTCTACAATTTACACCATCGAAAAAAAACACATAAAATCACCTCTAACTTGTGTTAACCTTTTTCACGTGTGACTCCAATTCTTTGAAGTTTAAATGAAATATTTAGCAATTGGGAAATCACAATCCAGTTAAGTCCTGGCACAGGCAGGGCATTGGAGCAGATGAAGAAGAAACATTGTGTCTCGTCCTCTCTCTATGCTGACAGACAGCTGCAAAGGGCGGAGTTAATAATAACTGAGAGGAAGCTCTCAGGTCCAGGACAGAAGTAAAAAAAAGTGAGTGGATTTCTACATTTCATTTTCTTTTCACAACTCACAAATATATCCAGTATATATATTCGATAAATAATGAGATAAGAAAACATAATATTAAATATCTCAGGACTTGACCGTGCCCCTTTAACTACATGTATGCATCTTTCAGTTCAGACCAAAATAAAATGTTGAAAATTATTCTCCGGGTCAATAGGGAGCTCTTTATTTTGTTTTTTTACCGTTTTGCGATTCCTTGTACAAATTTAATAAAGCTGCTGTGGGGCACAGACTGGAAATACAGGTAGACTACATAGAAAGTTCAGTATACCTGTATTTCGGAATAAATTACTCACGTTGGCAGAGGGGATAATTGAAGAAGCCGGAAGAACACTGCTCACAATAGAATCCTACAAATCCATCTCGGCACACACAATGCCCGGTGTTCTTGTCACAGCTCCCGTCGTACACACCAGGTCCGGAGCACAAACACTCTGCGTGACACAGAATGATACGTGAAAACACCAGCGGCAGGAGGTAAAAATGGCAAAGGAAACAGGGGGAAAAAACTGAGAACATGAGACATGGAGATATCAGATATCAATAATGGTAATGGTGAGAATTGGAAGGGAGAATCAAAAGAATGACAGGTACAGTAGAAAAGATGCATTAGGGCACAGACTATGGTGGAACATTCTCTGGGAGCGCAGACTGCGGTTGGACATTCTCTGGGGGCACAGACTGAGGTGGGACATTCTCTGAGGGCGCAGACTGCAGTGGGACATTCTCTGGGGGCGCAGACTGCAGTGGGACATTCTCTGGGGGCGCAGACTGCGGTGGGACATTCTCTGGAGCGCAGACTGAGGTGGGACATTCTCTGAGGGTGCAGACTGCAGTGGGACATTCTCTGGGGGCGCAGACTGCAGTGGGACATTCTCTAGGGGGGCACAGACTGCAGTGGGACATTCTCGGGGGTCACGGATTGCAGTGGGACATTCTCTGGGGTCACAGACTGCAGTGGGACATTTTCGGGGAGCACAGACTGCGGTGGGACATTCTTGGGGAGCACAGACTGCGGTGGGACACACTCGGGGACACAGACTGCGGTGGGACATTCTCAGGGAGCACAGACTGCAGTGAAACACACTCGGGGACACAGACTGCGGTGGGACATTCTCGGGGAGCACAGACGGCAGCAGGACATTCTCAGGGAGCACAGACTGTGGTGGGACATTCTCAGGGAGCACAGACTGCGGTGGGACATTCTCTGGGGTCACAGACTGCGGTGGGACATTCTCAGGGAGCACAGACTGTGGTGGGACATTCTCAGGGAGCACAGACTGCGGTGGGACATTCTGGGGGAGCACAGACTGCAGTGGGACATTCTGGGGGAGCACAGACTGCAGTGGGACATTCTGGGGGAGCACAGACTGCAGTGGGACATTCTGGGGGAGCACAGACTGCAGTGAAACATACTCGGGGACACAGACTGCGGTGGGACATTCTCGGGGAGCACAGACGGCAGCAGGACATTCTCAGGAAGCACAGACTGTGGTGGGACATTCTCAGGGAGCACAGACTGTGGTGGGACATTCTCAGGGAGCACAGACTGCGGTGGGACATTCTGGGGGAGCACAGACTGCAGTGGGACATTCTGGGGGAGCACAGACTGCGGTGGGACATTCTCGGGGAGCACAGACTGCAGTGAAACACACTCGGGGACACAGACTGCGGTGGGACATTCTCGGGGAGCACAGACGGCAGCAGGACATTCTCAGGAAGCACAGACTGTGGTGGGACATTCTCAGGGAGCACAGACTGCAGTAGGACATTCTCAGGGAGCACAGACTGCGGTGGGACATTCTCAGGGGGGCACAGACTGCAGTAGGACATTCTCAGGGAGAACAGACTGCAGTGGGACATTCTCAGGGAGCACAGACTGCGGTGGGACATTCTCAGGGGGGCACAGACTGCAGTAGGACATTCTCAGGGAGCACAGACTGCAGTAGGACATTCTCAGGGAGCACAGACTGCGGTGGGACATTCTCAGGGGGGCACAGACTGCAGTAGGACATTCTCAGGGAGCACAGACTGCAGTAGGACATTCTCAGGGAGCACAGACTGCGGTGGGACATTCTCAGGGGGGCACAGACTGCAGTAGGACATTCTCAGGGAGCACAGACTGCAGTGGGACATTCTCAGGGAGCACAGACTGCGGTGGGACATTCTCAGGGGGGCACAGACTGCAGTAGGACATTCTCAGGGAGCACAGACTGCAGTGGGACATTCTTAGGGGGGCACAGACTGCAGTGGGACTCTCTCGGGGAGCACAGACCACAAAGCAATAAGTCAGGGAAAAGATGTGAAAAAGACATGGAGCAGACGATGTGCAGTCTTGTCTGATTCGTCATGATGCGCTACGAGAATGTAAATTTTACCCATATCGCCACATGCAAGCGCCCTGGTTCTGAATTAACACAACACGCATCTCTCCCACACCCACCTTGGCAGTTGGGACCGAAGAAGTGAGGAGCACAGTCATCGCATGCGTCTCCCTGGAAATTTGGTTTGCAGACACAAGCGCCCAGAACGGGGTCTTTGCGGCAGGCGTTTCCAACGGTCCCGGCAACATGGCAGTCACAGTCTGAGAGACAAAGAGACATTATAAAACATAGAGTCAAGTGACAGAGCGCGGTACAGTCATGTGACAAGCACTATCGTTATCTGACTGTGCAGAGTAGGACATCGGGATCTAAACAGACTGTATTCGTAATAACGTGAGCCCCTGTCCCACTTACTAATCTCCAAACTATGTGAGATATAGGCAGTCACCACCACACAGTCCCATCATGCACTGCGCTATGGAATATTTAGAATTAGCATTATTTTAGAGTATAAATAGTTTGTCTGTTTAAACATCAATAAAATAATAATGCCGCACTTACTGATGATTTCTCCTACAGGTAGTATCTGCTCTCCGGTCTTATCGCCTGGGGGACCTGTGATAGCTGGGGGGGGGGGAGAGAATAGAATAAAATCAATGTCACAGCATGAAGTCTCCCTCTACAGTCCAATATCTGGAACAACATGCTGAGTAGACTACAAAAAATATTGTATAAAAGACAGAAGGTTCTATTAGAAATTGTCCCAGTAAAGATCTAGAGGGCTGTATTTCAGGCTCCAAAACAGAAGATTAATGAGGTTTTGCGATTACCCCAGTAATTCGTTATAAGAGCGATAGCAGTCTTACCATAGCACTCTGGGAAGTTGGCGAACCCTTCAGCGCACTGCCCGCAGTCCTTGCCGGTATAGTTTGGTTTACAGTAACACCTCCCCGTCAAGTCCTCACACGTTCCATCCATGTATTCTGAATCACATGCGCACTCTGAGGACAACACAGGACATGTCAAGAGTGCGTCACATGTGGTTAATACTTACTCTGGCTAGGGGTTTGAGAGGGTTAATACTTACTCTGGCTAGGGGTTTTATGGGATGGAGAGAGGTTAATACTTACTCTGGTTGGGGGTTTGATGAGAGGGAGAGGGTTAATACTTACTCTGGCTGGGGGTATGATGAGAGGGGGTTAATACATACTCTGGCTGGTGGTATGATGAGAGGGGGTTAATACTTACCCTGGCTGGGGGTTTGATGGGAGGGAAGGGGTTATTACATACTCTGGTTGGGAGTTTGATGGGAGGGAGAGGGTTATTACATACTCTGGCTTGGGGTATGATGAGACGGAGGGGGTGAATACATACTCTGGCTGGGGGTTGGATGGGAGGGATGGGGTTAATACTTACTCTGGCTGGGGTTTGATGGGAGGGAGAGGGTTATTACATACTCTGGCTGGGCATATGATGAGACAGAGGGGGTTAATACTTACTCTGGCAGATGTACGGTGAGTCGATTGGATGGTCGGGTGATTTGTAGTAGGTTAAGCGGCATCGCTCACAGTTCACGCCGTCAGTATTATGCTACAAAACATAATGAGAATTTATGGAATTTTCCTTCAATAGATCACACTGAATGTATATTATTAACCGTATCCCTGCCAGAACTACCAGCACTACAGCATGAATACTAATAAAATGAATACGGTGTTTATATAGTGCATTATACAATCACGTGGAATGTCTGACATGGAATTCATCCTAAACAATCTGTTACCCTGATACTGTGATACCTCTATTCCGTGAGTATTAACTATCGGGATGCCAGAATCTGGGAATTGTTCCTTCTCTGGCCCTTGCCCTGGACCCTCGCATTCACCGCTTACCTTGCAGTCAATGCAAACTCCTCCTCCTGCGTACTCTCCCTGGCGGTTCATGCTGGCTCTGCGGAGATCCACATCAGGATCGTAGTAACAGTCGTGTGCGTGTCCGTTACAGTTACATGCTGCAAAAACACACATGTTGTGTGAAGACACGTCATCATGCCCCCCTCAGTCCTACTGGAGAGGCCATCATTTTATTTACTATAAATATTATCCAGCTCACGTTATCTACAGCTCGGGTTTTACATATTCCGGTTTCTAAATCTACACTCTGACATCACAGTCGCCATCTGCAAAGCAACATACAGGGCATTTTATGCAAATAAACTCAAATATCCCATGATTCCTCAACTCAGACACAATCCTCAGTTCCTGAGGAACTATGCAGTCACAGAAATTAATATTACAGACATTTGTAAAATATGATTCAAAATGGTGTCCCTGCCCCCGTTCTATTAGGTGAGACAACTATTTTACATGAAACTGGTCTCCGTGAAAGTAATAAGGCAGTAAAGTTCCAGAACCATCAGCCACAGACGCAAGGCGATTCCTCATTAATGCTGTTACACGGGTCACAGAGCTTACAATCCACAGAGGTCAATACACCAGCTGTAGTACCCACATACACGAGACATATGATATAAATACAAACACACACGTTACATGCTGTCATATTAACTGTTTTCATGCCAGAGATATATGATACAAAGCAATGCGAGAAATGTGAATAAATCCTTTGGGTAAAGAATGTTTGGGAAAAAGAAATGAGTTATGGGGGATCTGTAACTGTAATATACCGTCAAATGCTTCTTTATGGTTCAGTAGGGGCAGCTGCTGCATGTGGAACAGATGTGCAACTTTAAACCAGAGCAAATTCTAAATCAAACGGCATGTGACTGTCCCCCCCCCCCCACCCTCAGTGGCTCTTGCCCCCCCCGTTGTCCCTCTGCATCTAACAGCCCTTACCCCTTGTCCCTCTGCATCTATCAGCCCTTAGCCCTCGTCCCTCTGAATCTATCAGCCCCCCTCTTGTCACTCTGCTTCTATCAGCTCCCCTCTTGTCACTCTGCTTCTATCAGCTCCCCTCTTGTCACTCTGCTTCTATCAGCTCCCCTCTTGTCACTCTGTTTCTATCAGCCCCCCTCTTGTCCCTCTGAATCTATCAGCCCCCCTCTTGTCCCTCTGTATCTATCAGCCCCCTCTCGTCGCTCAACCAATACTTGTCCGCTGTCTCCCCCAGTCCAGCCTTGCCCATTGTGTCGCTTAGCCTCCCTGAGCCCAACCTAACCCACTGCATACCCCAGCCCAGCCCACTGCGTCCTACAGCTCAGTCCACTGCCCCCTCACCCAGCCTCGCCCACTATATACCTCACTCTGCCTAGCCCGCTGCGTCCCTTAACACAGCCCACTGCCTCCCTGAGCCTGGTCTTGTCCACTGCATCCCATCCTTACCCCCTGTGTTGCTCCGCCCCAGGTAATGCGTTGGAGAAGCTATTACGTGCAGCACAACACTTACGTTCACACTCGTTGGCGCTATCCATGGTCGCAGGTTTCCACGGTAACTGATGGTATCCAGGGCAGCAGCGATCACATGACCCACCACACGTGTTGTGCTGACAGACGCAGTGCAGCCTGTGAGGAAGAATACATTTTTAGTAACAGATAATAAAATAATTTCACGGCAGAGAATCCAGCGCCAAATTCGCGGGCAGTGAGTTAGTGGGAGTCTCGGCTCATTATATACAAAGTGAAAATTTATACCCCCCCCGATATTACTGGAATCCAGTTCCCAACACTGACAGCCAGCTTAGCGGAGGAGCCAAGCCATAAACCGTCATTGGTATTAACCTCATTCTAAGCCGCGATGATATCACCGCTACGCTCTGCGATCCATGTACTAACACTGTCAACCTGCGCCGCTGGCAATCTCACAGGTAATGTAGGCGAATAGCCCGCTACGACTTTACGGTCATTTCATGGAGGAGATTTTACTGAATTGCAGGATATACAAACATAAATAGCCAGAAATGTAAATGGTCCATCCACGTATTTATATCACACTTACCAGCACTGAAAATAGGATATTAATGGTCCGTGAGTGGGAATAAATGTATTATTGAGGCACATACTGCTCTCCCCTCCTAATATTGAGCAAATAATAATAATAATAATCATCATCATTTCCCCTCACTTTATATTATTTATTTACGATCACAAGACACAATCTGCGGCTTTGTCTGTGACCCTGCGGCGAGCAGAGCATTCCGTCACGGTGTTTGTGAATAGGAGATTTTCCTCAGTCAGTGAAGGGTAACAAACTAATCCCCCTGCTCCCTGTCAGACCCCAAACAATGCAGGTGTTTATAGAAAATGTCAGTGAGGGAAACACACAGAGACCCATAGATCTTCAGTCGGGGTCAAGGGTTAATCCCGCCCAGACCGCCAGCCTTGTCCCTGGTAATATCTGTTTGATCATTACAGTATAAACTGATGCTATATTTACACTAAAATAAGGGAAACGCGGTTTTGGGAAAGCGTGCATTATCGCCTTCAGCCTCTGCCCCAACCTGTGCAGCATTCCCGGGGTGTAAACATGGCGTTGGGGCCAGGAAATGGTGGGTAAATGATCATTCTATATTTTTACCTGTATGGGTTGACTGGATCCTTGGCATTGCACACTTCAGCATGGCCGTTACACACACAGCGCCCCCCGATGCTGATATCCTTCAGGCTGTAATAATACTAGGAAGGAGAGAAAAGGCTCAGATTAAACCCGGATTGCAGTACTTTACAGGCGCACAGGAAATGAAATCAGCGTCAGATTCTGCCCGTTTCCAGACGCTTACAGTTCTGCATTAATACTCACCCTACGGGTAACAGTCGGGTCTCTGAGTGTTTTGCCCATTAGATGCCCAAGCAAGGTGTTGGTTCTCAGAAACCGCAGGCGGATGTGGGTAGCTTTGGTGAAATTTCTAAGCACAGGGGAGTGGGTGAAATTCATCGCTCCTGGACGACCTATCACCAACGAGACCACGATCTGGAATTACAGTAATTTACAAATCAAATCCGCTCACGGTAAGTTTCGATTAGAAAAACAAAGGATGCAGCGGAGATATGAGGCTTACCTCGCCATTTTCCAAAGGCACAATGCGCGAATACTCAGTCGTACAAATTACGTCGTCATCCTTTGTGATGCGATCCATTGAGCGCAAACCAAAAAGCTCCAGACAATCTCTCTTAGAAGCTGGAGCAGAAAATTACAGTCAGAGATAAACAAAAGCTTTTTAATATTTTATTTATTCACACAACTGAAGAGCACATAACAATGTGAAGGGAGATTCCGGGGGAAAGTTCTACAAGCGGAACGATCACCATAGAAACCGATGGAATGTTCCGGTTTCTTGCCCATAGATGGGGCAGTCGTCATAGAAACTAATAAAATGTTAAGCTCACAGCACCACTATAAGGACTTTTTATACACACACACAGTAGCACTTTATTAGAATCCCCAGAAACATCTGTTACGGTGATTAATGATTAGATGTAGCACGAACTGCTTCTCAGACATGTGGATTTTCGCTAAGCACGCACTTTGCTTGTCCCAGCATTGGACAAATAATTGACAGGCGACCACTTATGTCCTCTCTTTCAAAAACTCCCTTCGGCTCTTCCCAAGGGATTAGAAAGTGGAGATAAACACTGCACAGAATCACTTTATCAAGGACCAGGATGTGCAAGGTTTATCCCAGAAAACATGGCGAGCTGCGCAGAGTCCCACAATAGGAATTAGCATCCGAAAAGAGCAGGCAAACAGCGTACAATGCGTTAATAATGAGAATATAAAGCTAAACAGACTGATCAACCGAGACTCCAACTGAGACCCATTCCGTATCAGGATACGCCAAGTTTACGAATCCTGATCGTCACACATTATTATAACCACTGTGAATCCCGGCAGAAATAATTCGCCACGCCAAGTTTTGCCACATTATTATTTTCTTAATTCAATCTGTAATCCATGTGATGCAAGCAGTTTACTAATTTATTTTCTACCCATGATACTTGTAAATCAAATAAAACATTTATTAAAGTTTAATATTTTGTTTTTGAAATTTAAGAGAAGCTTAAATAAAAAAATTAAAAAATCTGGCATTTCGTTTTAACTTGTCACTGAAGCTTGCCGATGTTTTGTCTCGGTGACCTGTACGGTACGAGAACGGAAACATAGCACAATGAACGTTTCCTGGTCAGTCTCAGAGATAAGGGATTTCCTTGGATATAATTGCCGAGAATAGAAATGGCATGTTAGTGCCCTACATCACTTGCGTCACTTTATCTGAACTTAAATAGATTAAACACGGCTCGCTCTTCCAAGACTGTCAACCTTGCCTATCAGTTAGCCACGACAACCAAATGCCCATTCCGAGGACAAGTAAAATATTTAATCTTAGAAATGAACAATAATATAAAACGTGGTCAATGTTCCGCTGCTGCGCATTCATTAAATTTGTTTTCTATTTTGAGAAATAAAGTATTGGAACGCAGAGGGGATGATGAATCGTTTGAGTTGAAGGCAGAGTTTGATAAGGGATTTGGACTTTTTATCTTGTGAAGGAGGGAGTACTCCACAACCTCGGGTCAGATGGTTTACTGCGCCCCCTAGTGGGCCGTATTATTATATTTATTACAAAGTTCTAGACTAATCACATGATTGTGGAGCTATCGGATTAGAAGACATGTCAAAGTTTGTCTTTGTTAGAAGTACTATAAGTTTGTGGCTCGCCCTTTATATAGAAGGAGAGAGATTGGGGGTGTAGAAATTTCAGGGTTCATTGTGCGGTTGTTATTGTACTGTTGAGTTTGCTTTTAGCAACTAGGTTATGATTAGGTTAAAGGATCTCAGCGCATTCACTTTACGCACATGGACAGTTATTCACTAAGCACTTAATTATCCCAAATTATTTTCTTAAAGGAACACTATAGTCACCTAAATTACTTTAGCTAAATAAAGCAGTTTTAGTGTACAGATCATTCCCCTGCAATTTCACTGCTCAATTCACTGTCATTTAGGAGTTAAATCACTTTGTTTCTGTTTATGCAGCCCTAGCCACACCTCCCTGGCTATGATTGACAGAGCCTGCATGAAAAAAAAACTGGTTTCACTTTCAAACAGATGTAATTTACCTTAAATAATTGTATCTCAATCTCTAATTTGAACTTTAATCACATACAGGAGGCTCTTGCAGGGTCTAGCAAGCTATTAACATAGCAGGGGATAAGAAAATCTTAATTAAACAGAACTTGCAATAAAGAATGCCTAAATAGGGCTCTCTTTACAGGAAGTGTTTATGGAAGGCTGTGCAAGTCACATGCAGGGAGGTGTGACTAGGGTTCATAAACAAAGGGATTTAACTCCTAAATGGCAGAGGATTGAGCAGTGAGGCTGCAGGGGCATGTTCTATACACCAAAACTGCTTCATTAAGTTGTTCAGGTGACTATAGTGTCCCTTTAATCAGACCGCCAACTTTATGTCAGTGATAGGAGAGTCTCGGACAATGTTTAATCAATGGCAGCGGGTACGTACAGAGCAGAAGAGGAGAAAATTGGGCGTTATTTACTAAACTGGGCACTGTAGTGGGACAGACATTTTGGGCTAAAAATGTCAAACTTTTCAAAGTCCTACTTTTCCCAGCTCGTCTGATTTCACCTGAAGTTTGCAGTTCACGATTTTGGCAAATACACCCCTAAATGAATCTCCATGTTCTGTATTAGCGAGCTAGGGCCCTGCAGGAGACTCTTTTAGAGGAACGCATTAAGTAATCACAGCATCACTTACAGGCAAAGTACTGCCAGGGTTGGTAGGTAGCCCCATAATCCGTCGACCTCTCGAGCACCCACAAATCCGGACGGGGAGAGTTGGCAAACTTGATCCACACGTAGGCAACATGGAACACCTGCAAAGAACAAGGGGAGCAACAGATCAATATTAACACATTATCGGCCACTAATGACTGGCAGGAGAAGGGTTAAGGAATCAGTGATACAAATATTCACCCATTGTAGTCACACTTTACCTCTGATCAGTAAATTGCCCATTTATATAGAAAGGAAATGTTATTAACGCTTTACTGGTTGGGATTCCCATTAAAGGGACACTATAGTCAGCTGAACAACTTTAGTTTAATGAAGCAGTTTTGGTGTATAGAACATGCCCCTGCAGCCTCACTGCTCAATCCTCTGCCATTTAGGAGTTAAATCCCTTTGTTTATGAACCCTAGTCACACCTCCCTGTGTGTGACTTGCACAGCCTTCCATAAGCACTTCCTGTAAAGAGAGCCCTATTTAGGCTTTCTTTATTGCAAGTTCTGTTTAATTAAGATTTTCTTATCCCCTGCTATGTTAATAGCTTGCTAGACCCTGCAAGAGCCTCCTGTATGTGATTAAAGTTCAATTTAGAGATTGAGATACAATTATTTAAGGTAAATTACATCTGTTTGAAAGTGAAACCAGTTTTTTTTTCATGCAGGCTCTGTCAATCATAGCCAGGGGAGGTGTGGCTAGGGCTGCATAAACAGAAACAAAGTGATTTAACTCCTAAATGACAGTGAATTGAGCAGTGAAATTGCAGGGGAATGATCTATACACTAAAACTGCTTTATTTAGCTAAAGTAATTTAGGTGACTATAGTGTTCCTTTAACTGCAAATATGTTAACACACAGTTCCTCGATCTATCATTTAGCAGAACTTACAAACACGCAGATCTGGCGCGAGCCACAAATATCATCCAACGTGTCCTCTGTGCCATCTCTCAGAGCACGGATTAATCTAGTAATGGCACAAATACGCACCCCCAAGGCATTAATATAAGATTCACCCCCACGTAACAAAACTCGATAATATTTAAGGATAATAAGATTGCGTGACTTCAATGAATATTCTAGTTCTGACACGTGCAGCGGTGCAGTACAATGCTTTATATCAGACAGATGGCGTTTCCTATTGTAGGAGTATAATTTACAGGTGGTGACTGAGCTGCTCGTCATGTACACAAGTCATGATCCCATCCATCAACTTGCCACGGATCCTCTGCCCGGCTCCGGAGAAGGTACAGGCTGCTGGATTTATTAAATCACAGAGATGTCATGTTTGGATGTTAACCTCCAGGTCTCTCGTGATCCGTTAGGGCAGGTTTTATTTCACGAACATGTTCACACAGCACCCGCAAGTAAACATATTACAAAGCATTTATTTATTACAGGTAGTGGTTCAGGAGTGAAATAGTTAATTAATGATTACATAGCGATTTTGTTGTAGGTAGCCTGGGCACCAAAGGGGTTAATTCTTGCAGAAAGCGAATTTCTTTCCCCAGTTTTTTGCGGTCACTGCACGCCAGTTCATCCAACGCCGGATTCTAGGGAACGTTTTGTAAAATAAGCCAGAGCTATTTAGGGAAAGTCCCAGCGGGGCCTGTATGGCAGTGCACTCACTGCACCCGTTACATTAAAATCCATAAAAGGGCAGCTGAGCAAGAGCAGGGCAGTTTGGGAGGCACAGTCCCAGGATTGGGGGGGATCGAATGATGACACAGACCCCTCCACCTGCTGGGGAGATATTACCCAGAAGGCCTGGCGTGGTCACTGGTGCAGCCAAGGTAAATATCTGGGCACACACAGTTAGGGACTGGTATGCTCTGCACTGTACATACGGTGTTTGGTACTGGGATACTCTGCACTGTACATACGGTGTTTGGTACTGGGATACCCTGCACTGTACACTGTGTGTTTGGTACTGGGATACTCTGCACTGTACATACAGTGTTTGGTACTGGGATACTCTGCACTGTACATACAGTGTTTGGTACTGGGATACTCTGCACTGTACACAGTGTGTTTGGTACTGGGATACCCTGCACTGTACATACGGTGTTTGGTACTGGGATACCCTGCACTGTACACAGTGTGTTTGGTACTGGGATACCCTGCACTGTACACAGTGTGTTTGGTACTGGGATACTCTGCACTGTACATACAGTGTTTGGTACTGGGATACTCTGCACTGTACATACGGTGTTTGGTACTGGGATACCCTGCACTGTACACAGTGTGTTTGGTACTGGGATACCCTGCACTGTACACAGTGTGTTTGGTACTGGGATACTCTGCACTGTACACAGTGTGTTTGGTACTGGGATACCCTGCACTGTACACAGTGTGTTTGGTACTGGGATACCCTGCACTGTACACAGTGTGTTTGGTACTGGGATACTCTGCACTGTACACAGTGTGTTTGGTACTGGGATACCCTGCACTGTACACAGTGTGTTTGGTACTGGGATACCCTGCACTGTACACAGTGTGTTTGGTACTGGGATACTCTGCACTGTACACAGTGTGTTTGGTACTGGGATACTCTGCACTGTACACAGTGTGTTTGGTACTGGGATACTCTGCACTGTACATACAGTGTTTGGTACTGGGATACCCTGCACTGTACACAGTGCGATTGGTACTGGGATACTCTGCACTGTGCATAGTGTGCTTGGTACGGAGATACTCTGCACTGTACACAGTGTGATACCCTGCACTGTACACAGTGCGATTGGTACTGGGATACTCTGCACTGTGCATTCCATGCGGTAGAGTGGTCATGATTAATCACCTGCCCTCTGGCAATGAAAGGGTGGGCTGTTTTTGTTCATTCATCTTTGTTAAACCATTAATCATGTTGGGAGCAGGTCCTCCCCCCCCCATGGAATGCAAACTATTACAGTCCTTGTGTCTTCCCTGAAATAGTGTAAACTAAGGTAATAAACTAGTGTCAGTTACTGAGCCGGCATGGTGTTCCCATGAGATCAGAAAACTTTCCACTTTTCAAACAGATACATTTTCCAGATTGTGCTTTAAACTGTAGGCTGAATTCACAAATTATTGTAAGGTTCGATGGTTAATGCCACCCGACACAAAGTATCGGTGTCGGTAACTCGCAGTACAAACTGCGTCCGACACAAAGAATCGGTGCCGGTAACCCGCAGTACAAACTGCACCTGACACAGAATCGGTGCCAGTAACTCGCAGTACAAACTGCGTCCGACACAAAGAATCGGTGCCGGTAACCCACAGTACAAACTGCGTTCGACACAAAGAATCGGTGCCGGTAACTCGCAGTACAAACTGCGTTCGACACAAAGAATCGGTGCCGGTAACCCGCAGTACAAACTGCACCTGACACAGAATCGGTGCCGGTAACTCGCAGTACAAACTGCGTCCGACACAAAGTATCGGTGCCGGTAACCCACAGTACAAACTGCGTCCGACACAAAGAATCGGTGCCGGTAACCCACAGTACAAACTGCATCCGACACAAAGAATTGGTACCGGTAACCCACAGTACAAACTGCGCCCGACACAGAATCGGTGCCGGTAACCCACAGTACAAACTGTGTTCGACACAAAGAATCGGTACCGGTAACCCACAGTACAAACTGCGCCCGACACAAAGAATCGGTGCCGGTAACTCGCAGTACAAACTGCGTCCGACACAAAGAATCGGTGCTGGTAACCCACAGTACAAACTGCGCCCGACACAAAGAATCGGTGCCGGTAACCCACAGTACAAACTGCGCCCGACACAAAGAATCGGTGCCGGTAACCCGCAGTACAAACTGCACCCGACCGAAAGAATCAATGCCGGTAACCCACAGTACAATCTGCACTTGACACCAGCCGGAACACAGGGAACTCATGTATCAGTGCAGCCTACACTTTGACATGCGATTAGGAGAGCATAATGAACATACATTTCCTGGATACTGAAGCGGGCAGGGTGAGGCCCTCTCTGTATAGTTTGTTTCTAATTACAGGCCCATTTAATTTGTTCCTCGCAGCCCAGAATGGAAATCAAAGGATTAAAAAGCAAATTATAGAAGAAAAAGTTACACAAAAATAACATTTTAGGGATTATAAAAATCATTTTAAAAGCCACATAAAAATGATCTGTGACGCCCAGTTTGTAAACACGGACCGGGTTATTCACTAGAGGGAGAAGTGGCAGTAAATCCAAGTGAATTCCGAATGTAAAGTCAATATTCTCCCACCAGCTATGCTCCCGCTCAGCTACTTTGGAGTTAAATCTGGAAATCACTTTAAATTCTCAACAATTCTCATTTTAGTAAAACACCCCGTAACAATTTGCAAAACAGAAGCCAAGCCATGTAATGCTGTTCTGATCGGACGTCGGCGCTTGGCGCACGTTAACACCTTCACAACCATGATGCGTCGAGGCAGTCACGATAATGAGGGATTTTCCGAACCCTGGTCCTGAAGGAGTTAAACCCCCTATTATTCCTCTTTCTGGCTGCCTCACCCTCTGAACACCCTAGTATCTAACACCTGCAAAGCTAGCAAAATCCTCACTAAATTAACCCTTTGAGTGCCACAGAGGAGAACAGACAATACCGTATTAATTAATCCAACAATCGCGGTGAACTGCCGGAGAAATTTCAGATTTTAGGCAATATTTGGAGAGTTGTTTTAATCTGGCTATTTTAGCTAGTTCCTGTACCTTTAAATATCCAATCCCCGGATTACCTTTAGACTGAAAGCTCTCCAGTTATCTTGTGAAGTACTTTTATAAAAGTACTGTAGTAGCTAGATTGTAAGCTCACGGGTCAGGGTCTTCTGTTCCTTTTGCATCAGTACGTGTTTACGGTTTGTCTTTATTCCCTTTATGGTACAGCGCTGCAGAATATGTTACCGCTATATAAATTCTAAATACTAAGATTTCCTGTTTAATTCTTGTCTTAGGGGAAAAATAAAAAGAGGTCCGGCTAGATCTCCGTAAAGCAAAATTAGAGGAGGGTTCCCAAGAGGTTAGTTGGTTTATTAAGTGCCCACATATAGTGTGGAGCAGTACAATCTAGGCTGGAGCCGAGAGCATGAATCAACTGGATTCGGCAGACTGCGCCCACCCTGCCGAGTGCCGGCACAAGCCAGACAGCGCAATGTCATCATTTCACGGAGGAAAATGCCACCGCAATGACCTTTACTTCACAAATTCCCACTGGGAGAACACTGGCCTTTATTCACTAAGCAGGGAATTGTAAAAACTGTAAGTCAGTAAAAATTCTGATGGAAAGATCAGAATTGTAAAAATTCCTCTGCTCGGATAGTCACAGATTGGCTACTAGAGCCCCATTAGTTACATTCCGTTTTCCACTAGAATTCTGTTTAGTGAGTAAGCCCTACAGTGTCGCAACTGGAGTGCTGGATGCAAAGAGTGGCCACACAGTAGAGGCGGTCAAGAGATTATTATTATGGAGAGCACCAACATAGTCTGTGGCGCAGTGCATTGTGCTTACAGACATTTCAAACAAGTTCAATGGACAATAAGGCACAGTGAACTAAGGATGAGAGGTGCAGGCAGTCCTGAACAAACAGGCGTACAATCTATAGATACCAGCCAGCGGGACACTAAAAGGATTAATCCCGTCCCTAAAGCACATATCTACATTAAAAAATGAGACCTCAGCCAGGCGCAAGTGGAGGGGTGAACATACAAACTATATTAAAACATACCACCTCGGCTCTGTGGACTTTATTTTATAACTCCCATCATGCAGAGTGAGCTCTATGCCGGCTGTCAGTGATAAGATTTTTAGTCCAATAACAGCTGAATAACCAGATACCAGTATGTCATTTTTTTTTATATTTATAATAAAATTGTTTATTACTTGTTAGAAAAACTGCCTTAAACAATTTGGGGGATTCCAAAAAGGCTTAATCCTGTGCCAAAAAAAGCCTCACTCCTCCAGCACTGCGAAGGTTAAGAAGTTGTGTTTTTCTCTCCTTCCCTCACCATGTCTTCACACTGTGTGTGTTGTGCCCACCTCCCCCTGCTGGCGGTGCCAAGCCTGGCATTGTTTTCCCCCTCCCCCTTTCCCTCCCCCCCCCTTGTGTCACTCTGTTCTCCGTGTCCCCTCGCTGGTGGTAGGATTAGACACTGGCCGCCTGTTACTGTCACAGAACTCAGACTGGGCACAAACTGCGGGCATTACCACGACAATCTCCATTAATATATTACATATTAAATTAACCCCAAACACACCGCTAACAGCGACACAGGGAGAGGTGCGAGTAATATGGCACTTTTTACAGGACGTTCTTTATACGACATGGGGGACGAGCGAATACTGAAGGGTTCTGGCCCAGAAAGGGTGGTACCGACTGCTACTTTTTATAGCACCACCATATCGTGAAGCGCTGTACAATAGGAATACAAACTAAAAAAGTTAAATAAAGAAATGACAAACATGTAAAAGTGAGCAGAGAGAGACAAGGCCTTGCTCAAAGGAGCTTACAATTTAATGGCTAATGTAAGTCCAGAATGACGTATGGCGAACAGAGAGTTGTGTGCGTTTTATGATATGAAAGAAAGATATGGTATGGATCAAAGAGGCCATGTAAGCATCGAAGCAGGTGGGACAAGGTCAGACAGGGAGCGGCCGCCACACTGCGCCTCCATCCTTCTCCGTGGTTTACACAAGGAGCCTTTCAGCCTTTTTATCTACAGAAACGACTATTTGCTTGGAGTAAGTTGGAAGAAAAGTAAATAAAGTTGAAATGAATTGGAATTTTATGACAACTGGGCAAGCTTCCATTTCATTTTCTCCCTTTTTCTTAATCCGCGAGCAGACGGCGTTCTCCAGCGAGGACGCAGATTCCACGCAGTCACCCGGACTCCATGAAACTTTCGGTTTAACCATTACTGGGCCATTACAAGGTCCAAGCTGAACCCACTCTGTATTAGCCAGATTATTTTTATGTTCTTGCTTCTAATAAAACAGCAGTTTCCTAGAAATCATGGCAGTACCATAAAGTAATTCCCCACACTATATCTCTATAAAGAAATATAATTCATTATAATTATTACTTAAAGGCGCCAACACATTCAGCGGCGCAGCAAAATGGAACAACAAAGCATATTTTAACTGTGACAAGTTTGGGTCATGAGGACAGGAGGTGATAGGACCCTTTAACCTCCACCAGCTTCTAATACTGCACCAGGATCCGATCTGACACCATTATCAACGGTATATTCTATATATACACCCATTGTACAGAGCTAGGGAATCTGATGGCGCTATATAAATAATAAAATAATAATAATATATATTATTAAACGGTCTGACTTAAACCAGACACAAATCACCATAATAAGGACAATGACCTGTAAATAATACAATAAGCTGTTGTTGTTATGGTGCTTAGAGCGACTCTTTCAGGACAAACTATGAATGTGACTTTCCCCAATGCCCAGAGGTAAAACCTGCTGTTGGCATGTACATGAATGATGCTGCCTTTGGAAATTAATTAGACTGTGTGCTTCCAATGGGAACCAGGTTGGGATTAATGACGTTTTATTCCTTAGAAGGTGACATTTTAGGCTGAGGGGGAAGGAAAGGGAGTGGATTTAACACGTCTTGAGTCAACAGAAAACAGCAGCAGTAATTAACCCCGTACCTCCCACACGGCTCTGGTACAGAAGGTGTTAAAGTTGTGTAAGCAATCAATCAGCACTGCAATTATTTGTTTTTCACTGCCTAGATTGTAAGCTCTGCGGGCAGCAATCTCCCGTCCTGTGATGAGTTTTCCTATTATTGTATTATCGGTTTTGCGTTCACAGATTCCTGCAATACACATAGAATCTGTCTGCCTGAGACAAATTCTAAAATGGAGTCTCGCGGTTTGTGAAGCGGCTGGCGGTTTTGTATGGTAATGCTCCGAGAGCAGCGCACTGGAGGAAACACACGAGTTAATAACGATCAGATTTCGCAGAGAACATTGTGAGAGCTGCCCCTTTAAGGATGCCATGGTCCTCACCACCCTATTGATCCTGTAACATTTTGTAGTTATCTCATTTCTCATTAAATTTCCCCCTTTTATAAAATTGTGAAGCGCTGCGGAATAGGTTGGCGCTATGTAAAGGCCAATAAATAAACATGCTTTGATTGACAGGAGTGGTTCCGAGGGCGAATTATTTCGATTCTGGATTCCCTGCACTTTAATCTCCTGACACACGTTTCTGCTTTGTGTCTTCATTAGGGGTTTTTTCACACAGCTGGACAGGAGATAACACAGTCCAAACACCCCATTCCACCAGACATGTCTGGCACCTCTTGTATTAACCCTGTCATTTTCAGAGTGGTGTTAAGGGTTTATGTACAAAGCTAGACAGGCTGCATACGAGTCATAGTGCGTTAATTATAGCTCATTACTAACCACATCAAATACTCAGCAGCATCATCTGGAGAGAACAGTACAGTCTCCCCCCAGACTGCAAGCTCCTGGATCCAACCCTCCCCCCCAGACTGTAAATTCCTGGACCCAAACCTCATTCTAGACTGTAAGCTCCTGGATCCAAACCTCCCCCAGACTGTAAGCTCCTTGATCTAAACGTCCCCCCAGACTGTAAGCTCATGGATCCAAACTTCCTTCTAGACTGTAAGTTCCTGGATCCAAACCTCCCCCCAGACTGTAAGCTCCTGGATCCAAACCTCCTTCTAGACTGTAAGTTCCTGGATCCAAACCTCCCCCCAGACTGTAAGCTCCTGGATCCAAACCTCCTGTAAGCTCCTTGATCTAAACTTCCCCCCAGACTGTTACCTCCTGGATCCAAACCTCCCCCCAGACTGTAAGCTCCTGGATCCAAACCTCCCCCCAGACTGTAAGCTCCTGGATCCAAACCTCCTTCTAGACTGTAAGCTCCTGCATCAAAACCTACTTCTAGACTGTAAGCTCCTGGATCCAAAGCTCCCCCCAGAATGTAAGCCCCCAATCTGCACATTTAATTGTCAAAATTCACAAATTCCTCCATTTCTTGGCTGGGGGATCTTGTGACTTGGACCCAAGACTGTTTATTGTACAGCGCCTTGGATTGTGTTGGTGACATATTAGTGATATGTGAGCAGATGCTTTTACCTACGGCTGGGATGTAGTTGTACTTATTGCATTTGTAATTAGTAAAATCAAACAGTGAGGACAGGGCTAAGGACAGGCAGGTGGCAGCAGCCGCACACTGTGATTCTGTCATCGGCTGTCACTGTCTGGGCAGCACTAAAGTCAATGGATGGTTGGTCTCCATGGTGACCATTAAGGGAGGCTTAGTGGGGTGGTATTTACCAATTCACTAAGCTGAGAGGGCAGATTGGGGAATAAATAGACTTTTAGATCTGCCATCCTCGCTCAAAGACGGGGGACGGTCCCGGAATTTAGACCAAAGTTGTCCCTCTATAGGCCCCCATCCAATGGCCGCCATGCTTAAACTGGCACGGTGACAGTAGCAGGGCACCTTTAAATGGCAGTGCGGAGTATACCAACCTCTCGGCCATTATCTCCACATAGAACAATTCCTCCATTTTACAGCTTCCTCAAAGAAATCCCTTTAAACCACTCATTAAAATGCAGAACTAGGAAAATCTCCTCGTTCTTGTTTTGGACATTTCGGATTTTAGTGTAATTTATTAAACAGAGTGTTGTCCTGTTACTTTACAAGGTTTATACACTAAACAGCGACTTTTGCCTAGTTTACACCCAAATATCAGCAATATACTCCCTCTACACATTATCGAATCCTTAGTATATTTACTAAACAGGGAATTGTGGAGAATGTGCAGGTTACAGGCCAAAGTAATCAAACTGGGTTAAACTTTCTCTGGGTTTAGGGATTAATCCCGCAGTTAGTGAATTCTGCTGCGGATTGCGTCATTTGATGATGTCACATTTAAACAGCACCAGATCTATGGCTACAAACTCTATAAAGGTGTTTTACATAGTGCTGAGATCCCAGTGTCCACCTCTGCAGAGAGGCTGTTCCATGCACCCAGCACTCCTGGCAGGAAGTAATATCAGGGGAATTGGAGGATTAGGACATTTTATTTTGTTAATTAGCAGGCCTGTAAGTGTCTGAGGAATGTGAAGTCAGCCCCTGCCTCCCCCCACCTCTCTCCAGGCTGATAAATAGATCCCAGGGCCAGCATGGCCCCCTCCACCTCTCAATTGTTTGACTTGTTAAAAGCAAAAATGATCATTAACCCTTCCCTGCCATTGAGCTATATAATGCACCCAGAGGATATTAATTAACCGTCCCCTTCCAGAAAGATATAATGCACCCAGGGGATCTTAATTAACCCTTCCCTTACAGAGAGATATATAGTGCACCCCTGGGGCAATCTATTAACCCCTCCCTTCCAGAGAGACATATAATACACCCAGGGGCAATCTATTGACCCTTCCCTTCCAGGGAGACATATAATACACCCAGGGGCAATCTATTAACCCTTGCAGAGAGCTATATAATGCACCCAGCGGCAATCTATTAACCCTTCCCTTCCAGAGAGAAATGTAATGCACCCAGGGGATATTAATTAACCCTTCCCTTCCAGAGAGCTATATAAACACCCCAGAGGCAATCTATTAACCCTTCCCTTCCAGTTAGACATATGATACACCCAAGGGCAATCTATTAACCCTTCCCTTCCAGAGAGACATATAAACACCCCAGAGGCAATCTATTAACCCTTCCCTTCCAGTTAGACATATAAACACCTTGGGGCAATTCATTAAGCTAAGAAATCACTCCAGCCACATTTATTCAGAGATTTAAAAAGTATAACAAACTGGTTGTTCTATAGGCCATGAGATTTATCAGCAGCTCTCCTATGAAAGAGCCTGCAGTCCCCACCCCACGTTCCTGATAAAGGGGGCTGATTAGATTAAGGGTGACGGAGACGGAGAATATTGGAAACCAAACTCCAGAACCGTTCCTCCCAGCCAAATGGAAAAAAACTTTTCCAAGCTCAAAATAACTGACATTTGTAGCATCCTTGCAGAAGATCAGCCTAAACGCCCAGATTAAGGTAAAATCTACTCGACCAAGGGTTTCCTCGTCGAGAGAACTCCCGAATGTGTAGGCACAGCAATGAGTACAAGGTGCTGGCAGACGGGGTCAGAGACAGAACGAAAGGCAAACTATGGGATTATTATGTCTTGGGCAATGTTTTGGGCTGCCGGTGTGTCTGAAGAAAGCACTGAGAGCCCAAACAGGATACCCCAATATAGAATCCTGATATTTATATATCGTCTGGGAGTCCTGGATCTTTTAACATCTCCTAATGGGTCACAAACAATCCGCACTACAATGGAACACGCCGTATTTTATATTACAGAGCAATCTCTGGCTTGAAAATCAACCATTAAATTAGATTGTTAGCTCATCGATCCAGTGGTGCGGAAATCTATTCTGTCTAATAATATTAACGATGGGGAGAAAAGGTAAATATCTGCCCTCTCTTTCACGGTAATTACCACAAATAAAATCGACACCTTCTTGTTTAACTCACACTGGGGATGGGCGGGTGAGAGGTTAAGAAGACAGAACTTAAAGAAAGAAAATGAAAAATTCTTAACTTGAAATAATTCATTAAAAGCATTTTTGGAGGAGTGCCAGTCAGATCTCATTCAGATTCCTGACCTTCTAAATAACCTCCTACACAGGAGTCAATACCCCCCCCTCCCTCTATAAAGCTGGTGCAAGGAGGCCCCTATTCACAAAATGAACCAGGAATGCATTAACCCTTTCCTTGCCATAAAGGATTACTGTCTCACTGAGGGTGAGAACCGACTTATTAACCCTTTAACCTCCAGAGAGATATATAACCCATGGGTAGGGAGCTGTAAAACTGGTTCCTGGAATGGGTGCTGGGGGGCCTCACAGCCTGTTTTGAAGGATTTGTTTTCTACCACGAAGGTAACGTGAGGAGATGAAAGTGGCTGATTACAATGTCTGGACACAGACTGAGAAAGATGAAAGCCACCAGTGAGGGGTGCTGCGTGTAACAGGTGTAGGAGATACGGGTAGAGAGACACAAAGGGACAGGAGCAGCAATGGGCAGACAGGGGTAAGGGGAACTATGGGTGACAGGTGCCCAGGGGATATGGGGCATTAACAGACAGACATGGGCGAGGGGAGCTATGGGTGACGTATGCCCAGAAAATGACGGGCATTAACAGACAGACATGGGCGAGGGGAGCTATCGGTAATGGATGTCCAGAGGATATGGGGCATTAACAGAGATATGGGCGAGGGGAGCTATGAGTGACGTATGCCCAGAGGATATGGGTCATTGACAGACAGACATGGGCGAGGGGAGCTATGTGTGCCAAAGGGATATGGGGCATTAACAGACAGACATGGGCGAGGGGAGCTATGTGTGCCAAAGGGATATGGGGCATTAACAGACAGACATGGGCGAGGGGAGCTATGGGTGACGGGTGTAGGTGTTAGGGAAGAGAAGCAGGAATAGACAGATGGAAGGCGAGGGGAGCTGTGTGTGCCAGGTGCTGCTGGGGAGGAAAAGGGGAGTTTGAATACTTCAAGATCCAGCTTTCCAAAGAAAGAAAGAATGCAATAAGTTTTCGTACTGTCCCTCCCTCCCATTAAACGGACTCTTATCTCACAAAACGCAGGTGTGAGGCCCATATTCAGCTAACAGACTGATTATTACCCCAAAAAGGGAGATCTCAGTAACAGGGAAACCAAACCATAACCTGCGCCGTGGAAGTTCACCCTAAGCGGAGACGCACTAATGGGGATATAATACCCTGGTGGGCAGGTAGGTGGGCACATGGACAGAATGATGGAGGGAATCCTGACAGTAGTTGGAAGGTAAGTTGTAATACTGACAAACATAATAGATCTATTTTAGGACAACAATAAAAACTCCAGAGAAAGGTAGATTCACATTGTCCGTAAAATGAAATCTGGGTTCTCCCCCTTCCTTAACCCTAAAAACAAATCATGTTTAATTCCAGGGCCTGAAATGGGTCAGACGGGCTGCGCTGGTCACTTCGCGGTGAATGAGGCCCCAGCGAGGATCATTCCTCGGCAGATTGAGCAGAAAGAAAATCCCCTGCAGAATCCGGCAGCACAATAGCACCGCAGTTTAATTACCCAGCTCTGAATCCCTGCACAATGCCTACACCTGCTGGGCACCCCTTCATCACCAGTAACGCAGTGCTCAGCCCGTGGACTCCACTGGGACTAGTCGCTGGCTCAGGGGCGATAAGGGTTAATGTCCCAGTTTCCCGGAGCGTAACGAGGCGTTCAGTGGCATCGATGTATTGTACACCTAGCAAAGGCCTCTGAAGGGGCGAGAAATCGCAGACGATGGCGGCTGTACATGAAAGCCAAGCGCTCAGCTTTCTTGTGGAGTTTATTTGTAATACAAAAAGCCAATCCATAGTTTTGTGGATAATTGCTATCTATGAAACCTCCTCCCCACCGACCATCCGTGAATTCCACCCACCCGTCCAGCTTAATTCCCAGACGCCGAACTCTCGTATCCGGGGGAAAACAGATTATTAAACTGTGTTTGTTTCTTCATTAAAACACAAACTCCAAGGCACGAGATTTCTATAACAACCATAAAACATACATTATTTATTTAGAAAATATTTTACCAGGAGGGATACATTGAGATTTCTCTCGTTTTCACATATTAAACCATTTTACAGTAGTTTGAGTATCGCTGGCCTGGGAGGGAGTCCAGTTATGCTTAACCCCTGCTTGTACAACACTAAGTAACAAGTTGGAACTATAGGAATCATAGGGCTAATCTTTGTGAAAAACAAAACCACATATGCTGGTGCTATATAGCAAACTGTAATAGTATTTATTATATTATTTATTGATTGATATTTATATTCCTAGGAAAATGTAACATAAAGTATATTTACAGCAACTAGTTTTCTACGAAAGATCACAATTTAGCATCTGATTAGTAAACATGCGCGGCTGGGGGTAGTTGAGGACAGGAAAAGACCCCCCCTCCAGCTGAGATTATTAATCCTTTCCTTGCCAGAGGGGTAAACACTTCTGTACAATTCATGTAAACTGTCAGAAGAAGGTTTAAGGCGTTTCGACCTGTCAGTCAACCATCATTTGATCTGACATCCGCCCTGCATCCTCTACATATAAGTTTACCTCCTTTTCTTTTAGTATCAATCTGCAGGAATTTGGACTCTGTTACTCAGTAAAATAAATCTAAACAGAAGGGAGAACGCTGGTAAATGAAGGATTCCCAGGCCAAGCAGCTCCCATGAGGCGCCTGATAAATCTGCTAAATTGCCATCAGCGATCCCTGCTCTGCGTCTCGGTGACATGGTGTCCTCAGGGCCACATCCCTGGCTTGGCTGACAGTGTGACACAGAGCAGAGCATACTGCAGCCATGCTGTCCCTTCTTGGGACTAACCATGGGCCAGAAACACATAAATTAGGGCCTTCCGGATGGCCCTAGGAAGCTTGCAGCTTGTTAAATGTGTCTGTTGAAAGGTTTAATAAGGGAAAGGTAATAAACAGCAAAACATGGCACTCATAAAGGGGGCCTGGACTATAAATCTGATCAGCAGGGGGTCTCCCAAACCACTTACACCCCCACCTGCTCTAATTGCCTGCCACCAGCCATCCACGCTCTGTCCAGGGACCCCACACAGAGCGTGGATGGCTGGTGGTTCTCCCTGCACGTCACTGTCACACAATTTAGCTCTATATTAGGGCACGTTTTCCGTATTGTTGCACTTTTACCATATTAGCGCACATTTAAGTTTCATGAAAGTGGTGGATTGTCCTACACAATCTGTGATTTTTATATAAACCCAGAGCTGTCTGATTCAGTCATTATTTACACAATTATACGCATTAACCAAAAAACACAACTTTTAAAGGAAAATAGTTTATATACTAATGCATTAACATGTCACCCCCACGCTAGGTAAAGACACACGTCACAGGAATTCATGCAGACCAATTAGACGGCAGCGCTCTGCTCTCTGTAACGCCAAGTTTGATGCGGATTCCAAGGGTCACATTAGTGGCTGGTAAGAATTTCACGCACTGTCTTCCTGGTCCCCGCGGGTTCTTAAATGACATCAGATCACGATCGATAGTTCTGGCACTCGATATGTTACTGAGCTATATTTGTGGCAATGAAAGATCTACCAACGGTCATTTAAAAAAATTACAACTCATGTTTAACAATCATTACTGGCGTTTTCTAAACTCGCACACGCAGCGTCCTCCTGAATGTTTTAGACAGTCTCTGTTTGTCGAATTTAGTTTGTAAAATGCTTTATTAATAATTATAATTATTCAGAGCTGTATAATGAATGTTATAAATAACTGTATATTACGTTACACACAGGGTGAGTTAGTATCCATCCACATCCACTGTAAAACCGCTTCACATTAATCTCAGTGATAGAACAGCGCAATGCGCGCACGCTGACGTATCATTATACAGGTATCGATGACTTCACCCTTATATTCTTTTCACTTTTAGCTGATATAACCAAACAGAATGGCTTATTATTTCCACAAACTCAGTGTCCGTGACCCATCCATCATACAGGGGAGAACATCTCTCTCCTGACACGGGATTATAGCCGTTCAATGAATGATGTCAGTTAATGGAAGTCAGGCGAGTCCGAGCCTGTAGCTGCACGCAGACAGGGGTTAGCGATGGCAGCTTTGTGTGAGTACATCCTGTGAGTTACATCTGGCTTGTCACAAGGCAGGAGACAGGAGAGAAGCCCCATTAACTTGTGGACTCACATCACAGAGCAAGGTACATCCTGGAGTCTGCACCGTGCAAAGCGTTAGGGAGAGATTAACACAAACTGGCTGCACACATGGTACGCTGGAGAGATCGGGGTGTACGTGTTGTATACACAGTGATGGTACACAGGAGAGCTAAGATGTACACAATGTATACACAGTGATGGTACGCAGGAGAGCTAAGATGTACACAATGTATACACAGTGATGGTACGCAGGAGAGCTAAGATGTACACAATGTATACACAGTGATGGTACACAGGAGAGCTAAGATGTACACAATGTATACATAGTGATGGTACAAAGGAGAGCTAAGATGTACACAATGTATACACAGTGATGGTACAAAAGAGAGCTAAGATGTACACAATGTATACATAGCGATGGTACACAGGAGAGCTAAGATGTACACAATGTATACACAGCGATGGTACGCAGGAGAGATTGGGGGTACATGTTGTATACACAGCGATGGTATGCAGGAGAGCTAAGATGTACACAATGTATTCACAGCGATGGTATTCTGGAGAGCTAAGATGTACACAATGTATACACAGTGAAGGTATGCAGGAGAGCTAAGATGTACGCAATGTATACACAGCGAAGTTATGCAGGAGAGCTAAGATGTACACAATGTATACACAGCGATGGTACGCAGGAGAGCTAAGATGGTACGCAGGAGAGGCAAGATGTACCCAATGTATACACGGTGATGGTAGGCAGGAGAGCTAAGATGTACACAATGTATACACAGTGATGGTATTCAGGAGAGCTAAGATGTACACAATGTATACACAGCGATGGTATGCAGGAGAGCCAAGATGTACACAATGTATACACAGCGATGGTACGCAGGAGAGCTAAGATGGTACGCAGGAGAGCTATGATGTACACAATGTATAAACATCGATGGTATTCTGGAGAGCTAAGATGTACACAATGTATACACAGTGAAGGTATGCAGGAGAGCTAAGATGTACGCAATGTATACACAGCGAAGGTATGCAGGAGAGCTAAGATGTACACAATGTATACACAGCAATGGTACGCAGGAGAGCTAAGATGGTACGCAGGAGAGGCAAGATGTACCCAATGTATACACGGTGATGGTAGGCAGGAGAGCTAAGATGTACACAATGTATACACAGTGATGGTATTCAGGAGAGCTAAGATGTACACAATGTATACACAGCGATGGTATGCAGGAGAGCCAAGATGTACACAATGTATACACAGCGATGGTACGCAGGAGAGCTAAGATGGTACGCAGGAGAGCTATGATGTACACAATGTATAAACATCGATGGTATGCAGGAGAGCTAAGATGTACACAATGTATACACAGCGATGGTACGCAGTAGAGCCAAGATGTACACAATGTATACACAGCGATGATATGCAGGAGAGCTAAGATGTACACAATGTATACAGAGCGATGGTACGCAGGAGAGATTGGGGGGTACATGTTGAATACACAGTGATTGTACGCTGGGACGTACATGTTGTATACACAGAGATGGTACGCTGGAGAGATTGTGGCATACATGCTGTATACACAGCAATGGTACGCGGGAGAGATTGGGGTGTACGTGTAATATACACAGCGATGGTACGCAGGAGAGATTGGGGTGTGCATGATGTATACGCAGCGATGGAACGTAGGAGAGATTGGGGTGTGCATGATGTATACGCAGCGATGGAACGCAGGAGAGATCAAAAAGTATACACAGCAATGGTACGCAAGAGCTAAAATTTACACAATGTATACACAGTGATGGTACTCAGGAGAGATTGTGGCGTACATGTTGTATACACAACGATGATACGCTGGGCAGATTGGGTTGTACATGATGTATACAGAGCTGGAACGCTGTTGAGGTCAAAGAGTATACACAGCGATGGTATGCAGGAGAGCTAAGATGTACACAATGTATACACAGCGATGGTACGCAGGAGATTGGGGGGTACATGTTGTGTACACAGTGGTTGTATGCTGGAGAGATTGGGGGGTACATGTTGTATACACAGTGATGGTACGCAGGAGAGATTGGGGGTACATGTTGTATACACAGTGATGGTACGCAGGAGAGATTGGGGGTACATGTTGAATACACAGTGATGGTACGCAGGAGAGATTGGGGGTACATGTTGTATACACAGTGATGGCATGCAGGAGAGATTGGGGGTACATGTTGTATACACAGTGATGGTACGCAGGAGAGCTAAGATGTGCACAATGTATACACAGTGATGGTACGCTGGAGAGATCGGGGCATACATGATGTATACACAGCTACGGCAAGTTGATTCCACAATATTATACCTGATCATCACATCTCTGCTTGCATCAATATTTAATTTATTAATAACGCACAAACAGATCCGTCGCACAAAAATAAGTGAGTAACGTAAATACATCATGTAGACGGTGCTTGGTGCCAGCAACATCCTAATATAACATATTGCAAAATGCTCTGCAGGCTCCCAATATAACAATGCAAAATGCTCTGCAGCCTCCCAGTATAACATAATGCAAAATGCTCTGCAGGCTCCCAGTATAACATAATGCAAAATGCTCTGCAGGCTCCCAGTATAACATAATGCAAAATGCTCTGCAACCTCCCGATATAACATAATGCAAAATGCTCTGCAACCTCCCAATATAACATAATGCAAAATGCTCTGCAGGCTCCCAGTATAACATAATGCAAAATGCTCTACAGCCTCCCAGTATAACATAATGCAAAATGCTCTACAGCCTCCCAGTATAACATAATGCAAAATGCTCTGCCAGCTCCCAGTATAACATAATGCAAAATGCTCTGCCGGCTCCCAGTATAACATAATGCAAAATGCTCTGCAGGCTCCCAGTATAACATAATGCTAAATGCTCTGCAACCTATTGATATAACATAATGCAAAATGCTCTGCAACCTCCCAATATAACATAATGCAAAATGCTCTGCAACCTCCCAATATAACATAATGCAAAATGCTCTGCCGGCTCCCAGTTTAACATAATGCAAAATGCTCTGCCAGCTCCCAGTTTAACATAATGCAAAATGCTCTGCAACCTATTGATTTAACAATGCAAAATGTTCTGCAATCTACTGATATAATAAAAAGTGTTCTGCAACATAATGCAAAGTGCTCTGCAACCTAATATTATAACAATGCAAAGTGCTCTGCAAACAACTGATTTAGCATAAGGCAAAGTGCTCTGCAATATAATGTATGAGGATACAACATGCGCTGGCAGTTATAAAACACTCACTAATTATAGGTTCGTACAAATTAAATCAACACAAAACAATATGATTGTGAAGCTCACATGTTATTTTAGGAAAAGTTTCAATGAAAGAGTTAATGCGGGGGAGTATAACAATGCTGGGTTTGTTAATGAAAGCGAGGTAGAGGCCTCTTATTGTAAGAAATGGTGGACAGGAAGACGGTACAGGTACAGACTGATCCCAGGATAAGTGGAATTCCACACATATTCCAGGACACAAACAAAGCATTCCTAATGGCAGGATAGCTGGATTATAGCACGGGACACACTGACGGACTGACAGAGAGACAGACAGACAGATTATAACACGGGACACACTGACGGACAGACAGAGAGATAGACAGACAGATTATAGCACGGGACACACTGACGGACAGAGAGACAGACAGACAGATTATAACACGGGACACACTGACGGACAGACAGAGAGACAGACAGATTATAGCACGGGACACACTGACGGACAGACAGAGAGACAGACAGACAGATTATAACACGGGATTCGCTGCGGGACAGACAGAGAGACAGACAGACAGACAGATTATAACACGGGACACACTGATGGACAGACAGAGAGACAGATTATAACACGGGATTCGCTGCCGGACAGACAGAGAGACAGAGACAGATTATAACACGGGATTCGCTGCCGGACAGACAAAGAGACAAACAGACAGATTATAACACGGGACACACTGACGGACAGACAGAGAGACAGACAGACAGATTATAGCACGGGACACACTGACGGAGAGACAGAGAGACAGACAAACAGATTATAGCACGGGACACACTGACGGACAGACAGAGAGACAGACAGATTATAACACTGGACACACTGACGGACAGACAGAGACAGACAGACAGACAGATTATAGCACGGGATACACTGACGGACAGACAGAGACAGACAGACAGACAGACAGATTATAGCACGGGACACACTGACGGACAGACAGGGAGACAGACAGACAGTTTATAACACGGGACACACTGACACACAGACAGGGAGACAGACAGATTATAGCACGGGACACACTGACGGACAGACAGAGAGACAGACAGACAGATTATAACACGGGACACACTGCTGGACAGACAGAGAGACAGACAGACAGATTATAACACGGGACACACTGCTGGACAGACAGACAGACAGACAGACAGATTATAACACGGGACACACTGCTGGACAGACAGACATTATAACACGGGATTCGCTGCCGGACAGACAGACACAGACAGACAGATTATAACACGGGATTCGCTGCCGGACAGACAGACAGACAGATTATAAAACAGGACAAGCTGCTGGACAGACAAGGAGACAGATGGACAGAGAAAGAGAATCACAGACTGGGAGACAGATGGCTCAAAGACAGAGAGACAGACAAAGACAGACAGGTAGACAGACAGAGATACGGAACACAAGAAGACAGAGTTCAAAAGACAGAGACAGGCACAAAGACAGAAAGCACTCAGACAGGAAGACAGACACTAAGATAGACAGACAGAGAAAAAAATAGACAGAATGAAACATTGATAGAGAGACAGCGCACAGACAGATATGGAGACAGACACACAAAGAGTGCACAAACAGACAGGGAGACAGACACACAAAGAGACACTGCACAGACATACAGGGAGACAGACACACGCAGAGACAGTGCACAGAGAGCTAGGGAGACAGACACACGCAGAGACAGTGCACAGAGAGATAGGGAGACAGACACAAAAACAGACACCACACACAGAGGTAGAAATGGAAAGGCAGGGCTCAGTTTATTCCTCCTGACTGTCACAGAGAGGTTAGTAGATTATAAAGTATAATCTGAGTGTCTCCTATGAAGCCTGAGCCACGCCGTGTGGTTTTATGGACGGTAATCATGTTTATACAAAAGGTACGGCGGATCCTGTGCAGGTGCTACTATCACAAGACACCAGACGTCCGGATTAATATGGGAATGTCGTGGTTTGTACAAAACTGAATAAAGTCAGTATTAACTGTAACCAGCAATACGCACACAACACACTTTATTATCATAGAAAAGGCTTGCGAGGAAAAACATTGCACGGTCTTTCTAAACAGTGCAATTAGTGTAAATTCAGGGATTTTCCTAAAAATCACAAGTTAGACAAGGAAATACATAGTTGCTGAGCGAGCTTACATTCCCTGAATTCCAGCCCATTGGGGTCAGTATGACCCAGAGATAACTCGTACAGTAACGGCTAGCGGTGGGAGTACGTGCTTAGATGGTGTAACCCCCTCTTACTGCCAGGGGAGTACTGCATCACATTAACAGGTGTGTAATTATAAGCAGTCTGGATTTAAAGAGACAGCAACACACATAGTGGACGCCAGTCGAACAGGAGTGCTCTAATAGTAGATCCAAGCTGGTTTTATATTTATAGATTTACAATTCCATTGATACCAGCCTTGATTGTTACCAACCTTGAGCTTTGCAAAGGATCAAGGGAATTGTAGTTTTCAAAGAGCTAGGAGTCTATATATTCTTTTTCCATCCCTGCAAAAATTAAATACAAACAGAGCATGCGCACAAATAAATTCAGGACAAAAACGCTCCAGAACCGGATAACGTCTGCCTGCATGTATACTGGCTGGCAGAGCGTTCTGGGAGAGGTAGTCCATGGATTGGAGTCCTTTTCACTATCTCCGCACGTCGATACAGAGCCTCAGAGAAACTCAGGGTTATTCACCCTCAAGTGAGATCTCAAAGTGGATTTACAATCTAAAGACAAAAATAGTCAAACTGGTAAAATTCTCTAAATCAGCTATGCTCTTATATTGGCTACTCTGGTCTTAAATATGAAATCACATAAGGTGTTAGGTCTAGTTATAACTGCACGGTGGAGAAACACAAATAAAATGCATTCTAAAAGGCGGCGTGAAAATCCCCGGGCTATGTATATATTCTAACATAGCACAAATTTAAAGAGAATATACATATTATAAAAACCATTTACACGCACGGAGAGACGCAGGTTTTGATTTTTTTTCCCCTTATTTTAAGTCGCTGGCAGACAGTATGTGATATCGAACAGTCTTATGTACTAAAGGGAGAATTCACAGTGACTCAAAGTGAATTTTACATTTAAGTTCAAACTATACAAACTGGACATTCAGTAAACTGTGCTTTCAGTACGGCTACTTTGACCGTAAACGTGAAATTCACTTTGAATTCAGTTGAAATTCTCACTTTAGAGATTAACACTGATTTTAAAGAGTTTTGGGGTACAATCTCCCCTTTGTTTTTGTTTTTTTTGGGGTGGTGGGAGGGAGAGTTCACAGAATGAAAATAATGTATCTCCAAACTCTGTTTCTTAAATTATGAGGAAAACAAAAACCAGTAGCTGTCATATTTGGATTGTTTTATAATGTGCATCCAGGTTTAATCACACAGTTATCACGCACACAAAAATAACTAACTATAAAGAATAATTAAATCAAGGAGCAGGTTGTGAGTGGGTGTCTGCAGAGAGAGCCGATGCCCAGCCGAGCGACACAGCGGGCACACGGGTCACTTCTCGGAGAGCGCTAGGCCTGAGCCAGCCCTGAGTGGCAGAGTTGGAGCCTGGGAACTTAACTGGCTTTTAATGTCCTGAACGTGTGTTGGGGGAGGGGGCTCTGAGCGGACAATAAAACACAATTAAATGCCCGTCTCTCCTCCTCCTCCACTGCAGCCAAAGACAAACAGTCAGCAATGTTAGTCAAGCTGAGAGCAGCTTGTTCCCATTCCTCCCCCCCAAAAATGGCTGTCTCTCTCCATGTTACCCCAAAAACCTTCCTGTCCATGTCTTTCATACGAAGGCTTGATATCTGCACCACAAATATCTTGTTATCGCCCCGTATAATGTAACAAACTTTGTAAGGGTTATTCCACCACCCCATGAACTATAACTATCTACTCACACTACCCCGAGGCAGACTGTCACCGCCATTATCCCTGGGTGAGGCTCTCGCTATGTGAAAGGTGACATCTCCCTCCCCGCAATGTCATATGGGACACAGCAAAATGGAGTCATTTTAATGCAACCCAGAAATAGGAGATAATATAAATCCACAGGAACCCCAAAACAGGTGTGGGGACCCCCATTAACCCTGGAGGAAGACATGTCTGACAGGTCAAGTAACCAGCTGTTTACAACATCAGATGATTGAGGAGGTCCTGAAATACATCATAGAGGATCTAGACAGAATAAAACCCCAGGGGACGCATCGAATTAAAAGTGACACAAACCTGGCCGAGATCCAGAGTGACATTGACTTCATTTAACTCCAATCCTCGGGATAGTGGGGGGCTCTGCCACCAGCGTTCTGTCCCATCGATGGCGTTGGTAATTGGGTGTGCCTTTTCTCTATTGCTGGCCATGCAAACGTCACAGTATTGCCCCTAGAAAACCAGAATCAGAACGGTCAGTTAACACAACATACAGAAATAGGGCTACACAGCGCTCTGGGAGGAGTTATGGGGGGCTCACAAGGCGTACTAGTGGAGATATATGATCTGTAGGAGGAGTTATAGGGAGGTGTTATATGGCGCTCTGGAAGGAGTAATGGAGGGGGTTACATGGTGTGTTAGGCGGTGTTATAGGGAGCTATTTCACAACGCTGTGGGAGAAGTTTTAGGGAGCTGTTACATGGCGTACTAGGAGGAGTTATGGAAGGAGTTACATGGCGTACTAGGAGGAGTTATAGGGAGCTGTTACATGGAGTACTGGGAGGAGTTATAGGGATCTGTTACATGGCGTACTGGGAGGAGTTATAGGGAGCTGTTACATGGCGTACTGGGAGGAGTTATAGGGATCTGTTACATGGCGTACTAGGAGGAGTTATAGGGAGCTGTTACATGTTGCTCTGGAAGGAGTTTTCAGGGAGCTGATACATGGCGGACTGGGAGGAGTTGTAGGGATCTGTTACATGGAGTACTGGGAGGAGTTATAGGGATATGTTATATGGCGTACTGGGAGGAGTTATAGGGATCTGTTATATGGCGTACTGGGAGGAGTTATAGGGATATGTTACATGGAGTACTGGGAGGAGTTATAGGGATCTGTTACATGGCGTACTGGGAGGAGTTGTAGGGAGCTGTTATATGGCGCTCTGGAAGGAGTAATGGAGGGGGTTACATGGTGTGTTAGGCGGTGTTATAGGGAGCTATTTCACAACGCTGTGGGAGAAGTTTTAGGGAGCTGTTACATGGCGTACTAGGAGGAGTTATGGAAGGAGTTACATGGCGTACTAGGAGGAGTTATAGGGAGCTGTTACATGGAGTACTGGGAGGAGTTATAGGGATCTGTTACATGGCGTACTAGGAGGAGTTATGGAAGGAGTTACATGGCGTACTAGGAGGAGTTATAGGGAGCTGATACATGGCGTACTGGGAGGAGTTATAGGGAGCTGTTACATGGCGTACTGGGAGGAGTTATAGGGATCTGTTACATGGCGTACTAGGAGGAGTTATAGGGAGCTGTTACATGTTGCTCTGGAAGGAGTTTTCAGGGAGCTGATACATGGCGGACTGGGAGAATTGGCTAGAGGATCTGTTACATGTGGGTACTGGGAGGTTATAGAGAGGATCTGTTACATGGAGTACTGGGAGGAGTTATAGGGATATGTTATATGGCGTACTGGGAGGAGTTATAGGGATCTGTTATATGGCGTACTGGGAGGAGTTATAGGGATATGTTACATGGAGTACTGGGAGGAGTTATAGGGATCTGTTACATGGCGTACTGGGAGGAGTTATAGGGATCTGTTACATGGAGTACTGGGAGGAGTTATAGGGAGCTGTTACATGGCGTACTGGGAGGAGTTATAGGGAGCTGTTACATGGAGTACTGGGAGGAGTTATAGGGATCTGTTACCTGGCGCACTGGGAGGAGTTATAGGGAGCTGTTACATGGAGTACTGGGAGGAGTTATAGGGATCTGTTACATGGCGGACTGGGAGGAGTTGTAGGGATCTGTTACATGGAGTACTGGGAGGAGTTATAGGGATCTGTTACATGGAGTACTGGGAGGAGTTATAGGGATCTGTTACATGGCGTACTGGGAGGAGTTATAGGGATCTGTTACATGGAGTACTGGGAGGAGTTATAGGGATCTGTTACATGGCGTACTGGGAGGAGTTGTAGGGAGCTGTTATATGGTGTACTGGGAGGAGTTATAGGGATCTGTTACATGGCGTACTGGGAGGAGTTATAGGGATCTGTTACATGGCGTACTGGGAGGAGTTATAGGGATCTGTTACATGGAGTACTGGGAGGAGTTATAGGGAGCTTTTACATGGCGTACTGGGAGGAGTTATAGGGAGCTGTTACATGGAGTACTGGGAGGAGTTATAGGGATCTGTTACCTGGCGCACTGGGAGGAGTTATAGGGAGCTGTTGCATGGAGTACTGGGAGGAGTTATAGGGATCTGTTACATGGCGCACTGGGAGGAGTTATAGGGAGCTGTTACATGGCGTACTGGGAGAAGTTGTAGGGAGCTGTTATAGGGCGCTCTGGGAGACGTTATACGTAATGCGAGTATTATAGACAGCAAGGACGCGCTGTGTGTAGAAATTGAATATTGCATTTATAAAGTCTACAAATATCGCAGCGTCAGAATCTCCCCAAATCACAAGGCATCACTTTTCATGTACACGTGATCTCTGTCCAGGAAAGCATGCCTATGTAGTCCTTTGTTATCTACATATTATCCTAGCTCGTATACCGTAACTCAAGCATGCTGCGGTGAGATCCCCCACCAATTAAGAAAACATCACAAAATATCCATTAGATGCCCGCACCCACACCATGATTAGATACTGCAGCTTTAAAGGCACCCACTTTCCTCTCAGACTTCAAAGGGAGAGCAGATAAGCATTCAAAGAGATCATTAGCAAAATCACCGACACCAGGGCCTGCAGGGGAAACCCAAACAGGGGCGACCGCCACCCATCACTACGCCTGTCATTCAAACAGCTCCTGACCACACAGAATAGGGGTCAACTGAACGAGGCTGAATCTAGGGCTGATCATGCCTGTATTGTCTATTTTGGCCCAAAAGTTTCCCGATATGTTTTTGGGTTTTGTCCAGGGTTGGCATGCAGGGTTACCAGATCCAGCTTAGCTTGATGCCCTGTAGTATGTAGGATTCATATTCTGTTCTTATTGATCCCTTCTAGATAAATTAATTCCCTCCTCCAGCAGATTACATGCCCTGGGGCAGCTCTTTTCATTCCCTGCCCAACGCAGAGAAAAACATGTGTCCAAGGGCTAGTGAACATGTTAAATGTTTATCAATATTTTTCAGGACTCGACCTGACTCCATCTACCCTTCCTCATCTACTGGTATCATTAAAACTGATCCAGGACACGGGGCGCAGAAGTGAGAACTTCTAATGAATAGTCTGTAAAAGTGAGAAATAAAATGAGATTAAAATCATTCTCATTACCACAACCCCATCACCTTTAAGGACTCGAGTAAGAGAAACCCCAAATACACCAGTGACAGGGTGGAAAGGGTTAAGCCTTCCAGGTGATTAGAAGAAAATAAAAACCATGTGAAATTACACTAAAATGGGGTTATGCGTTAACAGTGATGCAGCTTCTTCCACACCAAAACTTTGACGCATTTTCATTTTGGGTAAATATTTTGCATTGTCTGCGCCCTTCCTGACAGCCTTGTACAGCATCTTTTCTTTTTTTTGTCCGAATAGTAGCGTGACTGGCAATTCTTTCCGCCACCGTCAGAATGACGTTTTGCTGTGTAATTGAAGCGTTTTCACAATTCTTTTTTTTTTAAATTAAGCAAATCATTCAAATATATAGGTTTTTTTGTTTTCTTTTGGCAATATTAATCATTTGTCCTATTTTGAGAATTTTTTAGTGATTAAAATCCCTCGATCTTCCACTCTCCAGTGATGGTGCTTTATAAGTAACACACCTATTTTAAAGCAGGGCTTTATGAGGCAATCTTAAATTGGTTACATATCCTGTTCACCTGCATTAAATGAATCTTGAACCTGACAGAGCTGCTCACTATAGAAGGAATTGCTTGGAACTCAAAGTGAATTTCACATTTAAATCCAAAATAGAACTGGGAATATATCCCTCCAATTTGAGTATTTTGCTTTAAAAGTGTTTTAGCGAATAGCCCTGTGTGTCTAACATAAAGAAACAACAGGCGTGTAACTAGACTCCCAATTCTAAACTATACCTAGTGGGATTATATTGGGGTACAGATGGATAGTGGTTGGCTCAGGTATTTTCCAGACCCCCCCCCTCGCCCATGTTCCCATAGACACGATTTATGTTATATAACTGTTGTGCAGCGCCAGAATAGCTATGCCCACACTACGTAATATCAAAATACTTCTTAAGAAATCAAAGCCTTAACCACCAGCCAATGCCACCATACTCACAGCCATGCACCCCCAAGAAAATGCAACCATGTAATGCCACAAACAGGAATATTACGGTCTGCACACCCATAATTCTAAATAGCATGGCTACCCCAAATTTATAGTTGTTTTGTAAACACCAATGTTTAGGTAGTATGACACCAGGTTTAGGTACCGTGGCCACCCAGTGACCCCAGTTTTATGTGTTGTAATTCTCCTAGTGACTCTAGGCTTAGGTAGTGTGGACCCCGCAGTGAACCCAGAATTAGGTTGTGTAACTCTAGGTTCAGGTATGGAGACATCATTACGTAGTGTAAACCCTTATCACTTCAGGTTTAGGTAGTGTGACACCCCTCACTCCCCCAATAACTGCTGATTCAGATAGTGTGACCCCAGTTTTAGTTAACAGAATCCTCCAGTGACCCCATGGCTAGGTAATGCCATCACCTGTGTTCCCGGGTTCAGGTAGCGTGATCCTCCAGAGAACCCAGATTTAGATAATGTGACCCCAGGTTTGTAATGTCACCAAAGATTTAGGCAGTGGGACCCTCCAGTGACCCTGGATTTAGGTAAAGTGACCCTCATTTTTGTTAGTGTAACATCAGCTTGTGTTAGTGTGACCCCAGATTTAGGTAATGTGACCCCAGATTTTGCTAGTATGAACCCAGATTTGGGTAGTGTGACCCTCCAGTGACCCTTAGTTTAGGTAGTGTGACGCTGGGTTAAAGTAGTATGGCTCGAAGTTTAGTTAGTGTGCCCCCAATTTTTTGTTAGTATAACTTCAGATTGTGTTAGTTTGTATGACCTTCCAGTGATTCACAGGTTAGGTAGTGTGATCCAAGATTTAGGCAGGTTGCCCAACCTGTGACCAGGGGTTTAATAGGTGTGACCCCCTTGTTTAGGTAGTGTAACCATCCTGTGACCAGGGGTTTAATAGGTGTGACCCCAGATTTAGGTAGTATGACCCAACATTGACCCCCGATTTTGTTAGTGTGACCCCAGATTTAGGTAGTATAACCCTCCATTGACCCAAGGTTTAGGAAGTGTGACCCCAGATTTAGGTAGTATGACCCTCCATTGACCCAAGGTTTAGGAAGTGTGACCCCAGATTTAGGTAGGATGACCCTCCATTGACCCAAGGTTTAGGAAGTGTGACCCCAGATTTAGGTAGTATGACCCTCCATTGATCCCAGATTTTGTTAGTGTGACCCCAGATTTAGGTAGTATGACCCTCCATTGACCCAAGGTTTAGGAAGTGTGACCCCAGATTTAGGTAGTATGACCCTCCATTGACCCAAGGTTTAGGAAGTGTGACCCCAGATTTTGTTAGTGTGACCCAAGATTTAGGTAGTGCCCACCAATACGTTGTGCCCCCCCCCACCCCCCCACTCGCCCTAGTCTGGGTACCTGGATGGTCTGGCTGGGGTCCCCTGACACTGGTCCCCCCACCAGCTTGCAGTAAAGCTCCTCCATGGCTCTGCCAGCCTCGCCCTCTCCGCAGGTGGCAGTGGCCGAGATCTTGGTGCCCTCTGCCAGGTTGAAGTATGGAGGGTGCAGGCTGTACCCATTCACTCCATTAGTGGGCAACTCCTGGGCACAGACTGTGCCTGGCCAGAGCACCAACACCAATAATGCCAGCCTCCAGGGCACTGCCATCCTCATCATCCCGGGCACTGCCATCCTCATCATCCCGGGCTCTGCCATCCTCATCATCCCGGGCTCTGCCAGTCTCATGTTTCCGGGCTCTGCCAGTCTCTCCCCCCGTGTACAGGCAGTCTCTCCCCCCGTTGCAGCGCTGTACAAGCTGCTCTCTGTCTGAGCTCTATCACAATACAGGAATCTCAGCTGCAGCAGCGGCTCGGGGGGCGGAGAATCCTCCTGGGAACAGCCCACGGACCAGCCCAGAGAACAGCCCACAGCCCAGAGACCAGGGAACTGCTCATTGACCAAAAACCAGCCCACAGCCCAGAGATCAGGGAACTGCTCATTGACCAAAAACCAGCCCAGAGACCAGGGAACTGCTCATTGACCAAAAACCAGCCCACAGACCAGGGAACTGCTCATTGACCAAAAACCAGCCCACAGACCAGGGAACTGCTCATTGACCAAAAACCAGCTCAGAGACCAGGGAACTGCTCATTGACCAAAAACCAGCCCACAGCCCAGAGATCAGGGAACTGCTCATTGACCAAAAAACAGCCCACAGACCAGGGAACTGCTCATTGACCAAAAACCAGCCCACAGACCAGGGAACTGCTCATTGACCAAAAACCAACCCACAGACCAGGGGCCAGGGAGCTGCTCATTGGCAAAAACCAGCCCAGAGACCAGGGAACTGCTCATTGACCAAAAACCAGCCAACAGACCAGAGACCAGGGAACTGCTCATTGACCAAAAACCAGCCCAGAGACCAGAGACCAGGGAACTGCTCATTGACCAAAAACCAGCCCAGAGACCAGGGAACTGCTCATTGACCAAAAACCAGCCCACAGACCAGAGAGCTGCTCATTGACCAAAAACCAGCCCACAGACCGGAGACCAGGGAAGTGCTCATTGACCAAAAACAAGCCCAGAGATCAGGGAACTGCTCATTGACCATAAACCAGCCCACAGACCAGAGAGCTGCTCATTGACCAAAAACCAACCCAGAGACCAGGGAACTGCTCATTGACCAAAAACCAGCCCACAGACCAGAGAGCTGCTCATTGACCAAAAACCAGCCCACAGACCAGAGACCAGAGAGCTGCTCATTGACCAAAAACCAGTCCACAGACCAGAGACCAGAGAGCTGCTCATTGACCAAAAACCAGCCCACAGACCAGAGACCAGAGAGCTGCTCATTGATCAAAAACCAACCCACAGCCCAGAGACCAGGGAACTGCTCATTGACCAAAAACCAGCCCAGAGACCAGGGAACTGCTCATTGACCAAAAACCAGCCCACAGACCAGAGACCAGGGAACTGCTCATTGACCAAAAACAAGCCCAGAGATCAGGGAACTGCTCATTGACCAAAAACCAGCCCAGAGACCAGGGAACTGCTCATTGACCAAAAACCAGCCCAGAGACCAGGGAACTGCTCATTGACCAAAAACCAACCCAGAGACCAGGGAACTGCTCATTGACCAAAAACAAGCCCACAGACCAGAGAGCTGCTCATTGACCAAAAACCAGCCCACAGACCAGAGACCAGAGAGCTGCTCATTGACCAAAAACCAACCCACAGCCCAGAGACCAGGGAACTGCTCATTGACCAAAAACCAGCCCAGAGACCAGGGAACTGCTCATTGACCAAAAACCAGCCCACAAACCAGAGACCAGGGAACTGCTCATTGACCAAAAACAAGCCCAGAGATCAGGGAACTGCTCATTGACCAAAAACCAGCCCAGAGACCACCAAAAACCAGCCCACAGACCAGAGAGCTGCTCATTGACCAAAAACCAACCCAGAGACCAGGGAACTGCTCATTGACCAAAAACCAGCCCATAGACCAGAGAGCTGCTCATTGACCAAAAACCAGCCCACAGACCAGAGACCAGAGAGCTGCTCATTGTCCAAAAACTAGCCCACAGACCAGAGACCAGAGAGCTGCTCATTGACCAAAAACCAGCCCACAGACCAGAGACCAAAGAGCTGCTCATTGACCAAAAACCAGCCCACAGACCAGAGACCAGAGAGCTGCTCATTGATCAAAAACCAGCCCAAAGACCAGAGACCAGGGAACTGCTCATGGACCAAAAACCAGCCCAGAGACCAGGGAACTGCTCATTGACCAAAAACCAGGGAACTGCTCATTGACCAAAAACCAGCCCACAGCCCAAAGACCAGAGACCAGGGAACTGCTCATTGACCAAAAACAAACCCAAAGACCAGAGACCAGGGAACTGCTCATTGTCCAAAAAACCAGCCCACAGACCAGAGACCAGGGAACTGCTCATTGACCAAAAACCAGCCCAGAGACCAGGGAACTGCTCATTTACCAAAAACCAGCCCAAAGACCAGGGAACTGCTCATTGACCAAAAACCAGCCCACAGACCAGAGACCAGGGAACTGCTCATTGACCAAAAACCAGCCCAGAGACCAGGGAACTGCTTATTGACCAAAAACCAGCCCACAGACCCAGAGACCAGAGAGCTGCTCATTGTCCAAAACTAGCCCCTGGGCAGAGACTAGAGAGCTGCTCGGTGACCAAAAACAGCCCACAGACCAGAACCAAAGAGCTGCTCTAGTGACCAAAAACCAGAACTGCTCATTGACCAAGAAACCAGCCACAGCCCAAGACCAGAGACCAGGGAACTTGCTCGGTGACCCAAAAACCAGCCCACAGCCCAGACCAGAGACCAGGGAACTGCTCATTGACCAAAGACCAGAGACCAGGGAACTGCTCATTGACCAAAAACCAGCCCACAGCCCAGAGACCAGGGAACTGCTCATTGACCAAAAACCAGCCCACAGACCAGGGAACTGCTCATTGACCAAAAACCAACCCACAGCCCAAAGACCAGAGACCAGGGAACTGCTCATTGACCAAAAACCAGCCCACAGACCAGGGAACTGCTCATTGACCAAAAACCAACCCACAGCCCAAAGACCAGAGACCAGGGAACTGCTCATTGACCAAAAACCAGCCCACAGACCAGGGAACTGCTCATTGACCAAAAACCAACACACAGCCCAAAGACCAGAGACCAGGGAACTGCTCATTGACCAAAAACCAGCCCACAGACCAGGGAACTGCTCATTGACCAAAAACCAGCCCACAGCCCACAGACCAGGGAACTGCTCATTGAACAAAAACCAACCCACAGACCAGGGAACTGCTCATTGACCAAAAAACAGCCCACAGACCAGGGAACTGCTCATAGACCAAATCCAGCCCACAGACCAGGAAACTGCTCATTGACCAAAAACCAACCCACAGCCCAGAGACCAGGGAACTGCTCATTGACCAAAAAACAGCCCAGAGACCAGAGACCAGGGAACTGCTCATTGACCAAAAGACCAGGAGACTAGAATCAAGTTCATTGACCAAAGACCAGGAACTGCTCATTGACCAAAGACCAGAGACCAGGAACTGCTTCATTGACCAAAGACCAGAGATTCAGGAACCGCTCATTGACCAAAACCAGCCCACAGCCCAGAGACCAGGAACCAAGCTCATTGGACCAAAACCAGCCCACAGACCAGGGAACTGCTCATTGACCAAAAACCAACCCACAGCCCAAAGACCAGAGACCAGGGAACTGCTCATTGACCAAAAACCAGCCCACAGACCAGGGAACTGCTCATTGACCAAAAACCAACCCACAGCCCAAAGACCAGAGACCAGGGAACTGCTCATTGACCAAAAACCAGCCCACAGACCAGAGACCAGGGAACTGCTCATTGACCAAAAACAAGCCCAAAGACCAGAGACCAGGGAACTGCTCATTGTCCAAAAAACCAGCCCACAGACCAGAGACCAGGGAACTGCTCATTGACCAAAAACCAGCCCACAGACCAGAGAAGTGCTCATTGTCCAAAAACCAGCCCACAGACCAGAGACCAGGGAACTGCTAATTGACCAAAACCCAGCCCAGAGACCAGGGAACTGCTCATTTACCAAAAACCAGCCCAAAGACCAGAGACCAGGGAACTGCTCATTGACCAAAAACCAGCCCACAGACCAGAGACCAGGGAACTGCTCATTGACCAAAAACCAACCCAGAGCCCAGAGACAAGGGAACTGCTCATTGACCAAAAACCAGCCCACAGACCAGTGAACTGCTCATTGACCAAAAACCAACCCACAGCCCAGAGACCAGGGAACTGCTCATTGACCAAAAACCAGCCCAGAGACCAGGGAACTGCTCATTGACCAAAAACCAGCCCACAGACCAGAGACCAGGGAACTGCTCATTGACCAAAAACAAGCCCAGAGATCAGGGAACTGCTCATTGACCAAAAGCCAGCCCACAGACCAGGGAACTGCTCATTGACCAAAAACCAGCCCACAGACCAGGGAACTGCTCATTGACCAAAAACCAGCCCACAGACCAGGGAACTGCTCATTGACCAAAAACCAGCCCAGAGACCAGGGAACTGCTCATTGACCAAAAACCAGCCCACAGACCAGAGAGCTGCTCATTGACCAAAAACCAACCCAGAGACCAGGGAACTGCTCATTGACCAAAAACCAGCCCATAGACCAGAGAGCTGCTCATTGACCAAAAACCAGCCCACAGACCAGAGACCAGAGAGCTGCTCATTGTCCAAAAACTAGCCCACAGACCAGAGACCAGAGAGCTGCTCATTGACCAAAAACCAGCCCACAGACCAGAGACCAAAGAGCTGCTCATTGACCAAAAACCAGCCCACAGACCAGAGACCAGAGAGCTGCTCATTGATCAAAAACCAGCCCAAAGACCAGAGACCAGGGAACTGCTCATGGACCAAAAACCAGCCCAGAGACCAGGGAACTGCTCATTGACCAAAAACCAGCCCACAGACCAGAGACCAGGGAACTGCTCATTGACCAAAAACAAGCCCAGAGATCAGGGAACTGCTCATTGACCAAAAACCAGCCCAGAGACCAGGGAACTGCTCATTGACCAAAAACCAGCCCACAGACCAGAGAGCTGCTCATTGACCAAAAACCAGCCCACAGACCGGAGACCAGGGAAGTGCTCATTGACCAAAAACAAGCCCAGAGATCAGGGAACTGCTCATTGACCATAAACCAGCCCACAGACCAGAGAGCTGCTCATTGACCAAAAACCAACCCAGAGACCAGGGAACTGCTCATTGACCAAAAAC